AGCTCCAAATGTTTTCGCATAATAGCGGCTAGACGCACTCGGATCTTCTTCGATAATCTGCGCCACGGCAGCAATAGCGTCTTCGGTGCGCACTGTACGACATCTCTAAGGACGCTCATTATTCTGTAGAATAGATGTGAAACTGATTCCTGTTACGAAAATAAATATAAATCAATCAACAACTGTCAACAAGGCCAACTGCGAAAGAAGCATTGTCTTATTGAAAACCGTACGTCTAAAAAACTATTATTCGAACTTTATTTGTTGAAATTTTTATTGCAGCTTTGTGAAGGAGACAGGAGAAAAGTCTTAGTATGATCTGAGTATGAGTGACTAAATATAATAAATTGCTTCCTTTCTAAGGAATTTGGGCTAAAATTCGTCGTTGTCGTTGTTTTCTTCTCTTCTTCCTCTCGTAGAATTTTGAAAATTTTTACTGTGTATTGGACGTTCAAAGCCGTGGATGTTTTTTTTTTTTTCATTTTATTATACGATTATTTTTTATCAATCCACAATCTCCTTACATCACAATACAAAATCTCTAAAGCTAATATTCCGAAAGGCCTACACGAAAATTTAAAACTTGAAAAAAAAAATATTCATAAAATTCGGCCAAACTACTTTATTTTATTTAAATTAATAAACTAAAACTCAGTTATAAAATATTCATAAGTTGTAACTAAATAAGGTCGGATTTCAAATTAAATAAACCGTCATAAAGCCTACATTCATAATTTGATAAACAACTAATTTGTAACGCGCCCTTTCCAGCACAGCACTAACTGATCAACAAAGCTAAATAATGTAATTATAATATTTCTTCTCATCTTTTATTTATTTACGTATCTTACAGATGCAGCATCACCCACACAGTCACATGCGACGAATACGACATCTAAATATATTCCTCTTGCTGCTTCTCTACTTGTCGCAAATCAAAGCGTGGCGACCATGTCCAGAGCTCAGTCCAGCATTGCGTTTGCCCTGCAGGTGAGTCAGCCGAGCACACACGCACACATCCACACACTTATATATGCACACACATATGTACAGAAAAGAGCCAATGGTTGAACACAGTTTGCAGTAAACAAATCGTTGTTGGTGTATGGCATTAGAGCATAAATAATCCAAATCTTAGCCGCCAATAACCAGCTAAACAAGTATTGGAACAGCCGCCGAGTCTTCATCTATTTCCATGTTAATTTGAGTTAATGAAAAAGTGGTCTTTCTAAAGCCTAAGATAGAACATCAAAGCCATAGAAACTAGTTGGTTGAAATAAAGAATTAATTTCCGCATTCACGTCATATCGCATTTCAAACATCTGCGGTACAATACTATTAGCTACTTGAAGGGGAAATGGCGTAACTTCATTTTTTTAAACATAGAATGTTTGGTGATAAAATATAAAAATAGTGCATAACATTTACTTAGCAATTTTTACTCGTTTTTAATTAAAATGTTAATTTTTTTATGCTTCTTACTACACCAAAGAAATTGGTTTATTGAATCTGCTTAGTTAAAGCCTAACAATATGTCTTAAAATCATAATTAATTGGCAATAAATTTACATAATTAATTTTATTTTTATTAAGTAAACTACAAGGCCTTGTTGTTTGTATGAATTGAATATTTGTTATACAACAAAGAAAAATGTTAGAAGTGACAGCTGTTTCGGAGAGCACCACATCTCCTCATCAGACATCTTATGGCAGGGATCGAACCAACGGATCCTGACTTAACAGGCGAATGTTCTACCACTGCGCCAACATCAGCTATATAATCTGTTGTTGTATTATTCAATTCATTATTAACCAACAACTATTAAGTGCGCTAATTTAGCCGCTATTTTCTTAACAGCTTGGTTAGTGTGTTGTGTTGGAATCCTCTATACTTTCAAGCGTTAATTGACTGATTGTATAGGCAGGATTAGGTATCAGGTTCAACCTTTATATTTATAATTTGTTTTTGCGGCCATGCTACATATTCATTTTATTTTTTTTTTATGTTGTACAGATAAAAAATTTTTAAAACAGCAAATTAAAGAATTTATGCCAAAACTAAATATTTTTCCAAAAATTATTTTGCCCCTTTTATATTTCTAACAGCTTTTGTGGTATAAATATAAATTTCTTTTTTCATTATAAATATTAGGACTAGGCATTATATGTAAAAAACTACATCGTTCAAATGGTAGCATTGCAAGTTTTCGCAAACTTTGATCCGTTTGTGGCAATTTTTGGCACATTTTAGGCTGTATCTCAGTCAAAACTTGACGAATGTTGGTTTTCAAAGTGCTCAAGAGAGAAAAGTTAATGTTAAAAGAATTAGAAACTCGTCATAAAAATCCATCGGCCGTTCGGATGCGATGGGAATAAATCCTTAATTCATCCATTTGTTGGTAAAACATGAAGACACATACCACAAATTGAAAATTGGTCGAAGCTCCAAATATGGATATATTTATAGCGGATGTAGTTTGGCGGTTAAAATAAATTATCTTAAAAAATCCATAGGTTGGAAATAAATCGGTGTAAAAATTTCAGAAGCAGACGTTTTTGAATTTGTGTGCTCAAAGACCGTTTGATCGCCACTCAAATCTTGAAGTTTTCTCTAGGATATATTTTCAAAGAGTCTTAAGATCGTTTTTCGAAAAATATGTAAAGTTTTGCAAATGTATTTGAGATATGATCGTCAAGGATTCTAACAATGGTTTTTTCTGTCGAAACTATTCAAAAGGAAGTTCTTTAAGTTTAAAATAAAAAGTCTACGCAAAAGAAGTAGTTCATTTTATATAAAATAATATTAGAAAAGAGTTTATTTTTGCAAAAAATAAATCAACTCCTATCAGCTGGGAAGGTACTAGTCATCATAGATGGGATAACAGTAATAAATTTAAGCAAGAGAGGATCACAAATAGTCAAATAGTTTTTTACTCGTAACCAAATTTCCACAACAGCGGTTAGTGTATATTTTAGGCTTATGTAAAAAGTACTATTCTCAGCTAACCCTCTTAGTCCGCTGGCAACTTGTTGAGTACTGCATTTAAAAACTCATTTGGTTTGGTCATAAGAACGTCTACTGGCAGATATTGGGACTTAAGCCATATTCTAACAAATAGATTATATTTTGTTAGAGGTCATTCTTATATCTATTGACTGCCTGCAGTATCGACCCCACTTTGTAAATAAAGAACTCTATATTATTGTATATACATATATATGTATATATTTGACGCCTTGTAACCGCTGAAGCGATTTTCGGCCGAGCTCCTCCCCCCATTTGTGGTTTTGCTTCTTGATGTGTTTCTAACAAATGTCAAATAACAGTTTACATTGAGCCGCCTGATCTTTTTTATGAAGAGCCTTTATTTCATGTTCAATCGGAGGGGTTGGCATTCCTTGTTGAGAAAATTTAGAAAATTTATTTTAATCCTTTATTCCACCAGGCTTTGAACGTAATGCTAACCACTACCGAGACCACCGCTTTACATATAATACTATATTATAATTTTTATTAATTGCGTTACGTATACGCTATGACCAACAGTTTTATAATCTTTGTGGAAGGTTTCTTTTATTATTTTTTTTCTAATATTTTTTAATCGTTCTCTAATGCAAAAAATCTCTAAAAATTGTTTTATAAGGCACACCCTAATATGCAAGTAAAAACATTAGTATGCCCGTACATTTGTGTAGCACGTTCTCTCCGTTCGAATCACTGATTTTATATTTCGATTTCCAATATTATTAACAAGTCGCCTCAAGACGCTAATCTTTATAATTTATTTATTTACTTTACTTTACTTTATTTCCTGTATTCTTCCGCAGATGCAATGTGGTGCCGTTCGCCTCGACGGGACAGCTCGGCGCGGTGGCAATGGACTGCGATCGCGTCGTTTTTCATGGTGAGGCGCCGCAACTGCCGTATGGCGCGCCGATTGTCTCCTACTCGCAGCGCTACAGTGGACAGCAAGTTTTGCCATCGCAGGTGAGTGCAACGCATTGAGTGATTGACTTGACTGAGTGTTGAGTGAAGCGTCGGCGTTGCGAAAGTCGATCGACCGACAGCCATGAAAACCGGTCAAAACGCAATCAATTGAAATTACCGCGTCTGCATATTGATACACACATACATTTATCTGTTATATATCAATACATTCATAGATGTCTGTGTGTACGTGTATACTCTGAGCTGTCATTTAAGATCATAATACTAAATTGTTATAGACCACCGGCCCTTGCAACTATTTTTAGTCATTTTTCGGTACAATAAAGGACTCTGTGGGCTTCTGCTAAGAGAACTTTTTATATAAACAATTTTCAGTCTCACATTAAATCATAAATTCGCTTAAATTGTATAGCCATCCACATCTTACAATGGTGCAGAATTTGTAAAAAAAAAAACAAGTAAATTATAATTGCATACTTAAAAACCGGACTTACTCTCAGCGTTGGCTTTCCGCGCTGTGAAATCTTTAGCGCAGGGGCACGCCCAGGGGCACGCGCAGCAATATTGGCTAGTTTTCGTGAACAATGCAAAAATGTTGCACGCTTTGTTGTTGTGCCACTCTTATACACACATTGCGATACAAACCAAGAAAAAAACCAGCAACAATTCAAGCCAAGGTTAGACTTTAGACAACCGTTTCTTGCCGATCGATTTCATTTTATGCTTTTACATTTTGCTTTCCGGTAAGTTTAATGCTCCGCCAATGACCTCAGCAATTAAGCGTTGCATTATAAATCTGTAAATAAATTGCTGATTTTGTTGCTGGCTTTGCAGTTGTGCTAAATTGATCATTATTATTATTGACCGCTGTTTGTTTGCTTACATACAAACATATTGAGTTGAAAGGAATACAATATGAGAGCCATTAATTGCTGTGAGTGGGTTTAGGAAAAGGAATAAAAGGAGCAGAAAATGTTGTCCTGTAACATTCACCATTTAAAGCTTGGCACAACCGACGTCGTATCACACACTAATATATATTTTTATGGAAGACAGACACAAACTTTTCAACTCCTATGTAAGCTCGGAACGTTATTTCCTCTTTTTTCAAAAGAGAATATCAAAATGTCCTAAAGAACTGACGGATTTGTATGAGAAAAATTTTGATATTCTCCAGAGAGTCGACCCTCGCAATGCAAAAATGTTTGACGCCGTGTATCCTCTAAAGCGATCTTCAGTAGACAAATGGAGAATGCAGCTCCAGTTTATTCAAAGCCGCCTCCAAATCAGCTCATGAATTTTTATAAGAGGTTTTAATTTATGTCGAAAATACACTAGGGTTAGTCCCTTCCGAAGGGTAGGATGTAGATCAGGGGCGGGCTCGAACCCATTACCCACGGCATGACAGCCCACACTGCTACTTATAATTATAAAATAAAGCATTTTAACCTTCTTTCCACAAAAGTAAAGTAGTCTAAAGAAAATACTCAGATGGTTCGATCTTACACTACTGTAAGTCTGTTCTTTCACAAACTAAAAGGACGTTAGTGGCACAAACTAGTCAAGTTATTTCCTTTCCTATTGGAAAAGTAGTGGCATTCCCTGCTGAGCGGAACTGGATTTGGAAAACCATTTTTTGGATCTTCCATTTAAGCCAAGGATATCTCTAAAGCAGAAGAGAGAAGGTTTTTCCAAAACATTCCCCTGCCTGTAAATCAAAGTGAAGTAAAGTCCCTCATCATATTTCACCGTCCTGCTATATGGTGCAGAAGCGATATCGACGTCGACCTTGGTAGTATTTGAGAGAAAAGTTTTGCGAGTGATTTACGATCCCTTTGCGTATGGTTAACCACGAATACTCCAGCCGATTATACGCTGTCATTTGCTTACGAGTAGTTCAACGTATGAAGAGATATCTAGCTAGTATAGCTAGGTCAAGTCACCCGAATGGCTGAAATCACACCAACTTTGAGAGTATTCAATGCAGTACCCAATGTAGCCGGCAGAGGAAGAAAAAAATGTACACTCCGTTGTGAGGATTAGGTAAAGAACCTAGTGGTTTCACTTGGTATTTCCAACTGGCGCGAAAGAGCGAAGAGAAGGAACAGATGGCACGCTATTGTTGATAGACAAAGTAGAGATGTATTAGCCGAGTAGCTAGTAATACATACTAGCTTTCAAAAGCTCGTGGGTTCGAATACTGGTCCGACTAGGAACTAAAATAAAAAAGCCCTTCACTGCCGTGCCTATTTTAAAAGTGAAAAAACTTGGTGCCGAAACAATGTAAAATGACTTGATAGGAGGTTCGCAGGAGATTTGATGATTGTACTACATAAACGACATAAGTCTTTTCTCCATTGCCGAATAGGAAAAAGCTCAAAAAGTACTAAAGAAGAGCACAATTTGAAGAGTTAATCCCACGAGACTTAATTGGCATTCGATTAGAAACATAATTACTGCAACCGAATTTTCAAAGATGCCGCTTCTGTGCTACACACCTGCATACTACATATGCACACACACTCGTATGTATGTATGTATGTATGCACGTGTACACAAAATGAACGCATCTTGAAAGCAAGAGTTTAGCAATTAAGATCGGCGGCAAAGATGATTACGTCGTTACGTGTTTGGATGCATCACTGAGCACTGAATATGTATCAAAACACATACATATATGTACATACATACATACACGTATGTACAAGTTTAATTACAAACATGAATTTTTTAACAAACATACATACACACACTTTTACCACTTTAGACAATATTAAAAGCAAGTGCAATTTACTTCAGCTTTTTCTCACATTCCAGTACAAGAAACTCGTACACACATACACATACACGTACATATTGTCGATATTGTACCTGCCCGTTGTGCTGAAAGCAAAAAACCCGTTGGTATGCTAAAGCATGTTTCTCATGCAAGCATCTGCTTTATTACACTTTCACTGATGATGATGAACGGACGGACGGACGGTTCGCGACAAGAAAGTGCCGAAAAAAATCTGTTAGCAAAATAAGCAACTTCAAAAGCAGAATAATGTAGTAAGTGGGTATGTGTGTTGTGAAGAAAATCTCAATGCATTGTGAAATTCTCAATCAATGTTTATCAACTCCATCGCTCGTCACTTACCCACTTTTCCGGCCAATTCAATTAATTTAATTGCAAAAGCACAGCCAAAGAATCTGCGGTTGTTCGAGTGCGGTGATGAAAGTTTCTGCGAAGTTTGGTAGTTATAAATAATTTGTACAAATTATTGCCAAACGCACATACACATATACACATATACATGCACATGCGAGAGTACACGAATGAACAATCAAGTGCCTCGTCAGCTTTAGCGACAAGCCTCAGTGATGACTTTCGTTCATTATTAGCGACACTTGAAATCTATTTACGGCATTGTTTGCAGATTTTATTTTCTTATTTTTGTTATTTTACTGTTGTGTGTGATGTTGTTGTTGTTGTTGTTGCTCAACATACATAAATGGTCCACTTGCAAAATATTTTATTTACATTTGGGCAGCTGTGAAGAAAGTGAAATTCATTTCAAAATATTTTTTACATTTTTAAAGCATTAATTCATTTTTACTTTGATTTTTTTTTATTTTGATTTTTTTTTATTTTTGTTCGCTTTTGTGCCATTAATTTGCTGTTACTTTTGCATTAGAAATCTTAATTTGGCGCGGGCGTTCCTCCACGTTGACAATAAAGAGCTTTTTTTGCCGTTATATACATGGTGAATAATGTATGTAATTTAGGTATGTACGAGTACTTCACGTTGTAGTGGTTTGGCGTGTGACGGTAATCTTCTAATTTCAATTGTTGCTTGTTGAATACGAAAACAATCATTCGAGAAAAATGGGAAGTATGTCATTTTCTACATAAAAAATATTAAATATTTATATGCCATTATGTATATGTATGTATGAAGGTATGTATATATTTGGCAGCCCACAAAACGCTCTCTTACCTGAAATTCCCATAGATATGACGGACTAGTGGTTAACAGTGTGTGCTACCATTCGTTAGGCCGGGATACCTGGTCCAACCAACATCCAAATTTATGGAAAAAGCCATAAGCCGTTTGGAGTTGGTTTAGTATAAACTGTAGCTCCCTCCTTTGGAGGATCGTAAATCACTCGCAAAACTTTTCTCTCGAACACTACCAAGGTCGACGTCGATATTGCTTCTGCACCATATAGTATGACGGTGAAATATAATGAGAGACTTTACTTCACTTTGATTTACAGGCAGGCGAGGTTCTGGCGAAAATCGCTTCAGCGTCTACATTACGCCTATTGTATATAAAGTCCTGTAAAAGCAATCCATTTATTATATTTGCACAAGTTCCTTTATTGATTTACATCTCACGCTCTATATGTGCGATTGGATTGCCCAAGTAGGCGTTAGAAAGATGGGATTTAGTACTAAAAAAGAGATAATGGAAGAGGTGTCAATCACTTAACTCAGTAGCGAACGCGGCGCCCGCAGTAAAGCTCACCGTCAACAAATTGATTGGACCTTATCAGTGTGGCTTTAGCCCTAAATCAACCATTGACCAGATATTCACCTTGCGCTAAATCTTCTAAACGACCCGTGAAATGAGAATAAGACACACACCACCTCTTCGTTGAGTTTAAAGCCACCTTCAACAGCACGAATATCAGCTGCCTCTACGCCGGTATGTCTGAATTTGGTATCCCCCCAAAATTTATCCGACTATGTAAACTGACTGGCTAGACAACACCAGAAGCGCAGTCAGAATCGGGAAGGACCTCTCCGAGCCGTTTTGTACCAAACGAGGTTCAGACAGGGTGACTCTTTGTCGTGTGATTTCTTCAACTTGAGGCTGGAGAGAATAATAAGAGCTGCAGAGATGAATAGAGAACAGAACTGGCGTACGCCCATGATATTGACATTATTGGCCTCAACAACAGCGCCGTTAGTTCTGCTTTCTCCAGGCTTGATAAAGAAGCGAAGCGAATGGGTCTGGTAGTGAACCAGGGCAAGACGAAATATCTTTTGTCATCAAACAAACAGTCATCGTATTCGCTCCCACGTCACTGTTGACAGCCATAACTTTGAAGTCGTAGATAATTTCAACTATCTAGGAACCAGCATTAACACAAATAATAACGTCAGCCTTGAGATCCCGCGCAGAATCATTCTTGCCAACAGATGCTAATTTGGGCTGAGTAGGCAATTGAAAAGCAAAGTCCTCTCCCGAAGAACGAAATCCAAACTCTACAAGTCCCTCATCGTTCCCGTCCTGATATCTGGTGCGGAAGCATGGATGATGACAACATCTAATGAGACGGCCCTGGGAGTCTTCGAGAGAAACGATTTGCGTAAGATTTATGGTCGTTTCCGCGTTGGCAATGGCGAATACCGCAGACGATGGAACGATGACCTGTACGAGTTATACGGCGACATTAATATAGTTCAGCGAATCAAGAAGCAGCGGCTACACTGGCTAGGTCATGTCGTTCGAATGGATGAACGCACTCCAACTTTAAAAGTATTCGATGCAAAACCCGTTAGTGGAAACAGAGGAAGGAAAACACCTCAACTCCATTGGAAGGATCAGGTGGACAGTGACCATGTTTCACATGGTATTTCTACCGGGCGGCAGAGAGCGAAAAGTAAAAGTGAATGGCGCGCTAATATTGTTTGAGCTATAATCGCATAAGCGGTACCAACGCCTATAAAGAAGAAGAAGAAGTAATGCACACAATCTCTGCTGGGCGGACAGAGTTGTAGTCAAATAGCTTGTACCTGCCATGGTTATTGAAGCGGTCACGGAAGAGTTCTGCTACTGTGCCTGCCTCAAATTCGGAACTATCAACAGTAGTAGATGCGATATTCTTCACAGATGGGAACTGAGCTCAACTTTCCAGGAGATTTAGCCGACTAGCTGTTTCTTGACTCCTCGAAAATATCAGTTCTTAGAGATAGTATTCGAAATTTTTAGAGATGAATGAAGTTTTTTTGTACTTTTTCTTGCAATAAAATACACTTTTTTGAACACAAAAAAAAGCGGACCGAATTAATTTTTGTTCTCAATAAACATATTTTTCAATACAACATAGTTATATACATATATTTCAAATATTTTTTTTATTTCACAGACTTTTGGCACACTGAAGTTGCCGATTGAGGAAATGGATCTTTCGAACAATCTCATACGACGCATACCCGAGAAGGCATTCCTCGGCCTCAAGGAATCACTCACAGAATTGCGCTTGGCGAATAATCTCCTGGGCGACAGTTTGAATCCGATATTTTCCACCGCCGAATTCCAGCCATTGAAAAATCTCAAAACACTCGATTTATCGGGCAACAAAATCAAATCGATTGAGGAGGGTCTACTCAAAGGCTGCACCGACCTGAAGGTAAATGAACTTCGCACATAATTTCACTACCATAAGCAGAGATGTAATTATAAGTATGTAGTTATGTGCGTACTTAAGTGTAATTTCTCATTATTCAAACATTTATGTAATGGAGCAAATTAACAAGCAACATACTCGTGCATACACACATACATACTCGTATTATGTACGTTGCATGGTTGCATCACAGCCACATATGTATGTGTGTATACAAGTACTAATATTATACAATTGTGCATTTTGTATGTATGTATGTACGTGTATCTATAGGTGTATGTATAAATTAGCTTAAATATTGTAAATTGCAGTAAAAAGTCACTTGCACATTCCAGACACAATTGTTTACGCAAAATGTTGATGAACTGTCCACGAACACTCTCCATGCGCAAGTAGTGTCTTTGCATGTGAGTGTGTACGAGTATATAATCGCAGCAAAAGTGTTGACGACAAATCGCTGATCGGTCAGTTTATTAATTGACATATTGATATGTATGCATGTAAGGTGTACTCGTATGTCTGCGTGTACGACAGCTATGCAATGTACGCAGGTGCAATACAAATTGGCATTATTTTCGTTAAATGCAGACTTGTTTGCATGCCACCGAGCTCTCGCCAGACAAATTAGATACATTCGAGCGTAATGGCGCAATTTAAATATTTAGTTGAATGCATATTCACATATTTGCATAATACATATGAAAGGCTGAATAATTAACTTATTTGATTTTATTTTTTTTTCAATTCTTAGTCGAACATTTCCCGCTTCATAGTAGTTCTGCCCGTGTTTATCATGCTTAAATGGTTTAGAATTTAATCTTTGTTTTTTTTTTTTCAAAAAAATTGCATTTTAAAAAGTTGTTAATTATTAGTTTTTTGGGAGAAAAAGTTCACATTTCCCCTCAAGTTTTATTCATTGTAGTGACACCCAACTGACACGCTACACCGAAACAAATACCAGGTGTGTTCAAAAAATATCGCGAATTTTGTGTTTTTTCAAAAATTATTTATTTATTCATGAATATCTATTTTGTTCCCTTCAAAGTAATCCCTACACTTCTGCCAACGGTTTTTCTAATCTTCAAAGCACTTCATAAAATCATATCTTTTATCTTATTCAGCTCCTCCTTCGATGCCGTCTTTATCTCGTCAATCGTAGCGTTCAAAAACACGGTGTGTTCAAAAAGTATCGCGAATTTTGAATTTTCGCGGGTTACGTTTAATCGAATTTCGATTTTTTTGTGGCGTTATGTTGGTACTCATGTCTGTCTTTTATGCCGACAAGCTGGGCCATTTTGAGTGTTCACTTAAATGTTGACAGCTGCTTTGCTTGCACGTGTTTTGGATGGTCTTCGATTTGTAATTTTTAATGAAAGTTTTGCTGACAGTTTTCTTCGATTGCAGGGGCGTGGGTCATCATGAGTTCTTACCACAGCGTAGAACCGCCAATAAGGAATATTACCTGCAAGTTATGCGCAATTTGCGCGAAGCAATCCGCCAGAAACTCCCGGATTTGTGGAAGAACAAAAATTGGCTTTTGCACCACGATAACGCCCCTGCTCACACATCGTTGCTTGTGCGCGACTTTTTGGCCAAAAACAACACACTAATGATGCCGCAGCCACCGTATTCCTCAAATCTGGCCCCCTGTGACTTTTTCTTGTTCCCTAAACTGAAGAGGCCCATGAAAGGACGACGTTACGCTACGACTGACGAGATAAAGACGGCATCGAAGGAGGAGCTGAACAAGATAAAAAAATGATTTTCTTAAGTGCTTCGAAGATTGGAAAAACCGTTGGCAGAAGTGTATAATATCTGATGGGGATTACTTTGAAGGGAACAAAATAGATATTCATGAATAAATAAATAATTTTTGAAAAAACACAAAATTAGCGATATCTTTTGAACACACCTCGCATATATTGAAAATGTGTAAAAAAATTTTTTAATAGAATTTTTTTATATAATATATTCAAAATTCCATCATTTGTTTTGTTAATTTTTTAAGGGAATATTTGTCTAGAATTTCTTTTCTCAACAATACTAATGGACGACTTTTTATGCCCCATTGTGCACTCATACATTACAGCCACTTTGTAACTGCTGAGTTTCGGCCGAACACCTCCCTCAATTTGTGGTTTGGCGTCTTGATGTTTTTTCCAATAAATTGAGGAGCCTCCAGTTTATAATAAGACACCTCCGAACGGCTGATGGCTTCTTTTTATTGAAAATGCCCTCGGAAAGATTGACATTGCCTGTAGAGAGGCGACTGCAATAAGTAGAATTAACTTAATTTTTAATTAATTTTTTATAATATTTTGCTTTGTTTTTGGTTGGATCGCACAAGCCGAGTGGTTAGCATAACGAACTGTCAATCTAAAGACCAGGGCTCGACTCCTTGTTAGACCAACATCCAAAGTTATAGAAAATTATTTTTTGTGATTGCGGCCGCGCCTCTGCAGGAAATAAAAGACCCTTGGAGTGTATTTGCACAAAGTTCCACACAAAAATCGATCAGTCGTTCGGACGCGGCTCAACTGTAGGTCTCTCCATTTGTTAGAGAAACATAAAGACGCAAACCTCAAATCGTAGGAAGTGCATTGCTTTAATGGGAAGATAACCTCACTCGAGATAAGTGTCGTTAATAAAATGCCATAAATATATTGGGTTATTTTAAAAGAAAGTAAATATGTATGGAAAATCGTTGGTTTCTTTTGGGGCAACCCAATAGTTTTAAATGTTTGATTAGAAAAAATAATTGTTTTTCAGACTAGGAAACTTATCACTCTGTACATCTGTCAAATAGTTCCAAAAATGGCAACCCTACGTGAGCCTTCCACAAAAAATACCGTTTCGCATAAGTTCTGTGAAATATTCTAAAGTTTTGGCAACACGAAAATGTGTTTGGCTTAAAACTTTTTGAAAAATCTTTTGTTCGTAATCGATTTTACGGTCTTTACTGTGCATCGAAGAACTGGTTCGTTCTCAAGATGAAAGTATTTAAGGTGGCAACTCTCTATCAATAAAAATATTACTATATTCACACATTACTTAAAATACTTCATTCAATTTATTTTTTTTTCATCTAAGCCGCTATTTTTTTTTTTGGCCCTGAGGTTTTCCAAAAGTGTTTGGTTTGCTTTAAAACGGTAATATAATATGATGTTGGTTAAATTCCTCCAATAAGCTTTTCTATTTTTACAACGGTTACAGACTTTTTCACGTTAGAGGAGGTGGCAACACTGTCAGAAATTTTTTGTTCTTGAACTGTTGCTCAAATAATATCTCTTCGATATCTTTACTGTGACACTTTTCGCCGATATTTAAATTAATTTAATATCCTGAGTTGCCACCTAGTTTCGAAAATTGCCCAACTACACATGAACAGTATGAGGTTTCTACGACGTTATTCTTATCAAGATGTCGTTGTTGTTGGAAAATGCGCTAAAACAGTTTAAACAATAAATGTGAACCAGGTCCGTGGGGTAGACGAGTCAGCGTTGCAAAATCGCTTTAGAAAATCTACACATATGAACCAGTAAGCTATTTTCCATTTCACCTACAAGTGACGTCAACTTAGCATGATTTCAATCCCAAGTTAGTGGCTGAATCTTATCTCCTTGCATTCTTCCAAAGATTGAAGTTATTTATGTATCTTCTGCCTATTGCAACCTCAAAGTAGCAGTGGTTCCTTAAACCTTTTCATCTTGTTGCAGGATTTCTATTTAGATCGGAATTGCTTATCCGCCGTTCCATCCAACTCGCTTAATGGACCCAACGGGCTGCGGCTACTATCATTGCGCCACAATCATATAAGTAAGTCATTATTTTCGTTAGCCAACGCTGCAAGAGACCTGTACTGCCATAACCTTATCAACTTTCTCTCTTTGATTTTCTATTTTTTACCACCTTCGCCACTTTTACAACAACAATCAACAACAGCAACACTCCCTTACGAGGCGTTCATAGCACAGCCGCAACTGGAAATTGTGGATTTGCGCTACAACGAAATCAAATCGATCGAAGGTCTGGCGTTTCAAGGTCTCCGCATGATACGCGAAATTAAATTGGCCGGAAACCGTATTACGAATTTGAATAGTGACGTTTTCGAGCGTGTGCCCACTTTGCAGAAGTTAGATCTGTCCGAAAATTTCATAGCTCAATTCCCAATCGTGGCGTTGGCGGCTATTGGAAATCTGAAGTCATTGAATTTGTCCTCGAATATGTTGCAGGTGAGTGCGTGCGCCGTGTGCCAGAGTTATAAGACATTTTTAAATTGATTTATTATTTTATTTGCTGAATTTTATTTACTGCAGCGCTTGGACTACACGCACATGCAAGTGGTTAAGACTCTGGAAGTGTTGGATTTGAGCCGCAACGGCATTACGACAATACCACCGGGTACTTTCCGCGATTTGGCGGCGCTTAAATACTTAGATTTGAGTTTGAACTCACTGCGAACAGTAAGTGCACATTGGGAGCCAAAACATTTTCTTCCACTCACTCGATCTATTTTTTTTTTCAGATTGAAGACGACGCGCTGGAGGGTTTGGATAATCTGCAAACTCTCATCATACGCGACAACAATATCTTACTCATACCAGGCAGCGCTTTGGGTCGCCTGCCGAGCTTGACCACATTACATTTGGACTTTAATCGGGTCGCCGCTTTATCAACGGAGATTTTGGGCTCTATACAAGCAGAGGACATCACTTCATTGACACTCGCACGTAATGTGATACGCGAGCTGCCGCCTGGCAGTTTCCAAACGTTTGCCAATCTACGCACACTCGATCTCTCTGGCAACTCGCTGGCCGTAATTAGTGCTGACATATTCCTTGGCTTGGATCAGTCACTTAATGAATTGAAACTCTCACATAATCGTATTACCGGCTTGGGCACTGCGCCGCTTGCCTTGACCGAATTGCGTAGTCTCGATTTGAGCGGCAACAATCTCGCTGATCTGCCGCGCAATATATTCCAGGATTTAGAGAATTTGCAGTATCTTAATCTTAGTGGTAATCACCATTTAGCGCCCGTACCAGCAGCGCTTATACGACCACTCGCACGCTTACAAGTCATCGACTTGAGCCATTGTGCGCTGAAGCAGATGTCCGGTGATCTTTTCGCAACATTGCAGGACCTAAAACACATTTATCTGAACAATAATAATTTACAAGAGATTAACGACGGTAGTTTTGTTGATTTATGGAACATCTCATCAATAGATTTGTCTGAGAATCAAATCACCTCTATACGGCCAGGCGCTTTCGTCAACATAATGCACGTCAGGCGTCTTAATTTGCGCGGCAATCAGCTGTCCGCTTTTAAGGGTGAGTTCTTCAACACAGGCACCAGCTTGGAGGAGCTGGACATCTCAAACAATCACCTCAGCTACCTATTTCCCTCTTCATTTCGCATACATCCCCGTCTGCGTGAAATCAAAGCGGCTAATAACAAATTCAGCTTCTTCCCCGCCGAGCTCATTTCGACGCTGCAATATCTAGAATATGTGGACCTCTCGCACAATCAACTCAAATCGATTGAAGAGTTGGATTTTGCGCGCTTACCACGCCTGCGCGCACTGCTTGTCGCTCACAACCAATTGGATATGCTCAGCGAGATGGCTTTCCACAACTCGACTCAACTGCAGACAGTCGATTTGTCGTACAATCACTTGGACCGCATTGGAGAGCGTACATTTGAAGGTTTGGTACGCTTGGAAATGCTCAATTTAGAAGGCAATCAACTGACCGAGCTTTCTGATTTGATATTTGAACGCTCCAAGCTGCAAATGTTGGAGAATATAAATTTGGCGCAAAATAAATTCGAATATGCGCCACTCAATGCGCTGCAGCGTCAGTACTTCTTTGTCTCCTCGGTGAACTTGAGTCGCAATAAAATACGCGCCATACCTGCGGATGATAGCATTATGGTGAATATCAAGGATCTAGATCTCTCATACAATCCTCTGAGCGAAGGTGCAGTGCGCAACATACTCAACGAACCGAAGACGGTGCGCGCGCTCAATTTAGCCGGGACGGGCATTGTGCATCTAGAGCCACTAGAGACACCGTTTCTGCAGTATTTGAATCTCTCCGAAAATAACCTTAAATCTATTGATGCTGACGTATTTCAGCGCACAACTCTACTTGAGACTTTAGATCTATCCAGTAATCATTTGGAGAGTCTAAGCGATCTTGCTGCCGCCTGGCCAAAACTGCAGTCCCTAAACACTTTGGACCTCTCCAACAATAGTTTTGAGGTAATCTCACAGGAAAATTTCGAAAATTTGGAAATGCTACGCGTTTTGCGACTCAAGAGTCTGCCTAATGTCAATCGCATCGAGAAGAACGCTTTCAGACATATGCCTAATTTGGAAAAACTCGAGGCATACGACCTACCCTTGTTGGGCTACCTCGATTTGCAGGGCATACTGGAGTTGTTACCCGGACTGGAGGATATAGATTTCGAGGTGAAAGACGCCTCAATAGGTACAGAGCAAATACAGCCCGCTAAGCATCCGAGACTCAAATCGATAGGCATACGTGGTGATCGTCTTAAGACGATCTCCTCTGGCACATTAGCCGGTTTAAAGAGTAGCGACCTCACCATAAAACTACAGAATACGTCACTTACATCGCTGCCACCTGCCCTACTCTTCCCTGTGCCACGCTCCTCCCACCTAACACTGGATATTACAGGTTCTAAAGTCACTGTGTTGGTACCACAATTTCTTACTGCGCTAGAGGACCGACGTTCCAGCATGCAATTGAAGGGTCTCGCCACAAATCCTATACACTGCGACTGCAATGCGCGCGCACTTCGACGCTGGCTGCCCAATTCGCATATGTCCGATGTCGAATGTCAGTCCCCAGCTTTCCTTGCCGGCAAGAAACTAATCGAAGTTGGTGATGATGAGCTGACATGCGATCCACGCCGCATGACTACTACTACCGCTCGCAGCACCTCACAATATATGCTTAAGTCCTCTTCCCGCCTCGTGACACGTCCCACACCTACCACTACTGAGGAACCCATGATCATCTGGAGTTTAGAGCCGACACAAGCACCACCCATGAAGATCAAAACCAAGGCACCGCTCATGAAGGCGCCCATTATGAGTAACGATGATACGCTAATCATAGGTATTGTAGGCGGTGTAGTCGCCTTCATTGCCATTCTCATCATCATAATTTGCATTGTACGGCTACGTATGAGCAATGTGGACTACCACAATGGACCAGCTATGATCGGTATACCACCAATGCCAATGGGTCCGGGAAATATGCCGATGAACTTCAAGGGCGCACCTACAGCTCTCTACGCTGTACCGCCGTATGCTACACAAAACTACGCCACATTGCCACACAAAACGTCCTCCATACATCAATCCACACAAAATCTATCGCAGCGCGGCGCTACACAAAATGGACAAAACTCTTATTCCACTATGTCGCGCATGTCGTACTTTGGCGGTACACAGCAGCAAGCCTCGCCACAGTCCAATGGCCAACAACCGTATATTATCTATTCAGATGACAAAGTGTACAGATAAGACCGTATGGATGGATGGATGGGTGAAGTAGGCTCACTGTGGCGGTGCGTGTAACAAATCATTTTAGTGTTCAATACAAGCTGGGCGGCCGAAGGCCTTCCGGTGAGGGCCGTAATGGCCGTCGTTGGCTCACACAATTACAAGCCTTATACATACATACAAACACTTTCAGTCAGTTGTGTAACATTTACGCAACGTGTTTATTCTTTTGTGTTGAATTTTTTAATATTTTTTTTTTATTTTTTATTTTATCGATTCAGAAAACCATCTTAGTGTAGCCAAGTTTTGAACTTGGCGCTTAGTGTTAAATATAAATATTTTAAAATTATACATAGCTCAAGTGTCTTACAAATCATTTTAAAGGCAGTATGTAAGTGTGGGTTCCGTGGAAAACGAGACTACAAAAAATTATTTCATTCATTTTATGCTCAATCAGATAAAACTGCATCATTCAAAGTATGGTCATCTCTAAAAAAATGTTTCTTCTCTGCCCTCGATCCAATCATTCTTCGATTTCTTCAAACGACTCGAACCGTTTACCCGGAAAATCGTTTTGTATTCGTCGGAAAGCCCGTACTCGGAAGAAGCAAGGTTTGGAGAATACGGCGGGTAGAGACATCCAACCCCACTCTCCCTCTGGTCCAACCCTGTCGAAATAACATGTTTCTTGGACCTCCCATTAGATTACCTCGGTGACTTAGATTGATTAAACCTGTCCCCAAGCGGAGCTAGTGAATAGCTACAACAACAATAATAACAACGGCGGGTGCAATAAGACCACCCGTTAAGGCGTTTCAAGGTGGCTTTCAGTCGTTTATGGACGATTTTACGCAATCCACGTCTCAAACGCTAACATATCGTATCAATGGTTTCGCCTAGTTGGTAGAGAGCTAGTTCCAGTAAATCCTCCACTACCCCATTTTCAATCCTTTTGGATTGTCCTGAAAGATCTTTGCCTTCGACGCTGAAATCACCACTTTAGAAGCGTCGAAACTACTCTCTGCTTGACTTATCGGTCGGCACAGATTCACCATAAACCCCCACAACCATTCTTCCCATTAAAATTGAAAATAAAATTAAAACGGACCGAATTAATTTGTACCCCCAACATTTTACCGAGTAGTAGAAATCTCTCGCAGCCGAGCAAAATGACTAGGGTCAGCGATGTTTAGAACAGTGGAATTAAAAACTTCTTTTCCAATGAATAGATGACAGGGTGCGATGCTTACGAGGAGTTACAATAACAAATAATCTTCATTGTCTTTACTTTCTCTAAGGCAGTCTTTTTTTATTGCCTCTGTACGCTCTTTCGGGTGCCTCTTGGTTCCGTAAAAAGACAGACTGTCGCTCTTGGCGCGAAAACTTCATTTGCACAGAGCCAAGTGCCATGGAAATTCAGTAAAGTCTTTCAAATACATATATCAAATTGCGCCAGTCTCGTTACACGCTCAACTGTCTTTCTAAATAAATATATAGATTATGTAACTCATTTATATAAAACAGATGCATGCAATATAAATATATTTAGTATAATGATCTGGGGTAAAATATATATATATATAGAAATTGTATTATAAATAGTTTAAGGCTGCAATAATTAGCTAAGGGATTTTTTTTTTCAATAAAAAAACTCTATTTAAATACAGAATACCACACCAATAGTTTTTGTAAGTAACTTAATTTGAAATATTATTTTATTTTAAGCAAATGCTGTATAATAAATATTTTTAAATAATAAATAAATTTAATAAATAAATAATAATAAACTAAAAATACAAGAAATCTCTTGGCTGTTTGATTAATGCATTCAAGTTAACCTTTTAACGGTTACTTTTCGAAAAGTATTCAGTTAAAGCAATCACATTTTTGGCTATATTTATTTACATCTACATATACATAGGCCGCAGTAGCCGAGTGGCTAGCATTGCGTAACGCCACTCGAAAGGCCAGGGCTCAAAAGTTATAGAAAATTAATTTAAATAAAAAATTAAGCTACATTTTCTTAATGCCGTCGTCCCTCGGCAGGGAATGTCAACCCCTCCGAGTGTATTTCTGACATGTAGTAAAAGCTCCTCATAAAAAAACAACCACCAGCCGTTTATAGCCGGCTTTGTTTATACTGTATACTGTCCATCCGTTTTTAGGAAAAATGGGGGAGGAGCTCGGTCGCAAATCGCTTCAGCGGTTATAAAGCGCCAAAAATTATTACTTATTTTTTTTTGTATAAGTCACTTCTACGCTGCCCATATATACATAATTGAAACATTTTTTTAAGTAAATTCAATTAGAATTTATTTAAAGATTATTTGCTTAATTTTATTTTTAAAATCGATAAAATTTACAAAAGTTTATATATGTATTTTATATCTATGTACAAATGTACATTTTCAATTCTTTCATATATTATATTATACATCTTCTGATAACATATTATATTTGTAAATATAAAGTTTCGTCAAACATCATTTTCATTAAACAACAGTCTTTTTTTAAATATTTAATGCAAATATATATATATAAGTAATATAATTAGCATTACTGTACATAACAAGCACGAATTATGTGTAAAACGGACAAGTACTAATGCAAATCTGTGACTGGACAAACACAATAGTTTATAGCTATCATTATTATATTAGAATTAAAAATACAACGCACAATTTCTTAGGTTAACAACACACAAGCGTGCACAATAATTGTCTTTAGTGGTAGGAAAAATTTACTGAACTTAAATTAAACTAAAAATGCTTACAAATAAATTCTATCGTTTGTTACAGTCTGCTCATTTCAAATGCATAAAATTTACAAAAAAAAAAACTATTAAAAAAACATTTCATCAGCTGAATGATATTTAAATATTTTACACAAGAAAAAATTAAGATAATAAAGAGATACCTAAAAGTACGTAGATTGCTTAGAATTTATTAAAAATGAAAAATTTAATAAGCACTTTTCAGACCAAAATGCCCGGCAAACTTACACCGCCTTACATTGATTACACATTTTATTACATTTTATTAAAAATAAATTGTTTAAGTTAAGGAGCAGACCAAAAGCTGACACGAACATGATAAAGTTATTTCATAAATATATGTAAATCTTGGTGTATTCACGAACGTGCACAATTAAATTTTAATGTAATTTAAAAAGATAGAAATGCGTATCACAATGGATAGGATTGCATACAATTACACATATTTATACACTCAAAATGCAATTCAATTGCTAAATATCATATTGGTCAAATATTAAAATTAAATGCATAACTTTGGATACATATGCACACACATACAAAATATATACATTTAATATTAGGATTAATGACATTTAGAGGAACATGTAAATTTGTGCTCATTAGCAATGGGAGCTTGTTGGTGCTCAATGTTTTATCTTTTTGTAGGTTGTTGTTGGTAGGTTGTTGCTGTTGCTGTTGCTGTTGCTGGGTATAACTAAAGAGCTTCATCAAACACCGTTAATTATGCCATTTGCGCATACGCGTACAAACTATATCTGCGACGGCGATAATACATCATGAAAACATAGGATAGCAGAAGCATAAAGCTGATAGCTGATGCCAATATCGCTACAAATAGAATGAAATCTAATATTAGAAATAGTAAATCACAGCTTAATTCATGTTTTTTTCCTGTAATTCTTACCCATAGCCGTGCCGATATTTGCCTCATCATAGGTCATCATCATTGTGGTTAATTTGCATTCTTGCTCCCAATTCACTGGCAATATGTCCATGTAAAGTTTGTACATTTGTTCTAATGGGCAGGCCACACCACAGTCAGGTATATTAAGTAGTTTTGCTTCCGGCGAGTTGTTTTTGTAGAAAATCGAAATGTAGGCTTGGTTATTCTCATCGACACGCAACTCAAATAGTAAACAAGCTGTATAGCCGGGACTCTTCATCTAAAGGAAGAAAAGTATTATACATATAAACATTTAATGATCTTTTGCCCTTCAAAATTTTATGTTTATTTCAATTTCTTAACTTTTTACCTATTAGAAAAAGTATCTATGGTTCGATTTAGTTGAAATTCAGTGTATAAGGGCCTTTTACTTAGATTACTCTTCGCTCCAAAAAGTGGCCTACATACACACCAATATACTTGACAATAAGGGATTTATAGTTATTTTTATTTGAAAGTTTTTACAAGAAGTGAAGCAATCTATTTGAAAAACAAATACATTTCGCGATTTTGTTTTCTGGAAATGCAGCAGGAGTATGGAACTCAGATCGATTATAGTATAGTATAAATTATAAATATAGATCTATTCAATTTCCGGTCATATAAGGAGCTTATATTTTAAATTTACAAGGAAAGCAAATAATTAAATAAAGTGATCCTAAAAGGTGTCTAATATCCAATAGTCCATGTAGTGTCGGGTCTTTGAGCCCAAAAAGAATTAGCCTAGAATCGAAGTTCCGTAGAGCATGATAGAATATCGTAACATTTAACTTTCCAAAAGCCAAAATGAAAGCAATTTGCTTCTTTTTACCAAACTGAGTCGATTCAATTTCTATTACACTGACCTTAGTTCACAGAATTGGCTCATGCTGTGCCACATAAGTAACGAAATCTAAGAATTCTACACAAAGCAAACATCATTTTCATCCACTTACGTCATATAATTTCAAAGCGTTCAAAATATTCGCCACCGTAGTGTCATGTGCACTGTAAATCCAAACCGAACGATCTGGTTTCAACGAGCCACGCGCCTTCTCGCCAAACCGATGTAGCATTTCCTTTAACAGCGGACCGGACTTTAAGCGTGCCATGCGACGTGTATAGGTGTTGATGGAGAATGCAAAGTCTGCGATATACGTCATATCAGCGCTGGGGTACACTTTCTTAGTCCATTCGGGTAGTGTCCGATTGTAGAGTGACTCAATGAATAATGTATTATTCATGCGTTGTACACTCTCCAAAGTTTCGATTTTGCGACCCGAATATTTCGACAAGTAATCATATAAATATTGATAACGTTGATTCAACTGCTGGAATGTTATTGAGCTCATTAGCGCTGAACGAGCATACTCATAAGCCGGACATGGCGCTTTGCCGGCTAATTCCTAAAAATTGCCACAGAAGGGTTTAATATTAATAAAAAAAAATTCAAAAGTGGATAATAGGCAAATCAATGAGCACCTTATCATCCTTCTCCGCCATAGAGTGCACTGGTATTGGCTGCCATGGTATGTCTTTGTTCCACAACTGATCGCCAGCCGGTGGATAGAGTCCAGCTAAATTGGAAAGCGCACTCGCCAGCGTACGATCAACATCAGTGGAGCGCACATAAACCTCATTCTCAGAATAGGTTTCATTCAAGAGCGCATTGTAGCGTTGACGTAACCACTTACCAAGTTCATAATGTTGATTTTTTCCTATCTGTAAAATGAAGTAAAACATTTCGTGATTATTGCATTGATTACATGAAATGAAATCACTTTCTAAGAAAACGTAATATATGTATATATGAGATAGCAATATATTGAAAGTATAAATGATGTTTTTAAAATTACATATGTACATATGCATATATATAACACAACATATAGACATGTACTCATATCTTATTTTATTTTTGTTTATTTAATTTAATTTATTTGTTTAATTATTCAATTATTTAATTATTTATTTAATTGATTGTTTATTTAATTATTAAATAATTTATTATGTATTCAATTATTTATTTACTAATGATTTATTTAATTGTTTGTTTATTTAATTATTTATTTGTTTATTTATTTATTTAAACATTTAATTATTTGTTTATTTACTTAATTATTTATTTAATTATTTATTTATTTATTCAGTGATTATTTATTTATTTATTAATTCATTCATTCATTCTTTTATTTATCTATTTATTTATTTGTTTATTTATTTATTTATTTATTTATTTATTTATTTATTTATTTATTTATTTAATTATTTATGTGTTTATTTAAGTATTTATGCAATTATTTGTTTAACTGTTTATTTATTTAATTATTTATTTTGTTATTTATTTTTTATTCATTTATTTATTTAATTATTTATTTGTTTATTTATGTATTTATTTATTTATTTATTAATTTATTTATTCATTTATTACTTTAATTATTTATTTAGTTATTTAATTACTTATTTGCTTATCTATTTATTTATTTTTTATTTATTTAATTTTCTAATTATTTTATTTTATTTTTCTTTCACTTTATTTTTCATATTACTCGTAAGGCATGCCAGTTTAAACATATGTACCTGTTTATATGTACATGCATATTTGCATATAGATTATATAATATTTTAACATTTCGTGAGAAAATTTTGTTAATTTAATAAATAGGGCACTTGCGAAGAAAATGTTTAAACAGTTGTATAAACAATAGAAGCGTATATGTGTATGTATGGATGCATGTACATCTATAGCCATGAGTACCTTCGTAAAAGGAATAATGCAGGCTTTAACTTCAGATTGCAGGGTATTGTTAGGTTTTGAAAAAATAAGGAACAATGCCATCGCCTTTGTTTAATAAACAGCGGTTTCTGTTATCAAGTTTTCTTTTTACCATCTATCCTTTTTCCTCAATAGCACACGATAAGCATATTATTGCCGTTGATAAAGAAATTTTTGAGGATTTTATTACATATACATACATACCTATGTATACATATAGATGTATATTTTTATTGCCTTTTCGAGTTTCCTTTTTCCATTATATTTATTACTTATCTATTTGTATTTTCTTATCTTTGCAAAAGTTCAGGTTTTGGCTAATGCAGCATTTTTCCAAAAAATAATACCGTTATCAATATACAAGTTGAAGATACATTAAATAAATAACCAAAATTTTGTTCTTTACATTTCTTATCTTCAGCTTTTTGTTTGCGACTTTCGAACAACACGTGTTTTGCCAATTTACAACGTTGCTACTGTGTTTATTGCTGTTAAACACATAAAGCAAACATGCATTTGTCCTTTTGTGAGCATTACAAATTTACCACTGATAATGTTGTATACGCATATCCAGTAGGAAACATAAGAGTTAAGAGAAAATCAAATTTAGTCTTAAATATCAGTTTCGGCACTTACGTAAAGCTAAACTTACACACGCCAAACTATATTTTCCTACTTTCCCAAATATTTCCTACAGGGATTTTACTTACACCCGCACTCAAATTTTATTATCGCTATGGTCAGCATACGACATCACGCGAATGGTCTAAATACATAACAAACAAATCGTTTGAATACAAACTGTGATTCGAAAAAACAAACAAATCTTCACAAATATTCACACGGCACACAAATAAATGTAAGAAAATATCGAATTCGTAACAAGACGTTATTTATCCACACACTTTTGTGCGCTCATTAAGTTGAAATTAACGCCATTGATTGTTGTGTGCAAATTTTTCTATTTATATATCTACTCGTAGGTACATATGTACTCGCCCATATATGCATATCAGCGCATTCTAGCTGCATTACATGCATATATATGTATGTATGTCTGTGCATACCAGCTCTAGAACAAATTACTAAAGGCTTTTATTGTTTGTAAACACAAATTCATGACATACACATACATACATATGTATGTACATATTGTATTTCAACGTTCAATATTAATCACTTATTTATAACTACATATAATGTTGATAAGCCATTAAACAATTTTAGTTGACTTCTTATATATATACATATATATATAAATAATTATGTATGTTTATTTATGAGAACACTACATTTGTAGATGACTACTATGGGTTAATGAACTGTGAGCTAATTTAGAGAAAAAGATTTTATTTTATAATTGCCCACTTTTTGAGTTTTGTTGTAAATTATATTTTTTGTATTTTTTTTTTTGGTTGTAGTATTTTTATCAGCTAAATTTGTGCTAATTAATATTTCATGTATTAATCTAGATGGTTGAGAATTTTGTACAAATGTATGTATATATAAAAATTCATTTGCTGTTTTTGCATTGAAAATTTACTAAAAAAAATTATGAAAACTCGCATATAGCATATATAAAAAAAAATATGCAGATTATTTTATGTGTTATATATACGTACATATGTATGTATGGTTAGCAGCACATAACAATCAAGCTTGTGCTTATTATGTGAGAAAGCCTTACCGATGGCATGCACAGGAGCCTTGGCAAGGCAAAACGGCCTACACAATAGCCAAAGCAATTAGCCTTTTAGAGCTCTACGCAAACAAAATGTTGAAGATCCGATAAGGAAATGAATCAAATTAATGCTCACGCTGAAAGATAAATCCCGCCAAAAGAGCAATTGTAAAAAAAAAAAACAAGAATATGAAGTGAAGTATCTAGGGATGTTTTCAAACTCCTCTAGAAAAGAGATATGAACTACGCAATCAGCAAAGCTACTTAACAGTTAATAGTTAAAGCGGAAGACTAGCAAGAAAAACCGGGGGATGTACAGCCGGAATATTGCACAGGATGTATACTATGATAGTAAAAGCAACAATCACATATGATTGCTCCAGCCTGGCCAGGAAGAGTTTAGAGATATTAGGACTGCGCTAAAAAACTTCAAAGACTAGCATGTGCCTGCATTAATGGCTGCATGACAACGTGTCTTGCAGTAGCTCTCGGAGCTCCACTTAATCTCTAATAAAAGAACACTATTCAAAATGATGGCAGAAGGTATCGGGAAGAGGAAAGTAATATCCATCCGAAAGAGCACAAAAATTACTATGTCTTGAACTTCAGCATAGCGTTAGGGGAGAAAATATCGTGGAGACAATCCCTGATAAATAAAGAAATCAAAGCGGACGTGTGTGGATGCCAGAAGCCGAATAACGATATTGATGCAAGAATCACGGGAGCCATTAAAAATTAAAACCAAACAATTATTAGAACGAGGAAGTAAACCTTACCAATATATGTTTACAGTAAAATATTTTTTTACGTTCGGCAAACAGTGAATTTTTTCAATTATTTCACAAAGAGTCTAATTCAACAATCAACAAGTTAGCACTCTGAATTGGCTTATTTAAAAATTTTTACATTTTACGTTTTATGTACCGTATATTTCTGTACATACATAGCCTACATACATACATAAATATATACATATGCACGTAAAGCATTTAAACATGATCACTTTTGACTACAAAAAAAATAACTTTGTTTGCTTTAATTAAAAAAAATAATGCGGGAAAGTCAGATAAATATTTGGCACTGTCCATCACTTTCCTTATCAATTTCCGTGTAATTTTTAATAATATTTCACAAAATGTGATCATCGTTGAGAATTTGTGAAAATTGACGCAAAAAAGGTTATCTTAATGGTGATAAAAATTATTTAAATATTGCGTTTTCAAAAGATTTAAATAGTAGTATACATATGTACATACATACGCATTTATATTTATGTACATATGTATATGTATGTAGAGAATTCCCCATTCGAACGCAGTAAAATCAGTCTCCAAATGGCAGTAAACATATGGAACAGTTTACATTTACATATGTGTATGTACATACGTACGTCTGTATGAATGAATTGCACATGCACTTGCAAATATTAAAAGCTCCAAGCAAAATTAATTTTTCACACTTACATTTGTCAGCTCACCCCAACCAACTGGCCAGTACTCCCGATTTTTCCATGGATCCGTGGGGTACGGTTCGATTGGTGTGCGATCGCCATGCCGGAAGAGCTGAAAACATTCAAAAGAAGGAGATAAAGAAAAATTCTCTTAAGTTCTCAGCTGGTGAATGAACTAAAACGCAGTATTGGTAAGAATTTAATGACTAAATCGCTTTGTTGACTGATAAAATAAAAATTACACGCCAATTGCACTTACCACATGTGAGAATATCAACTTGCCCTTCAAAGCAGACTCAGGCAGCGCGTTGTTAATTTCGTTTGCTGCTTGCTGTTTTGTTGATATTTCCAGATCCGCCACAACGAAACAAAAACTGAAGATGGCGATGAGCAGCGTGTGTTGTTGGTACAGCCAGAGTGGCTTAAATAAATTCGGCATTGTTGTCATATGCGTGTATGTGTGTGTGTGTGTGTGTGTGTGTTCGCAAGTGTTTGCAAAGTTGTTTTACTTGTTTACTTTTTTATATTGAACGCGTATTTCCGCTTCTTAGTAAGCCCAAACGACCGACCGACTTGCTTCTTTAACACCAAAATATAAAATAAGCGTATTTTTCTTCGCTTCTTGCACCAAACAAGTCAATGCTTACGCACGTACAAAAAAAAATGCTTATAGCAAATAAATGCAACAAGAAATATGGGACAATACGTCGAATTTATTTTTTAAGCGTTTATTTTTGTATCTTGTCACAGCTGCCTGTTTGCCAATGCGCTGCGTTCCCGTTTCCTGCCTGCTCGCTTGCTCGCTGTATGCCGACGACAAAGTGGGAGGGAGGCTTTTCTAGACAATTTATTCCAACATTTGTTTTGCGCTCTGTCGTTTTCTGTATGATAGACACTCTTTGTTGGCTATCAAATGTGCAAATTAAAATTGCGATTTTATAAATTCACCAACACCATTTCACACATTTGCACGCAAGTATTTTCGTAGTTGTGTATGTATACACTTTGTTATTACCTCAGTCAACTTCTTCTTAGAGTACCTAACAGCTGGTAGCCTTTGTTTGTTACTTCTTGTTTTTAATTCAACAAAACGCTTGTAAAAAGCAAATGTCTGCCACTGGCCTTGCTTATATTCGCTCCGATTTTGCCCATTGTTAGAACAGAGACAAGTAAAACAAAATGTTTTAAAATACAATATCACAAATAATAAACAATTCCTTCAATTCAATTTATTTTCGCCGCCAGAGCAAGTCTACATGTGACTTTGACACCCAACACGACGACAGCAACTGTGTGAAGACGCGCAATATTCGAACCGACTCGCTGCAGAGTCACCACGACAATGTAAAGAGCGAGAGCTGGTAGTGAGAAACAAATGCGCCGCAGCTACTCAGTATCATTTTATCAACAGATAAGAGCCTTGAAAACGCTGTGGAAGTGTCAAAAAACTGAATTTCGTACCTGTTATGTACTTGGCTTGGTTACGCGGCTGCTCAGCGGAGTGTGTTTCCAAACAAATACAGAGAGCGTTTACACAACGGCCCGCTGCTGCAGTTGTATTGCATTGGGTAGCGTGCGTGCAGTGCCGAGAGCGTTGAAAACAGAGATTTCGTAGAGCGAGTATTATGAGTTGGGTAAAATCTTGCGATACAACTGAAAAGTGACACAACTCAAAATTTTTAAATATCTATTGAAGTAAGAAAAATCTGCATTATAATGAGGTATCTTCCGAAAACTGCAAACCTTTGCTGAAAGTATGGCTCAGGTTTAATAAATTAATTGTATACCATTTTTTATTCTAAAGATATTTTTTTAGAGCAAAACGTTAACGGTTTGTTAGCAGCGCCTAAAAGATGCAATCATTATGAAGTTATGAAAGAAAAACAAAAGAAATGATTTTACACTTAAAATTTTATGGATTAAAATTTTTTTTATAAAAAATTCATAACGTCTTAAGTGTTACATAAAAATGTAAATTTCTCTTTTACTTTTTTCAAGTAAACTTTTATAGAAAATTTCGTCAAACAATAAAATAAGTAATTAACAGGCTTTAAGCTCGCTCACACTCATAATAATTTTATTTTTTTTTTTAATTTAATAACAATATCACAACGAAGAATTGTGATTTTGATAAGTTGTTCCCAGCTAACAATAAAAAAGTTCTTTTCTGCATTGTATAAAGCATATAATTTCTAAGAAGAAAGGCGAACAAATTTAAAAATATTCCAACAAACTTAAGGAACTCTTTGCTTTATTATTTAAATCTATAATATTTTAAGCAATTATATAAACAATTTCATGTACAAAAATCAGTCTCATCACACGCAGTACTTGGAATAGAACATCATTTGTAGATGTCTTATAGAGCCGTCTTCAGCTAAGTTCGTCTGAAATACAAATAATTTCAAAATAATTGTTTTGATATACATATATACATACATTCATAATCAAAAAGTGAAGTTTCGAAAATTTTAAACAGCGATAAAAAGAAACCAATCAAGTTTTGGTCGTGACTAACTAAAAATTTTTAAATTACTAACTATTTCTATTAACATCTATGTAAAATCTAATTCCGCTTCCCCGAGTATTTCAAAAAAGTTTCTGGAATTGAGTGTTTTTTTTCATCAAATTTCCTGCCAAACATTGCAAGTTCAAGTTCAAGCCATAGTTTCTTTATTTTGTAGCCTTCTTCGTTTAACCTTTTAAAATTTATTCGCTTACAAAGCCACTGAGTACAAAAGTTATATAAACTCTTTTGTATTTTTTTTTTTACATTAGGTAATTTCGATCAATTCTTTTACTAGGGAGCAGCTCCTAAAATCACAATAGAAGCTCAATTACAAAGAAATGTTACCAACTATTTGCCTCAGTCAAATTTGAGTTAGGCTTTGAAGTAAAAGCAATTCTTTAGTTGTTAAATTTATTTTATTAAAGTGTTTATTTTTTGCACGCTTATCATGGACAACATGGAGCAGATATTTGCGTGCTTATATGTAGTTACATAACTAAAATGCTATTTATATAGGAAATCAATTGATATGTTTTTGCTATTTTTATAAATTTATTTTCTTCATTGTCATTCGCAGATTGACTGTTTATTTGATAATCTGTTTTTTTTTTTTTGGTATCGACTAAACTAACGAAACTATACAAATCAAATTATCGTAAAGAAATTAATCCTCAATTATATTGCAACAAATGGTTATATTATATATGAAAAAATGAAGCTTTCAAATAAATTAAAATATATTTCAGACATTCCTTTTTAATTAACTATAAAGTTTGATTTACCAGCTTTGTAATGAGGGATCACTGTTTATATTTAAATATTTAAGCGTACATTAGCACTCAGCACATTCAGATTAATTACTGAATCGCACATCCCCAGCTTCGATTACTGTTAGGTTATGTACAAATTTAAGTATTATTAGGCATATCTCACACATACTTTTTAATAGAAAATAAATCAACAATCGGTCAAGTTTTAGGTATTTCCTATGTATATGTAGTCGTAATACATAATTTAATTTACGCATAATTCTGCGCACAGGGTGAAGATTTGTACATTTACCGTTAAGTGTCATTAGAAGATTCAGATTTAAAATTATATACTGAACAGTAGTTTTAATGTTAAAATTTCAATATTGTCAGTAACTTGTAATTTTCCTATTTCATTTCATAAATATTTAGAATATGTTAGTTTTATACGTGATTGTTAATTTATGCATTGGTTTTCACCGTACTGCGGTGTAGCTTATAAACTATATTAATTTGTTATATTTTTTCAATTTTTTAAATTTATAAAACTACAATAGTTTGATTCAGTATGCATCTATTTCTATTTTACATGAGCTAAGTATCAACTTTGCACATCAAAGTTGTCGCCCATGGACGCTTTCTTATATGCCTTTCCTATTCATTTAGTTCTTCTAACTGTCATATACATACTCCACTTTGTCTACTCAAGATTAACGGTTGGGTGAACTCGCTTATGCTCTTTTGTTGGACAATACATATATTTAAAAGCGTTGATTGGGCATCATATTTTGTCGAGGGCCATTGCTGTATTAAGAGAAAATATAAAATATATTTTAAAAATCTTTTTTTTTTCAAATTCATTAAAAACATAATAAAGGGTTTTTATTTAGGTTTCGCTCCACAAATCGCAGCATTTGAGACCATAGCTATCTATCGCACACATATTTTCACTATATTTTATGTAATAACCAAACAGGGTTGTGTACAGGGTTATGTACATGATACGTCAGTCACGATTAAAAATAGGGTTTCGCTATTTGATTTAGCCTTTCAACTATATTTTAATTTCATATTCCATATTTCAATTGATTTGTTTAGCTCTTTTATAATGGCAGAGTCCGCTGTTATAGTTTAGTATTTAATTTAAAAAAAAAGAGACTTGCCGCGAAACTTACCGTTGTATTCCACCACCGCGAACACCACGTCCACCCCCTCCACGACCCCTACCAACTCCTGGTACTCCTAAGGGCGGAAAGTTACTGTTGTAATTACTCGGCGCTGGAAAACTTTCATGGTTTGAACCACCCCCTCCGCCGGGACCAATACTTGCGCCACCACCACGTCTAAATCCACCACGGCCTCTAAAATTTGGGTTATCGCCGCTTCGTCCACCACCAAAACCGCTTTGGAATCCTCCATGTGCGTGTAAATTAGTTACAGAGCTACGAAAAATGTGCATTTAAAATCATTAAACAATATTGAAAGTTTAAAATCCATTACTTACTTATTTGGATGGTTATTCCTTCTGCTGAAGAGACCGTCCGACGCCGTATTTTGCATGCCTCCATAGGCACCAGCAGTAGTGCCGCCAAATCTGCCGCCAGTGTCACCACTACTACCAAAGCGTTGGCTTCCGCCACGTCCGCCTGTGGATAATGCAAACCCACGCCTATCCTGCGCTCCGAGGACTTTATTAGGTGCACCTCCAAATCCTCCACTTAGGGTTCCTCCAAAATTTCCACTAAAATTACCTCCTAAATTATTTCCAAATCCTCCTTCATTATCATTGAAATGATTCATTCCACCACTATAGTGTCCATTGCCTTCAGCAATCTGTCCTTCTTGATTGTGAAAATTTTGATTTGCATCAATACCGCCGGGTCCGAACCGTCTAGATCCACCAATAGAAGGACTGTTAAAGTTGCCTCTTTGATTTCCACCAAATGTTCCACTACTTCCAATAGCATTCTGCGGATTTCTTCTTTGATAAGGCATGTTACGTTGTTGATTGAAATTATCGTTTCTAATGGGACCAACGTTTTGATTAAATTTATTCTTTTGGCCGCCGCGTCCACCAGCGTTACCAAAATTTGGTCTAGCATTACCAGCACCAATCATTCCGCCATCCCTCCCACCCATACCGCCACCTCGATTCCCTGGTCCACTATTTCTATTGCCTTTAAATAAACTAGTTAGCTATATATAACTATGAACACAGACATTACTGGACTATACCTCCGCCTCGTGCAGCACTCCCACGACTGCCTCCTCTTGAACTCATGTCCCTATCTCTTCCACCATGTGTTTTGTCTCCGCTTGGCTTCTTATCCTTAGGTCTTCCTAATTCCACTACAATGATTTGTCCTTTGAATTCTATTGCATTTAAGGCGGTAATCGCAGTGTTTGCCATTTCTTTCGTTTCCATGTGCACGAAACCACACCGATTCATGACATCGCACTCCACAACAACACCATAGTCTTCGAAAAGATGTCGTAGTTCCTCGGGTTTTGTGCCCGGCGGTAGGCTTCCCACAAATATTTTTGTAGTCTAAAATTTGCGAAATATAAAAATGTGACGAATCGAGCATAAGAAACCAATAATTATTCACGTTGCATAAAGTTTTAACGTAACATTCGTACGTGTACTTACCGCCATTTCGGTGGGAAATTAAATAATTTTTTTAAACTCTCGACTTGACTATCTTGGAGTTATTAATTTTCAACTTTTTTTTATTAATAAACCCAATAATAAGTTTCCATTAAGAAAAAAATGCCGCTCGAAAATTGTGAAAATGTGGAAGGAAAATAAAAATAATGCCACATTGGTCAAACAATGTAAACGTTGCCATATTTTTTTTATGAAATTAGGTGAATTATTCCGAAAATCTTTACTCCAAGAAAAATTTTGAAAGTATACAATTATCACTTTTAATTATTTATTATTAAGCAGTCAGATAACATAAAGTGATTATGTATTTGATTAGAGTTCAGGAAATGGTTAATACATATTGTTAATGATATGAAAATAAACACGTAACCCTTCATACTCGGGATTTGAAAAAACAGGCAATTTTTTCGACTTTCATTTGTACTTGGCAATATTGGAAAGCAAAATGAATGAAAAGAGCAGAAAAAATAAACAAACTTCTTATAAACAATACCAGAAAATGTACGCTCCGGCAGACGAAGATTATTTTTGCAATTATAATTTTAGCAAAAATGCAGAAAGTATTTTGCCAACAGTAGAGCTGATGGTTAACTTTCGGTTGGAAGGCGAACGTTTGAAAAAGCCTTGCATTGTGTGTGCGGAAAAAATTACATTTAAGGGATTACTTGTAAGAATTGAAATTATCAAAAGATATGTATACATTTTCTTAAAAAACAGTTTGAAATTTCAGCAACTGCGACTGACAGAAAAGAATGATCACCGGCGCATGTATATTACAACCATTGATGGCGGTTCTTTCAATGAATTGAAGCAAGACCAGTCCTTGCATGTTACTTTCGCAGGTTTCATAGAAAATCTATCGCGAATGTTACAAGACTGCCGGGCGTTGAAGCTCGAATTAGCTCTGGTGCAAAAGCAGTTTAATTCAGCAGATGAGGCCGTAGAATATCAATTGCAATTTGTAGAGATGCGAAGTTTTAAGAATTTAATTCATTTATGCCTGCCAAGTCGTATAGCTCCATTAAATGTGGTATTATTTTATATGAGTAGCAGATTTGATGCAATACAGGTAATGTCTAATTTGTATGTGTATATGGGAGTGTTAATAGGCTTCGAATCTTGGTTTCGGTTCTTTCAGAAAAGAAATCTGGCTCAAGAGAATCAAATACAGACGCTGCAGCAGGAACTTGACATGCATTTACGTACAATTGACCAGTTAAATACGGAAAATGGAAAACTAAGGGATAATTTGGTTGATAATTCCAGAAATTTAAATCAACGACACGCCGAGGAGTTAAAGCATTTGCAAGACAACCTACGTAAGGCAAATGAGCAAAAACATATCGAAAACGAACGGAGTCAAAATACAATTACCGCTTTACAGTTGCAAATAGATAGATTAATTGCGGATAAAAATAGTCTGCAAAATGAAAAAACGTAAGCGACAAATTTAAAATATTTTTAAATTTTGATATATGCTTAATAATGGATAATTTTCCGCTGTTTAGTAAGGACCAAAAACGTATGGAAATGCTTAATGAGGAATTAAGTGGCGCAAAATCGCATAGCACGACATTAAAAGAGCAAATTGAACGCCTACATGCAGAAATATCCTCCATGAAAAATACAGAACGCAAAAAAGAAATGCATCTTGTAGATGCTCGAAATCATATATCGGAGCTTCAGGAAAAATTAAAAAAATATGACAAAGCTAAGGTAAAACACGAATAAAAATAATTTATTTATTTATTTAAAGTAATATAATTTCTTTGTAGGCCGATATTCTTGCTGAGTTAGAAGCCGAGAAAAAAATTTCGCAAACAAAGCGTAAAGCTCTAGAAATGGCTGCTGAAGAGATATCTAAAGCAAATGAAATAATTTTAAAACAAACACAAGAGCTTATCAAACTCAAAAAGACCATAAATTGGCGAACGGAAGTTGCTCTGCAACAGGAGAAGGCCATTGAAGATAAGGATAAGCTACTGCAATTACGAGAAAAAGAATTAACACAGTCTCGACAAACTATCGAGACCTTGCGGGAAGAAATACCACAGCAACTCGATGCTATGCGTAAATTTGCCAATACACTTGAACAGAAATATAGCGAACGTAAGTTATGTTTACATGTACATGCATTGGTTTAAATATAATACTGTTTTTTTTTTCAGAAATCAATGCTTTAAAAGAAAGATTAAATTATTCTGGAAAGGAGAATATTTCCCCACAAATGTCTACATCATCTTGTCGCCGCAAATGAGTGACTTTCATAGTTGTTTTTGTAATTTAAATCCCACCGTATCTTAGTACAAAATTTGTTATTTTTTAAACTTTTACATTTTTATAATAAATAAAACTAACCGGTTTCTGAAAAAACCTATACATACATATGTATTAGCCAGCTAATCATCTTCATGTGTTGTGTCCTCGCCGGCATGAGCTGTGCCTACGTTAACGGCTTGAAAGAACTCTTGGTCCGATTGATTTTTCTTCAACCGATCACGTATTAACTCAGCAATAGCTTTTTGAGTACGACGCTCCAACCGTTCAAATTTTTTAGCCACATCACGTTTTAGGTCCCAGTCGGGTTTTCGGGGCGCCAAATTTGCTATATCAATTTCATCGATGATCATGGGTTGACGCAACAGTTCAAGTTGACCTTCCACTGCTTTTTCAATATCTCCCGATGGTTCCTGTTCCAAAATTTCGCCTTCGGTATTTTCATTTTGAGGTTTATAACTACGGAAAATGGGCCTACACAAAATAATTTTTGTATATATGCATGCTTAAAGAAACTATCAAGAAACTGGTAACATACTTTGGTAGTTTCTCCCCTTCTTCACTGCCGATATCCTTATCAGATTTGTTCGCTTTTTCACGCAATTGTCGTAACCGCTCCTTTCGTTTCAATGATTGCTCGGTCAATTTACCTAGTTTACTCTCGTCTATATCCATTTTTATGCTGCAAGAAAAATGCGAAAATAACAAAAACGTGTCAAAATAACAATAAATTGTTTACGCTCATTGACGTTTACAATTGCAGTGTTGCCAAGCTTCCGATTACTTTAGCAGCTGTTCTCATAAGAATTAGCCAATTTTTTCTCAGGAACAGATTTCCAAAACAGCCGTTTTGTAAAGCAAAAAGTCGTTGTTTGTCGTTGCGTTGCATTTCAATGAGTTTAGTTTTAAGTGGAGACACTTTAAATGAATTATAAAAATGAAGTGCCACAGAACGTGCCTTTTAGTAATATTGTTTTTCTTCGCCTGTAGCCAAAGATTGGCGGTGGCTACTGAAGATGAAGACAGTTGGATTGATCCAGATGCTTGGGGACGGGAGGAACATCTACAAAATCCCAACCGAAACACAAATAGTGTGCAAACCCTTGATACCGAGTCAAATTCCCATTGTAACAGGAATAATGCCGACAGTCCTGGTGAAGATGCTGTTGCTTTGGTGTATTATAAAAAGCTCATTGCGCATTTGTTTAATAGTAACTCTTTTAAGGTGCGTCATCAATTACAAAATAATATTGTTAATAGTTACATATACATATATGTATATGAATGTAAATAGTTGTTAACACTAGCCGATGACATCATTAAAAATGTCTAGCCGGTATATTAAATCAATGCCTTGCTGTATTTCTATTATTTTTTTTTCCTTTTATCACAATTAGTATAATGATTTAAACGGAGAATATACCCGTGCTCTCATCTTTACCGTTTTGCCAGTCCAATTAGAACAACTAAAAAAACTAAATGATCCTCGAGATTTAGATGCAGTTGTAACAGAAATTCTTTCTAAAGCGAAAAGTCCCACTGAAGCTGATTACTATTCTCAACAAAACAGTAAAAAGAAAATAGGCATTCCTGGCCTTATTTGGGACATCATCAAGGACTTTTTCCAGTTACTAAAACACTCCGAGGTAAGTGAGATAATTAAAATTTGAAATCTACTTTTTTTAGATGTGTTACATATGTACATATTTGTTTTCGGTTCTATGAAATGCTACCTAATCTTCCGTATTGTTGAAGTATTACATGAAAATATAGTAAAATGTACACTATACAGAAAGTACAAAATTTTACTGACACATTTAAAAGTTGTCAAATTTTAAAAGAATTCGATTTTTTTCTTTAAGGTACAATTTTTGCTTGGGACAATTAGTATTCTACTGATTGGGTGGTACTGGCATCGGAAATATAAAATCAGCATCTTTGTTTTGATTATAGGCGCTGTGTTGTGTTTTGGTTATTTCCATACATACATAGAATGTAATCGGGTAAGTTTTTGATGTATAGAAATTATTAAAATATTTATTATATTTTTCTTCAGAAAATAGAAGCGGAACGTTTATTGGAAGTGCTTGCACATCAAGAGCAGTTAAATACTGAGCCAAGGTGGTACACCCCAATCGTCAATCTATTTTCTTCTAGTGAACAAGATTCGAAGCGAGCGAAATTTGAATATTTAAAGTATGTTCTTGTTCATTCTATTTATTTCAATCTAAAAATCTAAGTAAATCTTTCGCTTTACTATGTTTGGTATCTAGAAAAGCCAGTCGCATAAATCTGAACTTTTGCCGTCCGGATCATGTTTTTCTATTGTATGCCAATGATTTGTTCTTGAAGCAGCTAACGTTTTTGATAGACGAGACCACTGAAGCAATCCAAACACTTAGAAGTACACTATCATTCTATTTGATCACGTATTCTTTGAAAGTATACATTAACATTAACATTAATTACAGGCAACCTAAGCTTTCCCTTCAATTACCTCGCCGTTGTACTTTTGGTAATGCTAATTGGGTACATTGTAAAGTATACTTTTAAATACATATTAAGTCCACGTGCTTGGGCAGACATTTGGTATGCACACCAGAGTGGTCATAATGCGCCTCAACATGACGCTCTTTCGGGTAGAACAGGTACGACACATCGTGAAGATTGTTTATCAGGAGAAAATTTAAGTATGCTTTTGAATGCCATTAGCGGTGGCAGCACGTCGTCGGCGCAAATTACGATTACCCATACAACAACTGCAGCGGCTTTGACGCAAGCAAAAGGGGTGCCATCTGGCGTACAAGAAATACTGACACCAATAGACAACGATGGTGCTGATACAGAATGCGACACTTCTATGTCTGAGCCTTCAGAGTCGGAGTCGAAGCTGAGTGTTCCACAGGAGGAATTGAAAGACAGCGAAAATAAAAGCGATAACAAAAATGAAGCTTCAAAAGAGTACCTTGTCCCCGCAATAAATGATTGTAAATAATTTAAACGAAATCTATAAAGGATTGTATGAATCCGAATACGTGGCAAGGACTTAATTTTAATATAAATGGACACAAAATAAGCGTTTTTTGTCATGAAATACTATCCCAAAAATGCTTGGATGATAACATTAAAAATTTTCACTATTACGCTCCACCACCAATTTGTAAAGCGAAACTGTTCAATATGAATTAATACTATTTAAGAAAGCAAAGTATGATATTAAAATTTATAACATGAAATTTCTCTAACTAAGTATGAAACAATGTGATATCGATAAAACACTACTTTTAAAATGCATTTTTTAATTCTCAAAATGTTTTAAACTGTTAAAATTTTGCTGAAAATTTGTAATTGCATCAAAGGATGTATATCGTAATATGATGATTGCAGAAAGCGGTGCAAATAAAAGTATCTCGCTGTAGATAAGTATGTAACAAGTAGCTGAGGGCAACAACGAAATAACAAATACAATGAACTTTTAATTCGATTATTAGGTTTTTATTTCAACTATTATTTTTAAATTTGTTTGCCACAATATTATTATAATGTATTTGTGTATTTATTTATTTGTATTCATGTAAACGTATGCCTAGTATCTGTATGTACTATAATTATGCATGTATATTTGCCTCAAGTACAATACATATCATTTCCTATAACTGTTTCCCAGCATCCTCAACAAATGGATATATGTATATTTTGTATAAGGTTTGTTACACATTTGTTACAAATAAGTTATGCTTATTTATTGGTTTGAGTACTTAAATTCATTCATTTCAAATATGCAGTTAATTATACGTTTTTCATATTAAACTTTATACAGCAGATTTAAAAAAAAATATAGGTAGGTATATTCTGTGAATGTGCTTGTATTATTTGTAAATTCATATGCTAAATCGTACAAGAATTCCTTTATACATTTGAAACATTTACATATTAATAGTAGATATAGAATAAAAATTATGAACTGCAAGCTATGCAAATATCAAAGCTGAAATCAAATATAATTAATGAATTATTTAACATTTAATGCATACATACACGTATGTTATGAATGCATTTTTTATTCTTATATTACATTGTTTTGTATTTATATGTGTGTATGCATTTTTTTTGGCGCTTTTAATTTTGCCTACTTTCGCGACGAAAAACTACAATAGCACGCTTCTATATACATATATATATATATACAATTGTATATTTATTTTATATTCGGCCAAATTAATATTCTATTTATTCGTTGTATATATGTATGAATTTTTAAATAACCTAAACACTGCAACAAACATAATTAATTTAAATATTGATAGATTTTAGTTTTTATATTTTTAATTTTTATTGCATAATAATTTTACATAAACTTTCGCCATACACTGAATTTGCCCTTACAGTTTCTACTTTTAAAACGCAGTAGTGAAAATTTGAAATTTTTAATATATGAATAATATGAATATAATTAGAACAAATCCTAATGTCCACAAAGAGTCCTAAAACCAATTCGACTGTTCGCAGTTTCAAGAATAAAATCTTTGTTATTCTATATGTAAAAAGTACACGTAAAATATAGGTAAAATGTAAAACGCAAATATTAAGAATAAAATGAAATAAAGAATAATCAATGAGTAAATCTTCCAGCTAACGACTTTTTAAAAATTTAAAAAATGGTTTAGGTAATTTTTTGACAATTTATATATGTAAATTCATGTACATATCTAAAGAAGTTTAAAAACTTTCATGTCAGAAGAAAATTTCAAAATTACTTTGCTTCAATATTTGTAAATATTCACTGCAAGTCAAAATCGGAAAATACAAGTAGATGGTTTATTAATTTTTTTTTACATTTTTTTAAATTTACTTATATTTTAGTTTATTTTATTAATTTCCATTTCCTTTCGAATGCTTAGAAGAGTTGAATGTAGCTCAAGTAAGAACCAAGTTTTTCTATTATTCTTTTAATAAATTTAATTGTAGAATATTGTGGTCGTAATGTCGTAATGCCGTGTTTTCGAAAAAATGAAAGTTTTCTATAATAATTTCTCTTCTATATTTTCAGCAGCCTTTTCATTATTAATTAAGCAAATTGAAGCTGAGCTTTTCTTTTAAATATTTATTTGTTTTTTTTTTAATTCTAAATAATTTTGTTATTTTGCGCTTGTAAATAATGGCAAGTTTTACATGCTAATAGCCGCTTGTTTGCCTTAAAATATTCTACATAATTTGTATACCCATTATGCCTTGGGGACGGGCGTGGGGAAAGCACTGATCTATTAATTATTAAGTTTTCATCAAACTACGCTTTGAGTATACGTATATATGAATGTATGCTTGTATATATTTATATTATTTCGGGTGCGTTTATTAATAAATTTTACTTTAAGTTAATATAATTTAATTCTTTTTGGTTTTTTTCGATGTGTACTGTTTGGCTTATAAACTAGTTTTGCTTAAATTAGCGCAAAATAAATGTTTAAATTTACTGTTACAAACTAATTAATTAAAATTCATTAGTTTTCTTCAAGAATAATCAATTCATTATGTATAATTATTATTTTTTATGATTTTATATTATATTAGAATGTAATATATGTATGTATTATATTTAACAATTAAAGCTTTGTAAATTTCAATTCAATTGTTTACCTTTATAATTAGTTTTCGTTTTTAATTTGATTAAAAATCAACTTAAACACTATACAACTACATTTTATTTATATATGTATGTATGTATATTACTTAAGAAATTTAAATAATATGTACCTAGTAAAAGGTTTTTTTTTTTTGCATTTGTATGAACAAATTTCAGCTTCAAATAAATGTTCAAACAAATATCTGACTTATACCATTACTGTATTTATGTTTAGTAGATTTTTTTTAAATTTATTTATTAATTCAGCAAATTATTATAAAAATTGTTCAATTTGTTTTCTTTATTTATTTACACAAAATGTTAATGTTTTCGATATAACTTAACTGTATATGGCGGCAAAAGGCTCAAAAGCCTCTTAAACTTTCCATTGTTGATTAATTACTTAGTTTCTAGTAAGTGCCATATATGTATGTATATAGTTATGCATGTGTTTGTATGGCGTGATTTATTACTTAATGGCTGCGGAGCTAATGTAAGCAAATTAAAACAAAATTAATTTTGAGTATTTCATAATTATTATAATATACTTTTAAACTAATATGTATGTACGTTGTATACATTGTGCTTTTATTTATGTAGATGCATGTGTAGCTAAAAATCTGGGAACTGTGCTTTATAGAGAGATAAATAAATTTATAATTTGACAAGCCTTTGAGCTGATATAATATGTACATATGTATGACTGCATGTGCATACCTACTATGTATGTTTACAGTCAGTGGTATTAAAATTACAACAAATTTTGCTCGCATCAGTTCCATATGTAATAACTTAGAATTGCAGTGTATTGAAAAAAATTTTTTTTTTGAATTTCCTTAAGCGTGCAAAAGTGAGTACGCAGATATTGATGTATAGATATTTTCGAATTGTTCTCTTTTGATATCTCAATGTTTGTATGTGATGGTGAAGTTAGTATGATTTATTTTTAAATAATATTGTGTATCTATTTATGTATGTACGTATGTATATTCATATTTTTTTATTTATTTTTATTCTATTCGTATATGTAGAGACTTTTTGGCTTTATGCTGCAGTTAAATTTTGTATGTACTGTAATAAGTATGTTGGTTAGTAATTGTAGGTTTGTAGAATTGTACATATGTATGTATGTTTTTATTTGGTTTTATGTATATTGTATATATATAGGTATGTATTTATTTATGTTAGTTATTTATAATTCTATATATGTATGTATATTGTATATGTTTGTATCAATTACGATATATGATTGCATAGTATGTATGTATTTATATTTAATCATTAAATATTCGTATGCCAAATGAGACATATCGATTTATATAGTTCTTCACATTTATAGTTAGATTTCGATCGTTTAGTTAGCTGTAGCTGCTACAGATCAGGGTATAATAAAGTATATATGTATGTACATGTTTAAATGTATGTGTTTATAGGTGTATAAGAATTCCGTAAGTTTAATGCATGCATATTGATATTTTCCTTATAGTATATATGTATGTATGTAGATGTGTATGAATACTGTGTGTCGAGAAAATAAGAAAAGCGGAATCATAAGAATTTTACACAATTCCTTCTTTTTAAATAAATACCAAAAAGAAAAAGAATCGAGACACGTTGGTTGTTTTCACATAATAATGTGTATTCAATCTGAAATCTTTGAAAACCTATGAGTTAATTTTTTAAATACTTTTCTTTTTATTGCGTAACACACAGCATAAATACATATTTAAATACATATGTATGTATAAACTGTGTAGGTATTTGGAAATAAATTTTTCTGCTTATTTAGCCAATATTCAAATGTACATATCTATGTATGTATGTATATTCAAACATAGTTTAGAAAAATAATTAGCAGGTCTTGATATGTATGCATATAGGTGTGTATGTGTGAGTTTTAATGAGCCCTTTGTTGATGTCGTAATTCAAATATATTAGCAAAAAAAAAAACATTAAATAAATACTGTATGACAATACATATTATATACATATATATGAAGTATATTTTATTTTAATACATGTTATTTTCTTTTATTTAATTTTTTATTTATTTTATTCTGTGTTACTTTAATTTATTTAGCTTTGTTTTATTTAAATTTCATTTTACATTTTAGTCTACATTATTGCAAATTCATTTAAATTTAATTTAACTTAATTTTATTTTTCTCATTCTATATTTATTATAATACTATCTTTATTTATAGAGTTTATTTTATCTTATATTAATTTCTTTGAATTATTTTTTAACTAATTTACTTTTACTTTTTTTATTTATTTTTAGTACTTTTATTTTTATTAATTTCCTATATTTTATCTGAAATCGGTTCATTTTATCTTTTTTTTTTGCAATTTACTTTATTTTAATTTTTTATTTTATGTTTTTGTATTATGTTTTATTTTTATTTATATTATTGTATTTTATTTGATTTTACTTCGTTTTATTTTATTTTATTTTATTTTTTNTTTTATTTATTTTATTTTAATTTGTTAAATTTAATTTATATATATTTATTTTAAATTATTTCATTTGGTTTAATTTTAATTTTTATTGTTATATTTTAATTATATTTATATTTTTTATAATATTTAAACTTTTTTCATTTAATTTAATTTTATTTTGTTTTATTTGATTAAATTTCATTATTATAACATTTTATATTTTTCTTTGCTTTATCTAATTTTGTTTTACTTTATTTTATATTTCGTTATAATTCATTTATTTTTGTTTTATTTTAAAACTCGTGATAACTGTTAAGTTGCATAAAATAATTACGCGGCTAACGATCTGTTGTGTTCGGCTGTTTAAAAATATTTGGATTTATTGAATTTTTTAGTGAATAAATATGTTATCGATGTGTGAATTGCATTCATGCCTCTGATAATTAATATATTTGTAAATTTGCAAGTGTTTACGTAAGTATTATATGGCCCCTGAAAATCTTTCTTTGGTTCGCTCCAATAAATCTAAATAACATAAGTGAAAATTTACAAATTGATTCTACATGCAACTATAGGTACGTATATATTATATAAGTATATATATATGCTTAATATACATGGAATGCTCTTAAATAAATAAATATATAATATATATAATCTGCACTTTATTATCCTAAAATACTAAATAAATAATTAAAATACGTAACATTTGAGTATAAGTTAAAAATTGTTTTTTTTTAAAGCTAATTGAAGTGAATTCAAAACGAGTATAATTGTCAACAACAACTCTCCGGTGTCATCTGCTGAATTATTAGCATCTGCTCCTTATTAGCATATTCTCCTTTTTCTCTCACTTATTTTTCTATATAAAACTGAGAGCTTTTTCAATATGAGCAAGGCTTCATTTACTAACTCCACCACCGCCATCTCGTAGACTGTCCCTTAGACCTGCCAAACTTCAACTCTAACCCGTCATTCCGTTTACTCTAAACTCCACTGTTGGCCTTACATAAGTTGACATTTCTCCTTGGCACCGGCTGCTCCGTCGCCGTTTTCCGGTATGGCACCATTACTCTCCTTACTTTTCTTCTCCTTCTTTTGCTTCTTTTGCTTTTTGACGTCCAGCTGCAGCGACACAATACGCGATTTTTCCATGTTGAGCAGCTCCTAAGGGCGTATATAAGTAAATATATTAGAATGTATATAGAGGAGTTGCACACGTGCCGTAATGTTTTTCGGTCAAATTAGCATAATTTCATTTTCAATATTTTCAAAACATACATACATAAATGCATAATCGACATGCGTACAAAACGCAAAAACTTCTTACTAATCTTACTTGCGGCAAGTCATTTGGCACCTCGCAATTGGCACTTACCTGAAATAGTTCGGTGACGTTGTGATTGGTTTTGGCTGATGTCTCCATGAACGATATACCCCAGGCGGTTGCCTGTGCCTGCCCCTCAGCCTCTGTGACCTCACGCAACTCAGCACTTTCGTCGCTCTTGTTGCCCGCCAACATAACGGGTATATTAACAACATCCGGACCCTGCACCCGCGCAGACACACACGCATATCCATGGCGCAAATACAATTTTGGCGGCATAAGAAATTTGAAGATGGAGACATTAGCTATTTTCATATTTTCATTACATGACCATACATACATATACATACATATACATACATACACACATACATACACACATACATACATACATATTTACATAGGTTTATGTATGCGTGTGAATGTATGTATATACGAGTATGTTACGAATGGGCGATATTATGGCAGCTTAGGTGAAGGAGAAATTATTGGCAATTACCTTAAGGTCTTTAATATTTTGCCAAATAGGTCGCAGCTCCTCCAAACTCTGCTTTGAGCAAACGGAATAGACCAATATGAACGCATGACCCTTGGTTATGGACAGTCTTTGCATAGCCGGAAATTGGTGTGAGCCAGTTGTGTCGGTTATTTGTAACGTGCAAATATTTTTATTGCAACTGATAACCTGGTGGAGATGATTCGGAAAAATGAGTTAAATGGTAAATGAGTACTTTTATGCAATGCATATGAACATACATACATATACATAGAATTATCTATCTATTTATATAAAAGATGTACATAATCTTTTGCCACTTGATAGCTCAAACAATAAAAAGTAGCTTCGGTTGGTACCGAATATTAGTTACCCGACTATAGACCTATAGACCACTCAACGGTGGTGGAACCTCCGGCCATCCAAATTTGTTTTAAATAAATATTTTAAGAAAAATTCTGAATTATCGCTTACTGAACCGTCGCAATTTTTGCATCTTTCAAACTTACTTTTCTTCAAGACAAGGCCGCGGGTATCAGTAGTTTCATGTTGATTTAATAAAATTTGTTTTGAAAGAGTAACGCTTCTTTAAAAAATTTTTTTTTTCCTAAATCCCAAACGAATATCCATATTTCACAAGCGATATAATTATGTAGGTCTCAATATTTTTCTCGAAATACAGGGTGGGGAGCAAGCTTTAGTTGGATTTCGTATATTTGCTTTGCCAACCCCCATGTATATATAACTAGCGCCTTGTAATCACTGAAGTGATTTCTGCCGGCTCCACCTCCAATGTGTGGTGTGCACCTTGATATTTTTCCAACAAATAAAGGGACCTACAGTTTATACTAAGCAGCCTCCGAATGGCTGATGGATTGTTTTTTATAAGGAACCTTTATTTCATGTCAGATATGCCCTCGGAGAAGTGAACATTTCCTGCCCCCCTTGAGGAATATTTTTGCGTATGAACACATTTTTCATATAAAAATATTTCAGAGCTTTAAATAGTCGGATATCCAGTATGAAACAAGGGGGTTTTTTCCAAAGGCAGAGAGAAGTACGCATGTATCTCTCCTAATTTTTTGTTGTAAGCCCTAGACATTCTAATTGGCCCAATCTCTCGAGATTATCCTTCAAAGTCATAGCATGCATATTGCAAAGGTATGTCGGTGAACACTGCCTAACCTACAATTTTTACTTGGTTACAGGAAGTTATTTCCCAAACTTTTTATACGAAAGAATTGTCGAATCTGCATAGGGAAATTCACGTCTTGAGGAAAACGTTAATAAGCGCACTGCGCAAATTGGTGTACTGTTGACTCTTTCTTGGTTCTTGGTCCTCAAAAAGCTTAAAAAGCTAGAAAGTGAAACTATCCTGGAAGAAAGAAGAACTTTATATTGTTGCAAGCTGGGAATCAGTAAGAAATGACGTATTGAATTGTTTTACGTAGCTTTCGTATGGCGGAAGTCACTAGAACGCAAGGCTCTCATCATTACCAACAAATCCATCCTTGACGCTTAATACCTTGTGTAATACTGTGCATGCGGATACTGCAGGTAGGTCTTTCAATGTACAAGTCGCTGTAAGACTCAAGAGTCTGGATCACTGTTGGCCTTAAGGATGGAGCACTTCGCACCTCTTGTGGAGCTGGAATTCATCCCTTGTTGCTGGGATGATTTGAGGCTCGACGCAAACGTCGATGCTGCAGTTTTTGCAGTGCTTTCATAATAATGGAAGCGGTGAGCACTGCTCAAAGTGTGGTTTCAGACAGCCATTTGGATATCACCGTCCTGTGATCATTCAAGGTGAATAGCTAAGGAATATTTGATATTTCTGTCTTTGACTTCGTAGGTATGTGAACCACTATTTCGTTAACCCCGGACAAACCGCGAATAGGGTCTTCAATGTCGGCTTCCGGTTTACTTCTATACAACTCAGCTAGTGACCGGTTAGTACTTCAATAAGCACGGCTACGAAATCCTTCTGACCAAAATTGGAGCGCAGAAGATCAAAGAAGCTTCTGCCTATCCCAAGTTCAAAACTCTCTCACTTAGTAAGAATTATGACCGGATGTTGTGGGAATTCATGCCGTAATACTTGGAATTTTTCAAACCTTCATAAACTTAGTTGCTTGGAAGAAGAAATGAAGTCATCTAAGCACTTCTTGATTAACTGCTCTGCTTTTGCCTGCCCAAAGGCGTTAACAGTCATTGGCATAAGGCGAATGTTTTGATTTGTCACATACCTAATGGAATTAAAGGTGAACGACCATCAAGGGCGTCGCATGTTCGGTGCATGGGCCCAAAACGAGATGGCCACCGATACCGATTTTCACAAGAGAAATTTTTTGAGTAATGAAGCTTACTTTTGGTTGATTGGGTTACTTTATTAAACAAAATTGTCGTATTTGGGGTGATGATAATCCATAGGCCATTGTTTAGACGCTGTTGGATACACAAAAAAATATTCAAGGAAACTTTTGATGTGCGAATTATCTCGCGTCGTGGGACCGTGGCGTGGCTCCCAAGACCTTACTACTTAACATCACAGGATTATTTTTTGTGGGTTTTTTTTTGGAGTTCCATGTCTATGCCCTCGACGATTGACGCTTTGAAAAAGATTATTCGGCGCGTTATTACTGACATACGGCCCCAATCGCTGAAAAACAGTTTGAAAAATTGGGCTCTCGGCTATAAATTATCACCTGCGTGAAATCATTTTTCAAACCTTAATAATAAAGTTAACTTTCCGGTCGCAACATTCAATTATATCGTTTTCTTTCTTTCGTGCGTGTGTGTGTGTGTATTTATTTACGTAAATTTACACAGAGCCTAGTATTTTTATCCAAGCCATTGATTTTTCGTTTATTAAAAGCACAGGCTTCATATTATGGATATAAATTTAGTAAATGACCACTAAACAGGGCTTGTGGCAAAAATAAAAGTTAAGAAAAAGACGAGGGACGACTGATAAGCTCGCAATTTTTTTATTACGTCAAAGAAAATTAACTTAGAATAAAAAATTAAGTTAAATATTCTAATTACCGTCGACCCTCGGCAGAGAATGTCAATCCCTCCGAGTGCATTTCTGACAGCCGTTCAGAGGCGGCTTAGTATAAACTGTAGGTCCCGCTATTTGTTGGAAAAACATCAAGATGCAAAAGCACAAATTGGAGGAGGACCTCGGCCGAAAATCCCTTCAGTGGTTATAAAGCGCCAATCATACAATTCGCGGCACATATATATATATATGAAAAAAGAGAGTATACCAAAAGAAATCTTTAAGGAGATGCCATCGGTTCTTTAGGATTCTGCTCCTTCACATACGAGGGTGAAAAAATAGGCTCGACTATTTCAACAAGAAGAGTGACCTGTGAAGATGACCCCGGGTGCCTAGTGACGGTCGTGTCCGAAGAAAGCGTTCAGAAAGTCGAAAAGATAGTACTGGCTGATTGTAAAGTAAAATTGTGGCAGGTGGACAGCAGAAGGATTACAGATAAGCAAAGAACGAGCTGAAAAGATTTTGCATGAACATTTGAATATGAAAAAAAATTAATGCGCGCTGGGTGACGCGAATGCTCACGGTGCTCGAAGATCAGCGACCAAGATGACCTCCATGATATTTGCAACCGTATTGTAACAGTTCATGAAACTTGGATTCGTCAGTAAAACCCCGAGTCCAAGTAGGAGTCGACGCTGTGGATAAAAAAATGAAAGGCCACAACAAAAATTCAAAGTGGAAAAGTCGGTGTCGAAGATTATGGCTACCATTTTCAAGGATAGCGAGAGAAAATTATCCATTGATTACTTGCCAAAGGGAACTACAATGAACGGTCATTATTACGCTAATTTTTTGAATAAGGCGCGTGAGGCAGTCCTATAGAAGATGCGTGGACAGTTAACAACGCACCCGTTCACACCGCTCGGGTTGCGAGGGATGCCTCAAAAGTTGCTGGATGTACATAAACTGACCATCCTCACTACAGTACGGACCTGGCACTAAGTGACTTTTTCCTTTTGTTTTAAATTTATTTTCAGACGACAGTGAGATGAAAGCGGCCGTGGAAAACCTTTTTGAAGAGAAATCTAGAAATCTAAAGAATATTTTTTCAGTGATATAAAGACATTGTAATCACGATGTGACAAGTGTATTTCACTTGAGTGAGACTATATTGGAAACTAAAAAACATTTCATGAGTGCTTTAAGCCGCAAACTTATCACTCGACCCTCGTATTTTATATTTTAAAATTTTTTTACGTATATTTCAATATCTATGTAGGCAGTCCTGAAGTCTTAACAGGACGCAAAAATATTATTGCTTGTTCTGGTTTATGGGGTTGCTTTTACACAGCTCAATGGCTACACCTACGTATGGCTATCGCGTGTTTGTATGATTTGTTGACGATATTAATATGCTCACTTTTATGTCCTTTGGTATTAATACAGCACAGATAGTACAGTGGATATGCGATAAAAGAAACTATGATGCTATCTATACTAATAACTATTCCATTAAACCTTCGGAAAAAGTAGTAGAAAAAAACGTTAAAGCTTTTTTAAAAAAAGGAACGGTAGGAGAAATGAATACATTGGATACTCCATCCACCTCTGCGAGTTGCTTCTTCTCCCATTGCAATTTTTCCATTTTTTGGATATATTTTGGCGGGGTCACCTCGATGTTTCTGCCAGGCCTCGGGTTATCTTCAAGGTATATAAATATACTGCGCTACTGTATATCACGGTTTTTCGCATCTGATTTTCCTTTGCTTGGTAAAGGACTTTATAAGAGTATGACATTCGATTTCTTCCATAATTCACTTTTGGTATTTCGATTATGTTGCTTGGTTAACGATTGCTCAAAGACTAATTGTCTAATGACAATGAAACCCCGTATTTCTACGAGCTTAGCGTCACATCTCTACAACCTTCTCTCTCCGCGAATATAAGAATTACCCTCTTATTGCAGACTTTTACTATCTGTCCTTATAAAAATGGAACTACAATAGGTTAAGATTGGTTTTTAATCGACAATTGTCTTTTATAGTACAGATAGAATTCGAAGAGAGTTGTGTGAGAAGGGGTTGCCGGCGAGGTGGAGGTTTAATGGAAATTTAAATGGCGCTCTTTCCCAATAGACCCTTTAGAACATCACAATTAATACACAATAAAGAATTTAGCAAAGATGTTAGAAGTGCTTACAAAGAAAGCTCGCAAATCATAGAATAAGTAAAACATTGAATTATCTTTTGAGTATTAAAATCAACTTATCTTGCTTCCGTATTATCTAGGTGCTCCAACACATTTCGTCACCTACAAAAGGAGCTTTTTTACCTATTTGGGTAGCTCTTATAAGATCCAAACCAGACAGAAAAATTAGTCGAACTTTCCTTTGGTCGGAAAAAATTTTAAGCTAGTGCAAATTACAAGCTTAGGATCAATATTTTTTTACAATTGGTTCTATATTTTTTCTGATTTAATCCATAAAATGCCGTCAGATGTAGCAACCGAAATTTCGAAATGCACATCAAAATGGCAAATTTTGTAGCATAAAAACTTGCATGGATATGGAATTTCAATTTCTGGAAATTAATTTATTTCACAATAATTTATCACAAAGCTTTGTTTTGAATATTCGAATATTGCTGGTGGAACACGAGTAAATTTAATTTCGGAAACCAAAGTGCAGATCAGTGAGTGCAGTCAAACATTGCAATTTATATTCCTGCAATGATGTGAAGTTAAATTGCGGAAACTAGTTTCAGGGTGGTCACGGGAAGGAAATAAAAATTGCTTCAACAATCGGACATTTAATATGACCGAAAATGTTGAAATTATTCACTTGAAGCATTGATATACAAAAATTATTAAATTATTAAAAGAGTAAAAATAGAAAGAAAAAGTCTTAAAATGGAATGAATGAATAAAGCAACGGGTCAATAATTTTTCTTTAAATGACTTTTGAAACACACAAAATACTGGAGGTACGAATTAATTCGGTTCGTTCTCAAAAGATTGCTCCACCTGCAAGTTGTGTCGGATCATAGAAACGATTACCAATTTTATTCGAAAGGAGTAATGGCAATGTCACGTGTTTGTAACGGCTAAAATTGCCTGGAATTGTTGAAATGGCAGGTCTAACTCCAGCCGCTGTATTCTCCAGATCTTGCTCCTTCCGACTACTGGCTTTTTATATGGTTTCAAAACGAATTGGAGGGTCACAAGTTTGATTTTTTCGAAGAAATCGAAGTATTACCACGTGATAGGATCGGGCACAGAGTTGACCCACATTTTAGAATGAAAGTTACCAATATAAATAGGAAAGGTGAGTCCCTTCCGGCGGAAATACTTTGAATGTTGTATTTTTTCAAAGAAAAGACATTTTTTTGAACCCAAAAAAAAATGAACCGAATTTATTTGTACTCTCAACACTATTAAGTAATCAAGTCAGTATACTTTTGATTTCGAACTAGTTAAAAGTGAGAATTGCATACATCGTCTTGTTGTTAGTCAGTTTGTTGGCTCGGTATAATATTATTAAGGTCATTTTTGTACTACGGACCCAATAAATTTTAACGAAAGCTCGACTTCTTGTGAACTTCCTATATATTGGACAATCCAAGAATTACAAGGGACTTTTGAGCCAGCTCGAGCTTTTTGCTTGCAATAGGCGGTGGCTTGACGCCGATAACGCTATTTACTGAAAGAGAGTTCAACTCAGTACTCACGCCAGCTAGTTCTTCACAACGGCTGTCACCCTTTCGGCGACCTGAGGAGAGTTCAACTCAGTACTCACGCCAGCTAGTTCTTCACAACGGCTGTCACCCTTTCGGCGACCTAACGCCGTTTAGGTCAACAGGTAAAAGCGATAACCTCTGAGCATTCGGCTACCGCCACGACATAACCAAGAATGGAACTCAGCCGTGTCGTTCTTAATGTAACAACACTCGATGATAGAAATCAGTATTAGACTCGTTACTGTTGACTGGCAACTGGTAGGATTTCATCTGCAAAATACTAGTATTTCACTAGAATTTTCCCACACTAGTCGACCCTCTTCCTGCAGGGTTGCTGAGGGATTTTTTCTTTTCGTATTTCGCGTGTAAACGTATGCATGATTGCACCTATTAAAACGGTTTAAATTAAATTTTATGCGTGTATAGTGTGTGCGCCAGCTTATTTATAACCAACATTTCGTTGTAGGGCTGGCGGTTCGCACTGAAGTTATTTTTTCATACAGTTAGTTGTAGTATATATGTATGTATATACTCGTATGTATATATGAAGCAAGGAAAAATCTCGTTAAGGTGGTGAATCGATTCGGAAATTGAATGGCTGAGCAAAGGAAACTCAAGTTGTGCGTGCTTATGTATGTGTGTATGTATGCAGTGTATATGTGCAGGTGCTTGGAAGTCAATCTGCAAAACAATGAATTAAAAAATAAACAACTTGTTGAAGTTCAGTGTTTTCCTTTGAGATTTCGTGTACGCAAACACACGTGGACAGATTAATATATGTATGTACAAGGAAATTTTTATCCCCAATCCATACAGTTATATATAATGATATGCATACAACTGTGTAGGTGTGTACGTGTATGTAAGTCCGTAATCAATTAAAATATTTAACAGGTGACCATAGCATAAAGTAAATAGAATTTAAGAGGCATTTGTAAGGGTTGGAAATTTTAATTTGATACCTTTTGGGCGTAAGAGAATGATAGGATGGATTTAAAGCCATCTTAAAAAACAAATAATATATAAATTGAGGAAATTTAAATCTAAAATATGTAAGTATAAAATTCTCGTGGCATAGTGTTTGTAACCAAGTTCTTCCGACTGATTTTTATGAAATTTTGTTCACATGTCGGGCATGTGTGAGAATCGGCCAATACCCGCGATGGAGTGGAGCGGAGACCGACCCATTAGATTTTTTTTTTTTTTTTTTGAATTACATGAGATTTGGTAAATAATTATCAATTGCTTAGATTAACAGGAACATTTTTTTGTTTCCGGACTGTATACCAGGGACCGATCTATTCGAGAAATTTCATTTATGGTTCGAATTAATATATAAGCATGTGGATATTTTTTTCGGAAGCGACCAGGAACCGCCCCACTCCAGGGGGGACCAGGCAACCCTCGAATCTCTGACGACTCAAAGTTAATACTGATAAAATGGGTAAGGTCCTATTTACAAGAGAATAAAAATTCCAGCTTGCATCAAACCAAAGCTGGGAGAGGACACTTTACAGCAAAAGCCTACCACTAAGCTTCGGGAAATTATGTTGGACAGCAAGCAAGTCGTGGAGACTCATGAAGGAACGAGTAAAGAAGAAAACTGCGGATTCCCTTACATACATACAAAAGGATGTTGAACTGCACCTGGAGTTTCTTCTCTGTTATCTCCCGCTGTAGAGCTCTGAACGAAATTACATATCTGGGTCAGCTGGAAATAGTATTCAAACTTTCAATGATCAGTAGCAAACCTGGTAGCTAAAAACAGAGCATTCTTATCTTTTGCGTGGCTATATATATGCTTCCCGGCAGCATTGTAGTATAGCGTTACCCCTAAGTATACGAATAGGCTACGTAATCCCGGGTCTGATTTTCAGGAAGCTGTTTTCAGCTGTAATAGAGACAAATGGCTGGAATAGAGGTCTGAAATATACAGACAAAGCTCCTCACGTTTTCACTGATGGTTCTGAAATGAACGAAGGAGAGGAGACTTCAGTTCACTGCACCCAACTGAAGGTAAGAAAGCCGTTTATGCTTCCAAGCCAATGCAGTATCTTCCAAGCCTGGGGTTGTTTACGTGACTATTGAGTTCTATTATTCTATTCTATAAGATTTGGACTTTTTAAATTTTATTGTTACTCGGAACTTAAGCCAAGGGCATAGCATTGAATCGAGGCGAAGTTCGGCGGGTCCTCTAGTAAGTATTATTACTCCACTATTTCTTAATAAATGTGAGTTTGAAGTACTTTAACTAACAGGATAGGAAGAATTTGGAAATGGTAAACAAAGGTATCGTAATAAATTCTAGGTCCCTCCATTTGTTAGAAACAATCAATATGCATACCACAAATTGAAGTTGGAGCTCGGCCGAAAAATCACTTAAGCGGTTACATACAATCCACCCATTATATTTTAAGTTTGCCATTAGGCTTTAAAAAAAGTTTCGGGTAGGTGACTACTTCGCCCGTGTCGAATTATTTCCAGCTGAGTAGCCTAAATTTCAACCATTTTTTTATAGAAAATGGAGCCATTTGTCTTGTGTTTATCTGCGTGGTCAAGCGAATTCACATAACCCTAGCAAAAATAATGCTCCGGTGCGAAATCGCACGATCTTGGAGGCCGCGCCCAAGACGCAAGGCCCACGACCCGAGAAAATTCGCTCACCAAAAGTTTCCTTCAATGATTTGATTGTATCGTTTGGTAGTATGGCATGTCGTCTTGTGGGAATCTAAGTTCGCCCACAACAACATTCGCCACGTCGAGCACGAACAAGACATTTCTCAATAAAGTTCTCCATTGACTGTAACTTAATGGCCTCAGTTTTAAAGAAATATGGACTAATTATCCCCTCGCCTATAGAACACATCAAACAGTGAATTTTTGAGGTTAGAACGGCGCCTCAACAATGGCTTGTGGAGTGGCATCGTTCCAACTGCGACAATTTTCTTTACTAACGCACCTATCCAACCGAAAATGAGCTTCAACGGTGAGAAAAATGTTCTTGTGAAAATTGGGATGGGTGGACATCCATTCACCGAACCTGCGAAGCGCTCTGTAGTCGGTCGGCTCATGCACGTGTTGTATTATGTAAGCCCACAAACTACAATTACAATTAAATAAAATTTCTAGCAAAAAATTTCTCTGCGATTCTCGGAAATTAATCAAATAAATGTCGCACAATCTCTTGCACACTTGCACCTTTGTTGGGCCTTTCAAAACAAGATGTACTTAGCTCAGTAAGCCCCGACAATATGGTCCTTGCTACTCTACGTAAAAGGTAATTGTACTCACTTGCGTAAAACAAATAAATGAAATTCTTTTGTCTCTCTCTTTTATTCATCCACAAACGAATTAATTTGGTAATTTAGTATATTTGTGTTTATTGTTGTTATTGTTTGTGGATTTCCATTGAATAAAAGTTTTGCACTTAGCACTTACCTGCCGATAAGTGTCCTCAATGGTCGGTATATAAGTTTCGCGGAAGGTTCCCCTAATAAAACGTAAGACCAGTGAACTCTTACCCACACCACCGGCACCAAACACAACAACACGATAGTCGTTGCTCTGTTCGGGCATGGCACGGGTCACTTGATTCTTTTGTTCCGCATTTTTGGGGGCTTCCTTTCCCTTATCGGCCATCGTGACAACTATTGTTGTTGTTGATGTTTATGTGGTTGTTGTTGATGGTTATGATGACAATGCCGATGATGATGATGATGATGATGGGTGAGCGTTGAACTTCACTTGAACTGCTGCTATACGATAACAAAGGCGAGCCGTGGTTGAAGGCGTTTAGGCGTTTTTGTATCTACTTCAACAAATTTGGAAGCTTTTTTGAAACAAAGGCGAGTATCGCCCTCTTTTGCTAGCTTTCTTTGCGCTTTGGTCTGAAGCTTCCTTCGGTGTGTAGTTTTTATTTTTCACTTTTTCACTTAATAAACGTTTAATTTTCACTGCGTTATTATAATTAATTTTTCTTTTTTTTTGTATTTTTTTTTTTATTTTATCTTTTTTTGGGTACTCTTCGTCTATGGGTCTAACTGGCGTCACGACGAATCACCACAAAGACACTGGCCATCCTTGCTTTGTGCACAAATAATTTCTATAAAAAACTTCTGTTATAAATTTGTTTAGTTTCGTTTGCAGAGATTTTCAGCGGATTTCTTCTTCACAGTGATTGTTTCAAAGTTTGGGCGAGTAGAAACGCCTTAAGATATGCTGCGATTTATGTCTGATATTGAGTTTTTCATCGAACTCCAAAGTGCTGGTTGTTGGCTGTTGGTCGTTAGTTGTTCGTTTACCTGCTTTTATTTTAGCCAAATATTATTTACTTGATTTAACCACTTATAAATTTACCGTTAAAGACACAAATTACTTTGAGCATTGCGTGTGACAGCCATGCGCTTTCTGTGTGTTCGCTTGTCTCACTGATTCACTTCTTCATTTTGAGTTCACGTGAATTGCCAACATGCAATAGGCGAAGGCTTATATAAAAACATACATTACATTAGGGCAGTCCAAAAATACAAATGAATAAAAATTTCAAGAGAATTCGTGTAGATGAAACAACTTTTTACTATAATTTAAGCAAAGTTCAGCTCATTTTTTCTATCAGTTCAATGAGCGTATACATGGTGATCCTTTTCGCGGCTTCGAAACTAAACGTAAATTAAAACTTAGCGTTATATATTATGAGAAACAATTCATCTTTTAAATGAGCGCCTCGCCAATTTTTGTAAACTTCGATCCGCTTGAGGTAAGTTTCGAACACTTTTTGGCACTAAACTTGCGGTGTTTCAGCCATAACTTGACGAATGTTGGTCAAGTGCTCAAGAGTTCAAAGTTTATGCGCATAAACGCTTCAGCATAGCTCCACAAATAACTTCGACGGTGTCGAATCGAACAATCTTGGTGGCCAATCGGATTGCAAATGACATTTCTCTCGCACGTATGCCATAAGCGCTCTTGTTGTGTAGCGTGTAGCACCACATACGTGTGTTGCTTAGGTCGTGTTCTTCAATTGCAGCCCTAAAACAATCGGTTACCATGAGGCAATAATCGGAATTGACAATGACATTTTCGCCGTTGTCATCTTCAAAGCACTCCATCTCCGGAGCAAAGAGCTTATTTATTTGAGAATTACTGGAGCCACAAATGCAACAATTTCGCTTGTTTACGTAGGGAGAAAGGTGCCTCGTCGCTGAAGAACATTTCGATCGAAAAATCGCCGTGCACTGCTTGTTATTCAAGTACCCAAGCTGGACTTATATGGATGTATGTGTAAGTCCTGGTGCAAACTATCCCATAATGCAGCGTACGAAAGCCCCAGCTCTTGAGAATGTCAAGAAATAGACAACTTGGGTCTTTCACTTGCAGTAGCGATATTTGAGGTGGAACGAGCAAACCGATGATACCCACACCTTGGAATATCTGTAACCGATCAAGTCTTCTAAAATTCCTTTAAAATCTTTCCAATGGTTTGAGTAGTTGGACGAGTATGTGCACCAAAACCTCCTCTTAAAGCACGAAATGTGGCTACGTGTGAATCGCCATTTTTGTAGTAGGACTTAACAATTCTAAAACAAAACATGTTTGGGTTGACAGATGTCAAAATACAGCCCTGTACTTTGGAAACCCCAAAATGGATAACCCTATATATTGCTCTTTTTCCTAGTCATATATGTAGCTTTACAAGGTGCTAAGGAAAAACGTTTTCTTGATGTTGAGAAAACTCTTATTTGTTCGAAAATTTAGAGTTCTCCAACTTGCAATATTTCCTGAAGTGATGAGTTACACATCCTTCTGGGGGCGGTTCACTATGCTTCTCGTCATTTTTTAACTGCAAATAGCGCTTTTTGAAAATTATTTTAAATAAAAGAAAAAAAAAATAAAAATAATTTCGATTTAAAAAGTTTCGCGCCTATTTTTGGACTACCCTAACATACCTACACATACACATAGATAAATGTTTTTCACATAAACATGCAAGTGTGTATACATACAATAGTATATATATATGTATATATGTAAATATATGCGAGGGAGTGTGCACGCGTGTGTTCTGTTTATGTGTGTGTGTGTGTGTGTGTGTGTGTGTGTGTGTGTGTGTGTGTGTGTGTGTGTGTGTGTGTGTGTGTGTGTGTGTGAAATCCAACGCAGCCGGTTAGCAGCAGCTGTAGGATTTTGAAGAAGAGTCTATGTTCTTGTATGCAGATGCGTGTTGGCTGCAAACAAAAAAAAAAAAACAAAAAACAAAAACAAATATTTAATGTGTGGGTGGTAAGGTCCGCTACGCGAGCAAAACTGCAATTGCGACCAAAAAGCGAAAATCTAGTTAAAGTTAATACGCTGTCACCAACACTTGAGCCACATATGTATGTACACGTATGTATGCATGTATGTGTCTCATCTGCTCACATGTCGGCTGTCAAGTAAAATTATGTGGTCGTTTGGGCGCAGATTGCGCTAATCACGTCTCAAAGGGTTTGAATTTCAGTATAGTTTTACGCACTCCATTTGCGATGCAAATAAATGGCAAATAAACACAAACGAATATTGAATTTTTGAAAATTTTTCATATTTCAAGGGATAATATTATATACACATATATTTAACTTTTGAGAGCCAAGAAGAACTTTTACCCATTTTCCATGGATACTGAAAGCAATCAAGAGAAAAAATAGAAATTTAGTAAGAACACAACGACAAAAATTTTCCTGAGAATGCAAAAGAATGCATTTAATTGAAGAGCTCCGATTTCTTCATTCTCGGCTTTTTACTTAAATGTTTTTTCTCAAACTAAATGAGTCGCTGTTTAATTACTGGCGTTTTTCTGGCTTTTTCAAGCAAACACAAACATTTTTTTTTTTCGAAAATAAAACGCCACAAAACTACAAGAATTTCTGCAAATTACGACTAGAGTAAAATGAATTATTAGTTTTTGAATAAACAGTTTTTCAGGCGCTTAGAACTCCAATAAACAATTATTTGATAATAATTATGGAACTTTGTCATTTAGTTTTATTTAGCTGCAGCGGAAACTCCAGTTATTCACTAAATTGCTAATATTACACTTCAGTCCACTTTTACTCTATTCGCTCTTATGTTGCTATCAAGCTTCTTCATTGCACTGATTTTCAATGGTTGGAGTGACAGCTGATAATGGAAGCCTTTGCGTTTTTTGTGCACTATAAATGCTGCTGTTGTTGTTGTTGTTCTTGTTGCAGTAGTGCAGCTAGTCAACATCCCCATCGCCACAACTGATACCAATACAAATTGAGAGAGTGTTTGGAATGAAAATGACACTAATCGTGGCTTAAGTTTACCTTGTAGCCCCCTACAAACACACACACACGCATACAAATACACATGCATGCATACGTGCATACACGCAACCTCCCACATATAGCAAGGCATTTGGGTGTGCGCGTGTGTTTATTTTGTGTGTGTATTTGTTTGGTGAGTGGGGTGTTGGTCGGCGTTGCCGTGGAGGAGCAAACAACGGTAAATACTCATGTGATCAGTTTTTGCGGCAGGGCAGGCGCCGCGGCGTGGCTTCCAGCGGTGGTGGAATTAAAGACTTGAGGGAACGTGAGTACAATGCTGTTACCGTTGTTGTTGTTGGTGGGAGATTACTAAACATAAATAGGAGTATTAATTTCACGTGTGGTGCTTAGCCATAAATAAATGCGAGTAAATGTAAATGTCATAATGTACCCAGTGCTCAAATCACCGGACCCACCCCTAAATGAAGGAGTGTAACGGTACTATAAGTTCCACGCGTACCCTTGAAGTTGGTGCACGGTAGCGAGAGTTGAAGGTGACAAAAGCAACCGTGTCTAATGCACTTTTCTCTCATATCCCGCCCACCTCTTTCGCTTTTACCGTTGTTTTTTTCTTCATATTTTATTTTGCCTCTGCTCTTTGCTTCTTTTTTTACGGTTGCTGCGTTCCGAAGCGGGCGTGTTTGTTTATGAATATATATATATATGTGTGTGTGTGTGTATGTGTGTGTATGTATTTGTTTGTTTGTATGTGTTTGAGTGTGGCATTTTCACAAGTAGAGAAAATTGTAATGAATAAATTTGATAATCAAATTTGTTCTGCCTTTGTTTGTTTTTTCTTCTTTCTGTCTTTCTTATTCGTCTGTATGTAATTTACGAAAACTGATTTGTTACGCCGTACATTAACAGCTTGAATTCTTTACGCCTAAAAGTTGGCTCGATAATTTCTTTCGTTTGTCGATTTGTTCGTTTATGCCGAAATTCACAACCGACACACGGCGAAAAATTCGTTGTTCACAATTCGTTTGGGCCACATTATTACATTTTTTTTTCTGTTTTCGAAAATGAAACGATTTTCCTTTATCGACGTTTACGGGGAAATAACAATTCGTTGTTTTGTATACGTTTTTTCGTTATGAAAATAAATGAAAGTTATTAAAAACAATAGGTTTTTAATTTTAACAACGACGACAACTACGACGATGAAGAAAAGTACAACACACACGAAACGCGTACGAAACGGGAAGAAACAGCAAGAAATTGCATTCTCTGTTTGACATATTTATTGGTGTGATTTTAGGCGCAGAGGAAATGTTATATCCCAATTATGTCAAAATCCACGAAACTGTTATACAGAGGGAGAATTCGGTTCAATGGCATTGCCAGCAGTAAAAGAAACGGAAAAACAGCAATGTGATTTTTAGTAGTAACCGAATATATTAAAAGCATTTGAAACTGATCTCTTTCCACATAAGCGAACGGCATATTGAGCATACATAGGTATGTTGGGATAATAAACTTGAAACTTCTACTCGAGAAATGTTGTCGGATTCTATGTATTTGTAAGCCGAACCGAAATAGTTCGCAGCAACTTCTTTACCTATGACTCGATATTCCGATCGCTTTTTTTCAAAGAGATCAGATTCGAGTATTGTAAGAAAATGGCTTTCAGGCAATTAGTCCCCGCTCGACACTAGCCACCAGCATGCCTCTTGAAACCAACTCATCTAACCCTATTGGCTCTGTTCCGAGCTCGTCGTAACAGCTCCTGGACCTCCCGTCAGCTGACCTCGTTGAGGTAGTGACTTGAGGAAAATGCTGAGGCGTTACCAGGCTCAGGTGAAAGATGGAAGCGCCAATGTCTTGAATTGTTTTCATGGCGGAAAAATAAAAAAAGCTCGCCAGAGGATTCTCCTCATGTTGGCGATTAAACCCTATTTTCAGGTGCCGGAAAGATCAGGATGTGGTGGCGCTCAGCAAACAGCAGTTGACGTCGAGTTGCCTTTCTGTAAGCGCCGATCTCTTATTCCCACTAAACATCCGCACCGTCGATACTCATTTCTTTTCAATTTGCATAATATTGTCTATAGTTTGATAGGCCAGAGTGCGTGTCCTGTTTCGACAAACATCCAAAATGATAGAAAATTAATTTTTTGCGGTCGCCTTCGATAGGGAATGTCAAGCTCTCCGGCAGTTCGAAGATGGCTTAGAATAAAGACATATAAGACATCCGTTACAAATTAGAGTAGGAGCTCGGCCGAAAATTGATTTAGCGGTTATAAAACGCAAAAATTAAATAAATAATAACAAATGCGATAATGTTGATAAATATTATATATTGTGTCTTTATTTCTATTCCATGCCTTACCACTAAAAAACACTTAAATTAAAAATTAGTAATTTTGAAGCTTTAATTTTGGCACCACATTCATGCTGGTCAGTTCTTGGAATAGCAGCTTACAGGCATAGGGCATGGAAATCTTCGACACGTTCGCGGATGACTGACAATAGTGACACCACGAACAATATGCCAAGCGACCACAAGTCTTACAAACGTCCACATCAAAGGCATCAGAAGATATCATCAAACGCTCCATAATCAACATACTAGCACCATACGAAATGAGGCAATCACGTTCCATCTCACCCAAGCGCAGACCACCCTCTCGACTGCGACCCTGTGTTGGTTGTCGAGTAAGCACGGCTTTTGGGCCGCGTGCACGTGCATGCATTTTATCTTGCACCATATGCTTCAATTTTTGATAATACACCGGACCGGAGTATATGTACGCTTCTAGTGATTCTCCTGTGATGCCAGAGTAGAAATAGTCCTTGCCCATATAATTAAAGCCATGTTTGAATAGTTCATCCTGTATGTCTTTGCATTTGGAGCCACCGAAAGCGGTGCCATAGTGGAATTTTCCTTCCAATAAACCGGCCTTGCCGCCAAGCAGTTCAAGTGATTTGCCAACTGTCATACGACTGGGAAAACCGTGTGGGTTCATAATCATGTCTGGGCAAATACCATAGTCATTGAAGGGCAGGTCTTCTTGGTCAACAATTAGGCCAGTTACACCTTTCTGACCGTGGCGTGAACTGAACTTGTCACCGATTTCAGGACGACGAGTTTGACGCAAGAGAATCTTTATAAGAAAGTCCTCTTCACCATTCGCTGACACCATTACCTTTTCAATATAACTTGGCTCTGGACCTTTATACGATATAGGCACTGCCGTATAAGGGATCTGCGATAGATAAATAAAAAAAATTAAATAAAGAGGTTTTTTCATATTAATATAAATATATATATATATATATATATATATAAGTATAATATAAAAATGTAATTTTACAGATATTCTCTTCATTTACCTGTGAAGCTTGCCCTGTTTGCTCAATCGGGTTTATAGAGGTCACAGCCGGCATTTCCTTGTTAATCAATATCTGTTTATTCACCACCATTTCCCCAGGCGACACTATTCCATCAGTGTCCAACGCATCGTGCTTGAAAATCACTTTATTAGTGAGCGCATCCTTCACGGGACCCATAATACGGTCATATGTTTGATTTGCATACCGTTTAACGGTACATTTGGAATTCTTGTAAATCAAACAGCGTCCATAACCGCGATCAATGGATGCTTTATTGAGAATGAGCGCATCTTCAATATCATAACCGGAATAACTCATTACAGCAACTGTCGCATTCTGACCAGCAGGCAATTTGTCAAATCCTGTGAGCTCAATAGTCTTAGATTTAACCATAGGTGCTTGTGGGTATACCAGATTATACATAAGCGTATCGATGCGATTTTTTTGATTGTAGCCAATAACACCCATCGCTTGTTTACCCATAGCACATTGATAAGTATTACGTGGACTCTGATTGTGATGGGGATAAGGCACAAGACCGGCGCAGACACCCAAAAGTGTGAACGGTTCTATTTCCAGATGAGTTGTGGTGTCTGCTGTTATGTCAGCTTCATTCCACGCTATGAACGAATCGTTCTCTTCATTTACATCTAGATACTCCACTAAGCCATCATGTAGAAAGTCTTCGAATTTGCGTATACCACGCTTAAGTTCTTCAATGTGGTGCTGCTCCACAGCTGGTCTGCCATTAGTGACTATAATGTATGGACGACAGAGACGACCACCATCTGTGTGTATGTACACACAACGCTGTGTGTGTGATGTGTGTATGGAAACAAATGGACCAAGTCGACCTTTTCGACGCATCATACGGAAAACTTGTACAAGCCGTTTGTAACTTATAGTTAAGCCGAGTATGTTACCTAAAGGGAACAAAGAGTTATTAGCTGAGACATCAATACAGGATTTGATCAATATTCTTACCATTGATAAATACCAAAAAGACTTTGGAATTATTTATAACATCCCCACCAATCAAGCGTATATCTTCAACGCCTGCATTAAAAGCTAAACGTATGACTGGCCCTTCATCCACTTCTGTTGTGATGTGCGTCATCAAAGCCAAATTTTTTACCAGACCGCAAGCTTCACCTTCTGGCGTGTCGGATGGACATAACATACCCCATTGACTTGGTTGCAACGAACGGGGTCCAGAAACTTTTCGCGTTTTCTCGAATTGTGAGTTAACGCGCGTCATCATACCCAAAGCCGAAATGTAGCTTAAGCGGGAGAGAACCTGTGTGACTCCTGCACGTTCCATTTTAAAACGTTTAATCGTCCAGTTGCCTGAGGAGATAGCCGACTCTAGGCCTACAGTGATTTGTGCTGCACGCATATGTTTGACAACATCGAATTGTGCGGCTTTTACTTTTGGTATGTTCTTGTCTGCAATCATTTTCAGTTCCCAGTTCATACGCTTAAAAAGATCTTCGAACATCAGCGATATAAGAGAACCCGCCAACTCTAGACGCTTGTTGCCATAGTAATCGCGATCGTCAAACGCTGTCGGATCGAGTTCCGCGGCCATTACGCGCCGCACCATCAATGAGACATAAATAGACTTTATTTGGAAATTAAAATTTTCAACAGGCACGTGTGCAAGTATGGTGGTAGTCAGTAGTTCGCGAGCTTCCTCCGCTGGCGTTTTATTGGCAGCAGTTTGGAATCGCTTTACAACCAATTTGGAACCTACAAATAAATTACATATTAATATATTTAAGTAAAAATTATAACCATTATTATAAATTTTTACCCATATATTCGAGAGCACGTTGTTGAGTGTATACTTTTAGCTGAAATGTCTCCAAGAGCGAAGGCGCAAAGCGGTTTTGTGTCTCGGTGTCTGTACCAATCAATGACATTATTTCCTGGTCCGAAGTTACACCCATAGCTTTGAAGATTACCGCAATCGGAATGTCATCGGTCATGGAATTATGCTTCAAGTAGTATTTACCATGCTTACTTAGTACCAACGTTCGAGATTTTTTCTCATGTGTGGAAGATGTTACCTGACACTGTACCGTGCCATTAAATTCTTCCGTAATCATTTTATTCCAAGACAATTGCTCTTGTATGAGAATCACTTTTTCTTGTCCACGCACCACAAAGTAACCCCCGGGATCTAATGGACATTCATTCATTTTAGCCAGCTCAAACTCAGATTTTCCTGACAGTACACAATTCGATGAACGCAACATTACCGGCATACGCCCTATCAAAAGGTTATTCCGTATGATGCGCTGCGCACCGCGCGTATATTCAATATCCACCGTGATGGGGGCAGAGTACGTGGTATCACGCAATCGACATTCATGTGGTGTAGTTGCTTTGGTTATATTGTAGCCGTCTTCAATGTCTGGTGTACCCACACGCACATCCAAATATTTTAAATAGAAAAGGGGATCAGCATCGCTGATTACCATTTGATTGGCCTGCACGATCTTTTTTATATCCACATTAACGAAATGGTTGAACGAATCTATATGCTGCTTCACTAAACCTTTAACTTGCAAGAAAGCCGGCACCAATTTCCACTTCTCTTCCAAGGGTTTAATAGGTCTGGACCAAGCTTTGGGGTCACTATCCCAGGCTTTATCAACACCAGACGAATCACCCATTTCAACACTACAGATTCAACAAAATTGACACTTTTCTTAAATGAGTTTTTGTTAGTGAAATATTTTCAAACAAATGCGAGCGATTGAACCAAAATAATTGCACGCGGAATGAATTGAAAATCGCGAATAAAAGAACAAGTAGAATTCGCCTTGAAAACATATGATTTTGCAAGAGTTGCCAGATCGTAAACATTTTTGACTTGCATAATAAAATTTCGATAATTCCCCAAATCTACTCTTCTATGCGAATAAAAAGTTAATCCTGTAATAGATATACAGAATATGATATGTTCATTAAGGACATATATTTAGATATTTCACAAATAGATTTATCCGAATGAAGAATAAATAGATTACTAGAATGAATTCATATGCGTACTTTGCAATAACATTTTATGGGGCACGAGGGTCGAATGTTCGTTGAAGAACCCCGAGAAAGGCAAGAGAGAATTCGTGGTGTATATGAGCAAAACGTACTTTGCTGGGATTTTTAGTTGAATTTGGAACTCAATAGTGACACCATTTTACGGTGTCAGTTAAGGTGATTAAGACGTTTGCTTAGTACACAGTGTATTATTAAGAGATTTAGGAAACGGTGTGTTTGCAATAAGGAACAGTCATCGAACTCGAAGGGTTGAGAAAACATTGTGGCTTTTTTAGAAAAATTCGTTAAAATAAGTTACAGTTATTGTATATTGTGCCGAAAATATCATATCCGAATGTCAGAGAAGCCAGTAATTACAACAAGTCTGAATAGAATATTCGTTATCGAAAAAATTTTTGCTGACTTTTTCAGAAATGTAGGGCATTTGTGTAGAGGGCCCGTTAGTGACAATATTGGTGCAAAGTGAGATTTTTAAACCGTGATATACTATGCATTCCTTACACACTTCCAATTACTGTACATTTTTTTGTAAAATTTCTGGCAAGGTTGGTTCACAATTTCAGAAAGAATACAAAAACAAAATTAAAGATAATAAAAGAAAATAAGTAAAGGATAATTCATATAAAAGTCAAGAATTTTGAAAGAAAATTTTCGGAATTTTCACACATTTTTCCAAAAGATATAAATGAAATCTTAAATTTGTTAAATTAATAAAATATTAAACTTTGAAATTAAGTGCTTCTTTATGAGGTAAGTAGATGAACGAATGAATAGATAGAAGGGTTGAGGAACTTCAATGCTTCTACTTAAACGAAAATTGTCTTGGTGGAAATTTTTTATATCGTATTTTTAGCATACATATTAGGTGCTGAATGTTTATATAAACCTGTCTAGTTGTCTTTTGATTTCAGGGAATTGGCTAATAACACCTTGTCAGCATCATTTGCGCAAAAAAAATTGAATAATAATAAGTGAAAAGCGGGTGCAGAGACTGAAGGGCGTAGGAATCCGTGTTTACATACAGCCCCTGTTGTCAAAATACACTTATCAGAAAGGCCGTAACTTCAAGCGGGAGCTAAAAGAGTTGGTCTCACACTTTCGTAACCCATAATCACTCTCAAAGAACGAGTTGGTTCGTAGCATGCTCGTTTAATTATCAGCGTTTAGTGAGCACGTCTGAGCATAGGGAGCAGAGCGCCAAAATAAGAAGCAAAAAGCAAGAGTCGCCACCTCAACGCTTGAAATTTCGTAGCTGTCGCCACTACTATTCAGTTGTCGTCGCCACTTTGCTCGCACTAAACGTGTCATATTGATACAGAAGCCATTTATACAAAAGCAGTCTGATAACTGCTGCCCATAAAAAATATTACGAATACATCGCGAGGAAGTTAACGCAATTAACATATTTTTTCTAATATTTCCCATCTTTTTATTTAAATAACACAATATGTCCGAAAAAATCAGCGTTTGCATTGTAGGCTCCGGAAACTGGTAAGATTTTTTTTGCTCTTGCTGAAATTTATGAGTATATAATTATATATATGTATATATGTGCTGTTGGGTGTGAGTTGGTTGTTACACAAGTTTGTAAAAGAATCCTATTGCATGCAATCCAAAACAGCATGGCCAACGCGTAGCTAATGGCGCGCTTCAATCGAGTGCACACGATTACGGCGATTTCAATAATGCAACTCCCACACAGCGTGCATAAGTAGAACATTATAAGCAAAAAAAAGTACTTTATTATGCAACATAAATATGTAAAACTAAAAAAAAATTCTTTGCTTTTCAATTAAATAGGGGATCCGCTATTGCTAAGATTGTGGGTAATAACTGCGCCACTCTGCCTCAATTTGAAAAATGTGTTACCATGTACGTTTATGAGGAAATGATCGAGGGCAAAAAATTAACTGAAATCATAAACACTACCCATGAAAATGTTAAATATTTGCCAGGACACAAGCTACCAGAAAATGTGGTAAGTAAATATGTGTATTAATTTTGTATCTACATTTGTGAAATTAAATGTTTGACGAGGTTTCAGTATCTTCATGTGCGTATAAATTCAAAGTGATAACGTCACTTGCTTTGTAGGAAATTCACCACTGATAACAGATAGTCACTAACACGCTGTGAATTGCTGTCGGTTGACCTTTATGTATGGCTGGCTAAATGGCAAAGTTATGTGTTAGTCATTCTAGCCTATATTGGAGCCACTTTCTATTACCATAAAGTGTTAAGTGATAGGTGCGTGATAAATAATATATTATGTTTTTACTTTCAAGCATGATTCCGATGTGAGGTAATTAAAACGCTTCTAATATTGATGGTTGCTTTCATTGCACAGACACTAGTGTTGTTGTTGTTTTTTTTTTTATTGCGTAACATGCCAAGAGTAATACTCTTGAGCAAATGTTTCGTACCGTGGCATAAGGGAATAAATTAAATTGTTTTGTTACAATTGAATTAAAAAATAAATTACAATTGATTAGCTTGTAATTAAGTTGTCGTTTTCATTGAGAAGCTCAGAAAAACAAATGCATTTTAAAGATGAAAAAATAGTTCACTTACAATTTCGTTCAAGTGAATAATTACATCATATCAGTGTAGAGTGAATAATTTAATTGTTCCCATAAGAAATAAAAAATGTTAAAGTTCTATGTGCTCAGTACAATGCACTAATAACACATACATAAGTATAATATGTATGCACATAGGCATGCATGTGCAATTCCGTGCAGTGAATAATTTTTATGTAATATTTGTAGAATATAAACAAAACCACTGCATTTCAAAAGCAACAAACAATTGAAGAGAACATTTTCACTCTGTTTAATTTCTCAGTATTTCTTTACACTCTCAAATAAAATTATATATGTTTTAGGTGCTGCAGTTTTGTGAAAATTTTTTCATTCATTTTGAAAAAACTTTGAAAACTCCTTACTTACGTAAGGATTGCAAAACATTGTTTTTCACTGCCAAGGCACGATTAATTTTTACGTTAAGAATGTATTATCTAATCAGACACTGACAATGAAAGTTTCTCTGTGGTATTGAGTTTATTTTAGTTTCTCGCCTCAATGCCAAAATACATAATCGCAAGTGCATTTCGTTGTAGTCGCCAAGAGTACTCGGGCAGTGGATTGGCCGACATTAAACAGATTTCTCAGTTGTTGCAGTCGTCTGCGGTGCTTTCGCGTAACAATTGCTCTTCGGTCTATTGTTTTGTCTAGCTTGAATTTACTGAATGGCTTTACTTTCCCTTCTTTGGCACGGCACCTGTAATAATCATTTTGAGGGAATTAAATACAAACTAATGTGCATACGTGTATGTATGTATCGAAAAATGTTTTCTTTCTTAACCATAGGTTTTATAAAGGCACATTACAAATTTTTTTTTCTAGCCCATATCTTCTTATATACTGTGTATGTATATACATACGTATGCAACATATGTTTGTACATATGTACATCAATTATATATACGTATATACTTTTCTCCTCACACTCAGCCAGGTATTGCCTTTGTTCGCGTAGGTCAAGGCCGCACAGCGAATTACGCTGCGTAAAAGTGGTGGTGTTTTTTTTTTGCGATTTCGGTTTTCAACTTTTACTTCTGCTTTTACTTTTGCTTTTTATTTATATTTCAATTGCATTTAACTTTAATGGGTGGTTAGTGGCATGTGTGGGAGTCAAGGTGCAAGTTGATGAACAATTGATTTTTTCTAACATTGATTGCTATTTTTAATTCCGTGCAAGTTGCAAGTTTTTCAAGGTTGACACTTGTCAATGCTGCTGCTACATGTGCATATGGTTTTGTTTGATTTTCAGAGCAGAAATTTTGCAATTTTTTTTAATTTCGCTAAATTTTGCTATTCACATCTTTGAATTTCCTTTTGTTTTTTTTGTGAACATAGGTTAATGATTTTTTTTTTAAATAAATACATTTGCTATTACAACGTTTAGTCGAGTACATACTTAACTTATTGGGCTATCAATGTAAATAATTTTTCATCAAACTGGCTGAAGTCAGTCAAAATTCAATGCTTTAAATTTAGTGAAAACGTAACTCGATTGAAATCAATGTTTCTTTTCTTTTTATTAGTAGATAATAGCATATATTTTTAATAAAATGCTATATACATATAAATTATATAGTACGTACGTATGCTTAAGCAGCATTATGAAGCAATTTATTCTAAAAATTAAGAAAAGTATTAACATTTTTTTAATTTTCTGTTTTATGTCGTTTTTTTTTCATTTTTATCTTTAATGTTGCAAGCTAAATATTCCTTCAGCGGCTACAAAGCGTCAATTATATATACAAAGTTACGCTTGTGACACTTGCATATCATAGCTTGTTTAGTCAATACATTTTGATAATGCGCTCGTTTAACTCCCTCCCCCTGATGATTTTAATTCAACAAAAATAAATATGTACACACATACAAATGCGTGCATGGAGTTAAGATATAAATTCCTCCAACCATAATTCTAAATTATAGCATAAAATTTATGGGCAGCATTCTCTTAGTATTCCTAAATTTAAAAGCAATTAAAAACAAATTCGATAAGGCAATAATACAATTTGAATCAAACCACTGATAAGCAAATGACAAAGTTCACTAATCATAGCCTGATGTCTTGTTATTTTCCAACGATTATTTTTATTTATGTGTTTGTCGAGCAACGGTTTGTTTTCGTTGCGTATTTGTCATGCAAGTTCTTTTGGGTTATGAATGTGTTTTGAAAAACATATTTATTATTACTAAAATATGCATTTGTATGTACACATTTATGCACATGTGAACGTATTATGTGTATACATTTTTTAACATTTAATCAAGCTCTTTTTGGCGTCAAGCCAAATATATCTACATTTTCAGCTGCAGAGCTTCATTAATCCCACCACAATATCTACTATTGCATTTGCAATACAAACATACATTTGTGCATATAAAAATGTGTTTATGCAGCCGAAATATATAAATCAACAGATAAATTAATTTTTTCATTCAATTAAAATTCAACACATTCAACAAAAGTTGATGAACTTCACAATTTGATTCTTAAATTTATTTTTATATCTCAAAATAAATGTGCGCTCTTCTCAGCTGCTCTTCCCTACACAAACCAGAAAGCGCCAATCAGCTGGGGTCACTTCTATGCTACTCAATCAGTCTGACAATAATTGAATTATAGGAATTAGAGTAAAGAGTTTAATTGTCTTATTTAAAAAAAAAAAAGAAATCACAAAATATCTATTTTTCTCCAAAATTAATAATATAATAGAATGCCAACAACAATAAATGGGCGTTCCACGCCATTGACAGCGTCCATGTACGTTATGTATGTCAGTGTATCAATACTAAATTGCATGTGCACTACACAGGTCAATGACTGACCGTTGGTTGATTGAACTTGGCTCAAATGCAATGCTAGTAATTTTATTATTTCTTTTTTTAATTATTTTTTTTTTTTTTTGCCTACGTAATGCACACTTGAACATAAAGTGGATACAATTACGGTATCAAATATCGCATATGACTACCAAGAGAAATATGTAAATTTATAAGCGTAAAAGTTCCGCTGCTGATCGCTACTTTTTTTTTTGCATTTTATATGAATGTTTGACAGCTTTTTAACTTTAATTTACATTTTTTTGTTTGCATTTGTTTAGCATAAAATAGCATTAGCCTTTTTTCTAATCATGTAGATATGTATATATGCGCATATTCTAGTACGTGCATGTGTATGCAAATGTATAGAGCATGTGTGTAGGGTATTTACATAAATAGTAGATATATAGGGTGCCCAAAAAAATATTGGTTTTTCATTTTTTCCGATTAACCGCTTTAGTTTTCGCGCGCTCTTTGTACAAATATACATAATAGTGTTTGTATAAGTATGTTTATATTAGCCAGCGTTTTTGGCTTATTTTTTATATTGACAATGTCAAATGAATTTTTTCGTAGCAGCAAAGAAGACGAAGAAAAAGAGAACAATTTGTATGAGATAAAAATTTGCATACATATACATACATATATGTTACCTTTACTATTAGGGTGAATATTTTTTGAATTACGCGAACTTTTTTTTAATAATATCTTTGGTACAAGAAAAAAAGTTGCAAACATTTTTATTCAAAACTGTACCTATTTTACTTACTCCCTTTTTGTCTCTCTCTCTTACTGATTTAAAAAAAAAATGGCCTTTATACTTACATCTTAACCACGATATAACGGCAGTATCATTAAGAAAAAAATTTCCTATTTCCAATTAAAATTGTCTTATCTATATGCCCATTTGGCGCTAGTTTGGTGTTAGTGGCAATAAATCAATGGGTATAATAGTATGTATTAATGTACACGTGTATATGAATATATGATATCATAAATTGTGGTGATGGATAATAAACTATAATCTTTGGAACACGAAAGTGCAGGTGGAAAGTCCAGATAAATGCTTCAGTAAAAGTTGACTTGAGGTTTAAAAAACAATAAAAAAAAAATAATTATTTAATTAAATAATTTTATGTGTAAATGAAAATGTGTTATGTAAGTCACATATCTTAATTTATTTATTAAAACATCTACAGTTATATGTTATTATAAATATTTGTAGTTGCTACAGTTCAACTTTATATTAATACAGATATAAATGGTGGGAATTTAAAAAATATTGAAAAGAGCGTTGAATAATTTCAAAACATTTCAATAAAAGCCTCAACGCCACTGTGCATGATGGTCTGACAATCAAAGCCATACAAAATGTCCCACCCTATATCATTGGCACCCTAATGCATGTCATTAATCATAGTATCAGTACGTGCTATTTTCCCGCGCAATGGAAAATTTCCACAGTACTGCCTGTTGCCAAAAAGAATTTCGTCTGTTGTCCGTCTGATTTTTGTACCATAAGCGTCGTATCTGCCCTATTAAAGGTGTTCGAAATGCTCATAAGTAAACAAATCAATGAATATGCTAATAAGTATAATTTCATCTCCTTTCTTTAGTCAGGCTTGTCCTAACCTCAGCTGTACTGAAGGTCATTGATGACATTCGATTGAATTTAGACAATAATCAACCGACTCTGCTCTGCTCAATTGACTTCCATAAAGCATGGTATATAACGAATTAAATCAGCCTTAATGCATTAGAACTTGTAAAAAGCTATTTAGCCGGTAGGTCTCAACTGGTGACAATCGGCGACGATACATTGCATCTCAAACGTGTAACTTCTGTGATGCCCTAAAGCTATATACTTGATCCGTTGTTTTCCAGCATAATAATTTATGATATTTTTATAGACTGCTAATTTTCAAACCTTCATGGCTACGCTGCTGATATTCAGCCTTACTTTTTTGGTGCCATTGATCGTGCAGATCAGCTGTGCAGTATTATCAATACGGACTTGTCTGCTATCTCGAATTGGGCGTCTCCCAGTGGTCTAATTTTGAATAGTAATAAGTGCTGTGTTTTGTTTGTGTACGATTGCTGACTATCATAAAGCCAGTAGTATATCTCTTTATAAGCCTCTTGCTTCTTCTCTTTATGTTTTCTTTTGCTAGGTCCACTAAAGTTGCTAAAAAGCTACAATCTATTTGACCATTCTTTGTCAATGCTAGTCTTTTATGGAATTCTCTGCCTGTTAATTTAAATAGACAATTTCACAAACATATACGCCTGCCTAGACTGACCAACTATTATTATATAATACATATCGATTAACAACAAAACACTTTTCAAATTCATTACATTCGTAAACATTTTTGAATTCCAATTATGTACACACGTAGAAAGTCATGTTTTTGTTAATGACTTGTGTTTTCCATTTCTTCAGCAATGAAAAATATAGATGAATAAACAAAAGTAAGGAAAAATAATTTATTTGGCTCACACAAATATTAAGCGTTAATCTTTGACTTTGTTGTTTTAGTGGTTCTTTAATCTTCAAATGCGCTCGCTTGTTTTATACACGTGCCAACTTTCTGGGTTTGTCATCTAAAGTGAGTTTCTTCACGATATGGATGATAATGTATACTCAAGAAAAAAAAATAAAAAATTAATGGCAGCACTTTGTGTTATCACTTAAAATTCTAAGCTATAAAAATAATTAAAAATTTAAAAAAATATAAAAATGTTTGAATAATGCCAAAATACCAGACTTCGAAATTTTCCTTAATTATGCTGCGACAAATTATATAAATAAATATGTATTAACGTGCATCTGCTCATAAAAATACATAATTATATGAATGTATATTTGATTTTTAAGCACACGGCTATGCAATTGAATATTATTACCCTATCAATTAGGAAATTATGTCACTAGCTTGTAAACATACGGATGTAGGCTACACCTACACTAATATAACACAAAGGTACATACATATATATGTATTTACTTACTCTTGTATACACACCCCATGTGTTTGATTTACCATTTAGTTTAGGCGGAACCAATTTTAAATGAGCCAACAATGATAATCATGTTCTCTTCGTACATACGTACATACATATACACTTTTTTATCAACTCGCTTGCTAGCTTTTATTAATTGATTATTCTCGTTTCGATTTGTATTTGCCATCGAGTCGTACTCTGCACCATGAACTGCTCAACATATATTGTTGTTGTATGCTGTTAGCTTATCACTTTGTTAAATTCAAATTAGCATTTGTATTGGCTACTGCAAAAAGCAGTCTCATCGGCAGAGTACAGAAAGAAAAACGCTAAAATAAATATACCATATTGTTAAAAATCTTAGAATTGCATGGAGATTTGCACAATAAAATGTTAAAACACTCATTTAATGGTTTTTTAAAAAATTTTTTTTTTGTTTTAATTTCTGCATTAAATTTCATGAGCTATTAATTAAATATAAATAAAAGATTACAAGCTGTCTCGAAATTGTGGAAATAGCAATAAATAAATAATAACGTGGTCCGCTGTGAAAAGGTGAGAACTCAAAGTTGCTAATTATTGTAGGCCTAAAATTTTTTTCCTTTTTTTTTACAAAATATTCAGAGTATAAGCTACGCACTTTTTACGCATATCAAGTACCTTAGTGAAATCCACGCATTAATTGCAAGTATTTAATTACACGGCATGATTGATAGGCTTGCGACGCAAACGACTTTTTGTAGGAGTTTTTACTTATGTACCCACCTGCCTCTCTTCTTATTGGTGTATATGAGCGCGTTTAGAACGCTTATATGTTGTTCATTTTTGTGCAAAAACATATTAGACATTCCAAGGTGCTCAATCAATCGTTGGTATTTTTTTTCGCTTTATTCCGATTTGATTAATTTATTATTCGCTCGCTTTACTATCAGCGAACTGTCCTATTGTGATCAATCAACTTAATAAGTATAAGATACACTCTCTGCCATATTATGACATTAAAAAATTGCTATCAATTATATATGTATAGATTTTCCTTATTACATATTCCATTTTAAAATTTTTTTTTTGTTCAGGTCGCTGTACCCGATCTCATTGAAGCCTGCAAAAACGCTGACATACTCATTTTCGTTGTGCCACATCAGTTCATCCCGAACTTCTGCAAAACGCTTTTGGGAAAAATCAAGCCAAATGCAGTGGCCATTTCGCTCATTAAGGGCTTTGATAAGGCCGAAGGTGGTGGTATTGATCTGATTTCGCACATCATTACCCGTCATTTGAAGGTTGGTTGTGCAAATTTCTTACACTCTTTCAAATATTTTTGACTAATTTTGGTTTAATTTGTGGTTTTATCTGTTTTATAGATTCCCTGCTCCGTATTGATGGGCGCCAATTTGGCCAACGAAGTGGCATTGGGTAATTTCTGTGAAACGACAATTGGCTGCCGCGACATAAAGTATGCCAAGCCATTGCGTGATCTCTTCCAAGCACCATACTTCCGTGTGGTTGTGGTCGAGGACTCTGATGCCGTTGAAGTTTGTGGTGCGCTCAAGGTTTGTATGTTGTCAAATAAATTGTGAATTTTTGCTGTATTGTCTATTTTCTTCCATATTCTGGATGTGTTTTAGAACATTGTTGCTACCGGCGCTGGTTTCGTCGATGGTCTGGGCTTGGGTGATAACACCAAGGCGGCAGTTATCCGTTTGGGTCTGATGGAAATGGTGCGTTTTGTTGATGTGTTCTATCCTGGCAGTAAATTGTCAACATTCTTCGAAAGTTGCGGCGTTGCTGATTTGATTACTACTTGCTATGGTGAGTAGATGTTAAAAAAAATACATAAATATACCCATGAAATGGGTGCGTGGTAACCATATAAGAATTGAGAAATTTATAATTGAGTATGCACATACATATTTGCATGCACAAAACTTTTATTTATATTATAAACTTTTTATTTATATTATTTATTAAATATTTATTTATATTATTTACTTTAATCAAAATATTTATTTACGTACATAAATTTCTAAAAGTTTAGGGAAATAATTGAAGTATGTTTTGCCTTATTAAGGACATCTTATTTAATATATATATATTTTTTTTTGTATAACCTACAGAAAGCATACCTACAAAAGAATGTTAAATTTTTTTCGTTTTCATTGACTAGGTGGCCGTAACCGACGCGTTGCAGAGGCTTTCGTGAAAACCGGCAAATCCATTGAGGAATTGGAAAAGGAGATGCTGAATGGCCAAAAATTGCAAGGACCACCCACTGCCGAGGAAGTTAACTACATGCTCAAAAATAAGGGCTTGGAAGACAAGTACACTAATCAATAAAAAAAACTCAATTCTTAAATTGATTAACTAATTTTTTTATACCACTTTTATTTCTACAGATTCCCACTCTTCACGGCCATTCACAAAATCTGCACAAATCAATTGAAAGTTCAAGATTTGATTGACTGTATACGTAACCACCCTGAGCACATGTAAGTTCATTGTGTCCTTTAGCGGTTTCCCAACTTGCTCTAAAGTAGCTTGCAAAACCTATACAAAAAAAAATCCACTTAAATTAAAAAAAAAAAATCCCACTAAATCCAAAATTATCCCACTATATATAAATGTACATATATAATCCTTTAGCTATTTACAATTTGCATTATTTTGTGATATAATTTGCAATTATTGTAGCTTAAATTTGTTGTTGCACGTATTTTATTGATGTTTACTCGTACTTATTTGCTTTTGTTAGCTTCTTAAACTTTCTAATAACTAAATAGCTTTAGTTTTTTCTTTTTCTTTTGATTTTCGCTAAATTTTCAACTAACTTTAAGTATGTATGTATATAAAAAATTATATTCAAATTTAAAATACACTATTGAACCACACGCAAAATTTTGAAATTTTTATTTGTTTGAGAACTACACTTGCCACACCGAAATCGAACAACTAACAAGCTGCGCACTCAAAGAGTTCGAAATACAAAAAAGAAACGAAAAAGCGTATTCAGTCTAAAAAGTGTGCTCATATTGGCTTAGCTTTTGCCACTTGCTCGGTAACCACGCCTGACAGTTGGTGGCAGCGAAAGACGAAAATAATTTACAAACATACAAAATAAATATGTATACATATGCGTGCTTCCTTTTTATGTTCTGGTTTGTGTACATATTTTCTCTTCTCAATACAACAAATGTTTGTTAACGAAATTTAGAATGTCCAAAACTGACTTTTTTTTAATGCATTTGAATGAAACGAAATTTGACTTTTAGGGCAAAAGCTAAAAAAAAAGAAGTTTTCATAACGTGCTTTGTGTAAGAGCTTTTAAATTATTTATTTAAACGCTCAAAAAAAAAAAACGTTTTCAATTGTCAGTTGAGGTCTCTATATTTCATTAACGAAGTGATCATTTTATATATTTTATTTTTTGGTTATTGCAATTATTTTAATTTAAGGGCTTAGGGGCTGGAATAAGGCTTATAAGCTTTCCTTTTCTTATTTTTAACTGTTTTAATCTAAAGTGAAAAATATTTATTGTGTCAACATTTGTACATTGAATTCGAGCTCAAAACTCATTTTTTTAAAAAAATGGGATTCGAGTAGTGGAATGTGTTTTACAGTATACTTACTATGTTTCTTCTTGCGTTTTTATCCAAAGGTTTGTATTGTATTTGTTTAAGTATTTTTTTTCTCATTTCTCAGTCTCTACTTCATGTTTGTATTTAACTCATCTGTCGCATTTGTAATTTATTTAATTTTTTTTGCAGATATTCACCAGCAAATCTTTTCTCACTCTAAACTCATTTGTGCATGCATCCAATCGCATTTTATGTTTAATCCAAACCAATCATTACTAACAACTAACCATTAATCGAACTTGCAGAAATCAACTTGTTTCCTTCATACATTTTAACTCTAAACGCAATTTTACACATTTTCCATTTCCATTTCTCTTAGGGACGAACCTATAAATGTGCAACCAAAATTGTAATTACGTTCGGCGTTTTCCACAAAAATTGTAATTAAAAAAAAATAAAAACACCCGCGGATTGGAACATAATATAACGGATTATATAAATTGTAAGAGACAAAGAGAGAGAGAGTGTGGGAGAGTGTTTGTGTTTGTGTATTGAAATCACACACTTCCTTATCATGTGCTCTTATGCGTAACGTTGCTTACATCGATTAAAATTATATAAACTTTCGAAAAAAATGTATATATTTAAATACATGTATACATTTTGGAAATAGCACTTAACTAAATTTTCCCCACATCAACACCACCACTACATACATCAAGTACAATTTCATAAACGCCAGTGCCGATTTCATCTCCCCCTGCCGTTCAAGAGTTTGAAACAAGGCGAAGCACTAAGCTGTTCTTGCGTACAAAAATCTAACATATTGTGCACCGCCACGCTTGTGCGGTGCGATTAATATGTATTTGTATCTATACATTATGTTAAGTGATGAAATAGTGTATTTTATGAAGTCTGTATGTATGCAAGTTATATATTTGTAAATAGCTTTAAATAACTTTTGCCGTGAATGTTTAATTATGTATTTGTTATATTAAATAAAAAGAAATATACATATTTTATAACAAAATTGTTAAAAAATAAAAAGAAATGGTTTTGTAAAAAAAAAAATATTTCTATGTTATTCATGCATTCCACATACATACATATCACCCATGAATTGAATTTCACAAAAGCATCGGGTTTGCTAAAATCTCTACAATTAAAATTAGTGATTTGCGAAAAGTTATTTAAACCGCTTTTTGTTTAATAATGAATTTGATTAAACAACTATTTTATTCTAGTTCAATCAAAAATAGAAATGAGATTCATTTAACTAAATTTAATTAATCTGTCACTTAGATTATGTATGAATAGAGATATTTAGCTCAATAACTTATTATTCTGATGAAGTAAAGCTGATTATTTGTCGATTACCCAGCAAAAATGTTATATTTAAACAGCGTTTTTGATCATTCATTCATTCATAATTATTAATAATAATTTTTGTGTATTCGTAAACATCCAGCAACAGTTACTAAATTAATCAAGACATTGTCATACTCGCAGTTACCTTGGAATTTTAGGTATTTAGGCTTTTTTCGTGTACAACTTTGTAATATATCCGAGCTTGTTTTTAAAATACCAATGAATTGGTGCTAACTTAAGATAGTAAAAATATTATATTTGTACAGTTTGGAAAGAAGAATGTGACCGGAATGAGGCAATATGTAGATCAAATTAAAAATTTTAAATTGATATGTGCCTATGCCAGCATATAAATAAATATCGCTAAAAATATCAACTAAATGTACGTTTATATAACTACAAAATTTAAAATTTTGAAACTTTGAGTTGAAAACCTTTACATTTTAAAATTATTTTTAGAAAGTCCTGCAGCTTTTTTGGGTACATTTTTATATGAGAAAATCAGCTTAAACTGAAAAGTCGCGCTACTAGCTTTAACATATATAAGTATTACTGTGGATACGTTCCAAATCTTTGGTGATTTTTTGTTATATAAAAATAATTTTTTTTTTACTTTCTGATTCATTACTACTCTGAAACTCATGCCCATTTCAGTGTTCTCAAATGTGGGGGATTCACATAGTCTCATAAAGTTATAAATCAGAGATATAAACATTAAAAATTTACAACGGTTGTAAGCAAATTTATTGTAATTTTATTATGACAAACCTGGCGATCGGTACAAAAGCAAGTTATAACGGAGCTGGAATTGTGTTAACTCATTTTACACTGCAAGCCAACAGCAAACTTTTTAAATCTAATGTAAAAGTTTATAACTTTCTGATTTCATGATGCGTTATGACGTCATGTGAGTCCCCCAGCGGTGTTTTTTTCGTTTTGTCAAAGGAGTTATTAACTTTTAAAATTATTGTTTTACTACTATTGAATTACAAGTTTACAAGTCGCAGAAGATTTTATCCTAGCTACTCTAAGAAAATGCTTTGCCATATGATGTACTGTGCTTTAAACGCTTTCTAAGCCGAGCATTGTAAGCCACACGACGCAAATTCAAAATTTGTTGAAAATATTGGAAACAATTTTCAATGTGTACGGCTGCCGATGGCGCTCTAAACGTATGTATGCAAACCTACCCACCCTTTGTTTAATTGGACTTACTCAGCAAAGATTGGTTTTATCCCCTCCGATTGGCATGTTTAGCAAATACTTGAAATATAAAATTTATAATAATGCAAAGTTGAATTACTATTTCTCTTCTCTCTCTTTCTTCTTATGTCTTCTATTTCACAGGCAAAATCTCTAAATAAATAATTATGAGAGACGTAAATAAAGTGCATGCATGCAGCACACACACACACACACATATACACGCCTACACACTTACAGACACTTAATTGGAAGTTAATGAGAAAAACTAAACAGAAATTTAATGGAGAGTTATTCTCACTTAAAGCTGAGAACGCTAAATTAACAGAGGCACAGCACATTTAGTTAATAATTAAACAAAAAAGGCAACAAAATTAAACTAAATACAGTAGTATATGTAGTAAAATTTTAAATTCTTATTAAATTTAAATTCTTTTAAATTAATTAGTTTATTTTATTTTATATTAATTTTAAAGCCATGCCGCTAAGCTCGAAGCTTTGTGTAAAGTACCAAGTACATTGCGGCTGCAACGCATATAACTGTGATTTGTTTTGAACACAACGTATACAAACATACATACAATTACATATATACATATACACATACAAATTGAATGGGCCAGTGAAACAATGGGCATTAAACGAATGGGGGGTTAAAGAGCTAACAACGACACATGCATACATACATATACGCAGTTACATACATATGCATATGCATATACATACATATGTACACATGTATATTTAAAGATGTTTTTATTTAACAGTTTAATCGCACAAATACATATCTCCATATATATGCATATATTCATGACATCGCGCACCCCTACTTCTCTGCACGCCTCTGACAAACGCTTAGTTTATGTTTTAAACAGTTTGATTGATCCACGGTCAGTATGCGGCAGAAACGTTTTTAACGGTTTTAACGGCTCACACACTTTCAGCAAATGGGATATTTGTAATGTAAAGACAACAGTGTACCTAAAATATTAGTACATAAGAAATGCAATCAAAACAATTTGATGTTTCTACAAAAAAAAAAAATGAATTAAAATTAAAATGAAAACTAAATAAAATGTAAATAAGACAAATTGTGTATAAAAGTAGGTTAAATTAAATTGTTAATTAACTCACAGTGTATTGAACGGCAGCACATTTAGTTAAAAATGCTGGAGAATTAAAAAAAAGAAGAAAAAACACGAATAAAATAAAAGACACACGAACACACTAAATTGTTTTAGTTTTTTTTTTTTGTTAAATATCTTATTCAAGAAAATTTGTGTTGATGCCTTGCCTACTATAATCGCACATATATCAACCAATACATGTACGACGGTTGTCTTTTATATGCAATCAAATATTAATAATTTAAAATCCCTTAATTTCTTTTTCTTACAAAATATTCTCCATTAAGATTTATGCACATTTGCATGCGTTTGAACCAATTGGCGAAGCACCTCGCCTTTCGGTTTGACGTATCACCAAACAATGACCCCTTCAGGCATGTGAAGGCATGAAAAGGTGTATGTCTCATGCAATTGACGTTTTGAGTGCTCAAAAATATGCAGTTATTTCAGTTGATGTTATGAAAAGTCATCTGCCTTCGGTGGCTGGTTTTCCTAATTTTTTGAAAAAAAAAAAAACTGGCCAGCATACGGTCAGTGCAGTGTAGTCAGAATTTACTGAACTGCGTGGTTGTAGTGGCGCGGAAGTGTTTCGTGCTTGAACAACTTTTGTTGGAATCGTTTCATCATCTGTCACGATGTCATAGACGTGTTTCGTAGCACCACTCGCGTTTTTCAACATTTCTTTCGATCAGTGGAGACGATCATTTTTTTGGAACCCTTAACAAAATGTGGAAACAAGTACTTTTTACTGTCAAATGTTCAAACATTATAGAATATATGCTGGTCCCGCTAAATGCCTGTCTCACGATAGATCACATGATAGTCTTGCAATATCAGTTTGCATACAAAATCAATAGTTTCCGAAACAACAACAGATTTTAGATGAACTTAACGAAATACACCTTGGAGTAATCTACGACCTGGACAAAATTATAAGCATCTCTGAGACAGTCAGAACAACACTATCCGCAGGTGCTACATGCAATTTGATCATTCCTCCAGCAAACCTGGGAGCTAATAACTGAGAATTCTTATCTACTGCGAGGCTATATGCTACCTAGCAGCTGAAAGTCAGGACCTACTGGCATAGTAGTATAGCGTTACCCCTAAGTGTATGAATAGACTACGTAATCCCGGGTCTGAATTTCAGAAAACTGTTTTCAACTACAATAGAGGCGAATTGCTGGAATAAAGATCTGAAATATGCAGACAAAGCTCCTCACGTTTTCGCAGACGGTTCTAAATTGAACGAGGGCGTGGGGGGCTTCTGTTCACTGCTCTCAACTGAAGATAAGGAAGTCGTATATGCTGGCAAGATATTGCCGAAATTTTTGCAATATGAATGGCGGCAGAGCTACTGCAAAGTGCCGGCTTTCTATCGAAAAGAATACGCCTTAATTTCATACAGCACGAAGTCAGCTGTGGTAGCATTATGTGAAGGAGCGATTCAGCTGAAAACAGTAGGGTGTGCATTTACTGGGGACAAGGCCAAACGGGCATTGAAGGTATTGAGATAGCTGACAAAATTGCTAAAGGCGGTGTCCATTTAGAACAAGACGCAACATTGAACCTCCCACTTACATTCTAGGAAGTGAAGAAGGAGTAAGAAGTTATACTACTTCTTCAGATGAATAGACTCTGGTAATGAGCTAAGGGCTGCAGAATAGCGAAGACTATGTGTAAAATATACAATACTAAACTCACAAAGTTTGTGCTATCTCTTAAGAGACCGGATTCCAGGCTGCTGATACTGCTATGGACGCGACATTGCCTTGCCTTCTGGTCGCATACGCTTAAGATAGGTCTGACTGCTGAAAACAAGTGTGGGAAATACAGTGGAGCACGTAATCTGAAAATGTCCGGCTTTCGGAAGACAAAGGCTATGTATACTTGGCGCAGAAAGACTACAAGATATACAATCAACGACATCGATTGAATTCACCAAACCAACGATAAATATTGGTTCCAGATGAAGTTTTATCGCCAAAACTTGAATTAAGTTCATCGATACACTGTTGCTGAGTTAATCCACGTCGAAAATTGTTAAAAATAATCCCATGAAAATATTCGCGATTTAATTCAATTATGAATATTTTAAATTACTGTAAACGAGAGGGAGTATCAGGATGACGAATTAAGCTGATTGAGGTATTTCAACCAAACTTGATACACAGGTGCACTGGTATATTTAAACGATTATTTCTCGAATCCGGCAAAACTATTATAGCAATTTTATGACCAGTTTTTCAGATTTGAGATTTTGAGTCGAAAATTCGTCAAAAAAGTATACAATTTCGCATTATACTCATACATATATCTAAAAATAAACATTACCATTGAAAACGTTCGAAATCAGTTGCCTCCTTACAACCGACATGTTCAGATGAAGGAGCATCTAACTGGTACCGATTTTACAGATATGAGAAGTAATATAATATTTAAAAAAATTTTATTGTTCATGAAAGATAGAAAGACTTTGGCTCTTATTTGTTGTTTGTTTTTTGATTTTTATATTTATAGCGATGATCCCAAAATTAGAGTAAATGAAGTCAGCAGAATTTTCATTCGATGTAGCCGAGTGGTTAGCGGTGGCTGTTACAATGCGGTGGGCAATGGATTCGAATCGTGGGCAGACCAATATTTTTTTTTCTAAATGTGGTCGGGCCGCTGGATGGAATGTCAAATCATTCGTATGTACTTATTTCAGGAATTAAAAATCTCTACATAAATATGTAGATTCTTCTCAAGCCGCAAACGCCGAAATGCATGGGAAGCGATCTTTTTATATCGTCTAGATTTTCATTATATTCGCTTTAGCGAAGCATAAAAAAAAATTTGTAAATGTCTTCTAGCTTCCTGCTCTCTCTTTAAGGTGTAGGTAAAGTAAGCCATGATCTACGATGACATTATAACTAACACAAAAAGTTGTTTAAAATAAATGCCACAAGTATTATTTATGCCAAAATTTTTAACTTTATTTTATCATTTACTTATATTGTATTAAAAATTTTTTAAAAATATTTTAAAGCTTTTAAATGTTACGGTAGTTAAATAAGGAAATTGCCTAATTAGTAATAAAATTTTCTAATTTCTCCAATAGTCTCTAAGTAGCTTTTATGCACCGTGTACTCGTATGTACTCGTATGTATGTAAGAATTTGCGCTCTCAATAATACTCATCAGCGCTGCGATGGTAGACCTCACGTGCACCGAGTGGCTGCACGGGTCTGAAGTTATTCAATAATTTACGTCCACGATCATCGCGCACAAACCAAAAGTTTTGCAACTGAAAAGAAAAACAAACCAAAAAAAAATTATACATAAATACATATATATATGAAAATCATAGATAGTGAGAGACTATAGTGATGGACTATCAATGATATCCATGTATGTATGTACTTATGTTTGATAAGCATAATAAAAGCGATCATAATAATGAAATAAATAATAAATAATAATAAAATAAGGTCTACACACTTGAAACAGGGGTATCGGTATGACTTCGGGGTAAACAATCCATGTGACGGCTTGCGAGCATGGCGGCGTAGTTAGCGAACCCTGATAGGTGTAGAAGTTGTCACGATTGATATTCGCCAGCATAGAACCGAGTGTGAACAATTGATTTGTCGTTGCTGACGAATTGTAAAGCAGAACAAAGGGCACCGTATTGAAGACCGTATCTAGCCCAGGATGGAAAGTGGGTAGTGCCGTCTGTAATTAATTAAAAAATAAAATCGTGGGTCACGAAAATCTTTCATAGCACATACCTTTTCGACTTTGAAGAAAGCACCAATTACCGCAATACCATCATCATATTCCCGTGCTTCTTCAACGCTGCCATATTTGGTATTTAAATGTACAATATGCATTTCCAAGTCATAACGTCTCTGATTGATCTGATGTTCGGAGCCCTTGCATAGCGGTGAACCCCAATGGAAGTGTACTTCTATAGCTTCGTACATGCCGTTTAGTGGTCCATCGGTAATGAATGGGCGAATGAACTCAATTGTATCTGGTACATTGAATTTAACTGAAAATTGTGGGAAAATTATTTAATTGAGTGTATTTAAAAACCGGAAGATTTTATAATAAAATGAAACAAAGCAGTCGCAAATGGGGATCATATGTAGCACCCAGTTGAAGCGTAGGCGTTTTACATCTAGTTTGTTTCTACTCACTCGAATGTCCATTGTTTTTTAGAACAGCATAATTTGAGAAAAACACATCGTAAGATCCAAATGTAATCGGTGGTATAGAGACTTCCAAGGTCTGTATTTGAAGAAAAGAGGCCGGGACCAGTTCAGTTAGAGATTTCAGGCAAAAATGTATTATAAATATTTCAATTAGTATGATTTTCACATGCACAAGTTATCCTTCATATTTCGGTATTTGGAAACCCTTAGCATTGCAATCTGACAACTGAAGACTTTATCGCTAAGTTTCGTATTTTTGATATTCACATACTCAGAACGTTTCCATATTCACAGCGCTATCTGTGTAGTTTACAGTAACTTAAAATATTCATTATCATTTACAACTTTCGACGTGGGTTAACACAACTAACTGTGTATTGATAGACTTAGAAGTAATTTAAGGACCAGCGTTTATCGATGGTATGTTGAAATCCAAGCCGAGTTTCATGAAGGTCGGCCAAAATCAGTTTTAAATCCGGAAACTATTGATGCCGTGGGCAAACTGATATTGCAAGATCGTCATGTAACCTATCGTGAGGTTGAGGCAACTATAGAACTTACATTCAATATTATATAAATCGGGGATTTACGCGAATGATCCCGAAAGTAAACAATCGACTGTATGGGTGCTTAGAGATAAGCCGAATCCAACAAAAGTAGTTCGCGCACGAAGCACTTCCACGCAAATGGTTCCCTGTTTTAACCGTTCCACTTGAACAACGCAGAGTAATAAATTCTATATCTGGATGTAAACTACCATTTATTGGCCTATTGTCTTTCAATCGACTTAAGCAACTGAATTTTTGAGCACTCAAAACATCAATTTGAAGAGGCATCCTCTACATAGTTCTGATTTGGCACCGAATTACCAAATAACTTCGTTTTATTCCCATAAGTAAAAAATAAACTGCGAGGGCACCGTTTTTCGACACCGGAAGGTGCGGTCGATGCATTCAGAATGCATGTTTTGCAGTTACCTCAATCAGCATAGTAAATAGTAAAAGTGAGTATACACGTGTAGCTCTTAATGGGGAGTATTTTGAAAAAAAAAAACGAATTTCCATTATTTATAATTGCTTTTATTCTCCAATTCCGAAATATAAAGGGTAACCCTCGTAGTCTTATATATATAAAGAGTAAACATTTTGAACTGGGTGTCAAGCTTGAGGGAAATTCTTTCTGAATTTACTTATGTAAATATATGAGATTAAATGTATTTTTAAAATAAAGTTGAAAATAAGATATGTTTTATTGTTTAATTAATTATTAAATATTATATTATAAAAAATGTTATTTCTCAGCATTTTATAAAGTGGTTTACTAGATGTTTTAGATAATAAGAGTAGCTTCCCGGAAGGAAATTAAGAGCTATTTGGGTTCCAAGGATTCTTCAAAAAAGTAATGTGACGCTTAAAATTTAATTTTTATGAACAACTATTTTTTTAAGTTCCCTATTCAAATTTCAATCGACCTATGAGTATCGTAAATTTTCGAAGACAGTAAGTCATATTAATTTATTAATTAAAACCCCATTTTTTTGGTCTAAAAATTTTATTTTTTTCATTATTTCACTAAAGAATTGATAAAATACGGAACGTATTCGAAACAAGGCGAATTCATAAAGGTGAAACAGGAAAAAAAAAAAAAAAAAAAAAAAAAAAAAAAAAAAAAANAGAGGAGGCTGTAATGTTTTCTTTAATGAACAATGGGAACAGAGTGGTTTTTTTGTAAAAAAAAAAAATTAAGTTAATCGCTTTTTAGGGAAAACGGAATTTTGTATAATGTGTAGTCTTTCCTTTGCCACAATTTTACTGCTGGGTATAAGAGTTGTTTGTAGACATAAAAATTACTGACTAATGACATACCATGTATGGCTGATTTCTTCACAAAGAAATTACAATTAGGAAATCTATAATTTAAAGAATTCTCATGCGTATTATTTGCATTTCACTAACAGCGGGTGGACGAACTTCTCTGCACGAAATGACAAAAATTGTTATAATACCATAAAACCTAGAAAGAAAAGCTGTTTACGGTCATGCCAAAGTCTTTATATTGTACCTTTCAGGAATAAACGGTGTGTCCGTAAAAATTGTCTAACTCATGACAAATTCATACAAATCGCTTTTGTTGAATTAAAAAAGTTAAATTCGCTGCCCTAGTAATTTCACCTTGTTAAATTTGCCTTGATTCGAATACTGTAATGCTGCATAAAAAACAATTACACACATTATTTAGTTTGTTTTTTTAATTTATATCAGAATTTGCTAAAAATTTCTAAATGAAGAAATTATGAATGGAAAGTCGCTATTTTCGAAGAATCGAAGAATCGTCATAGCGCTTAATTTTTTTATCTAAAGCTACTTTTATTACCTAAAAGATTTCCAGCATTTAGATAGATCATTCTATAAGGTCCTGAGAAAAATTTAATTTTGAGCTGATAAATTTGTGTTTTTTTTTCGAAACGGTTAAAAAGGGTGTTAGGCAATTTGCAGTATCGAATTATCTTATTGGCATCAACATATCTTGCAATGATAATCTCGATGATTCACTATACTATCACTATGGTCCTAAGGCCCTTGAAAAAAACAAACTTAATGGATCACTTTCATATATAATTCTATCTATTAAAACCTTTCACGGATTTGTTGTATGTGTAATATATAAAAAAAAACCGTTTAATTCCCTGAGAGAAGTTTTCAATTCTGCTCTGTATAAAGTATGAAATTAAAAAAAAAAAACAAATAAAAAGCAGCAGAGAGAAATTAATTTCACATACTCGTATTCAAACTTGAATGTTCGGGCTGGTCAGAGATGTTCGAACGAAATCTCAAAACTAAATAATAAATATTTCTAGTAATAATAAAGGTGATGCTTTGTGCTCAATTATTACCTTGTTCGTTTTGATAATGATCGGTGATTGTTTATCTCCGCCACACTCTGGGTAATCCAAATACCAATTGTTGGAGTTGTCGTAGTGGAAAGCGTCTGGAATAGAAATAAATATTGGATGAGTGCATAAGTTCGTNAACATGCCACATGCCAAGCACACAGCCGACAGTAGATTTTGGTTTCATTGGCTTATAATGCTGCACTGCACTGCACTGTATGTATCATAAAGTACTATGTATGTAGGCTTCAAAGTATACCCAACCTTTTTAAACGATGAAACGCAGTTGATTTGTTGACGTTCAATTCACTGGCAACCTCTTCCGTCGAAATACGTGAGTAGAACATCGTCATCAAGCTCAGAAGGCCCTCCACTACGAGGTTGATCTTCGAGGTTAAAATCTCCAGAACGAAATTTCGCGAACCATTTCTTTACTCAACTCAAATCAAAATGAAGTTATTTTATGCTTGATTTACAGTTCGGACTGTCACCTTTCCAACGATTTATAATATGTATATATTTCTTTTACGAGCGCCACTCTCAAACGATTCGAACGGGATCCAGCGGAATCGGGCACGAACTTATGCACACATCCAACAGTTTACAAAAACAAGAAGTGGAAAAATGTGCTACACAAGGCTGCTTTATGATTTTTATAATAATTGTGCATCTCATGTACTTGTACATATGTATGCAATGCCATTACATTCGCTGACATAAGTATGTAATTCCATGTGTTTTATTAATTAAACGAACATTTAGGCACTTAAGAAAATGTTGAAGACACAGTCAAACAACAAGTAAAACATGCATTATATTTACATACACACATACAATTAAGTATATGCTTAATTATATGTGACGTCGATATGTCATCTTTTTCATATGTATTTATTTCACCAGCTTCATGTGAAAACGAAAGTGCTCCCAGTAATTTTCAATTGTAAGCTTTTGCCATTTCTCATTTCTGCATTAAGTTTATGCGCGTAATAACCCATTTAGTGGCGCAATTAATTTGTAGCTCAACGCAAAGCGCACAAAATCATATGGCGTGCTCTTATTTTTTTCTTAAAATATTATAGTAAATATTTAGATATGACGGCATAGTTACGGTTATATAATAACTACGTGTAGTTGCACTGTAAAGCAAGATTAAAATGTGTCACAGTCGAAGTGGAGGCTGTAATGTTTTCTTTAATGAACAATGGGAACAGAGTGGTTTTTTTGTAAAAAAAAAAAATTAAGTTAATCGCTTTTTAGGGAAAACGGAATTTTTTATAATGTGCAGTTTTTTTCTTTTCCACAATTTTACTGCTGGGTATAAGAGTTGTTTGTTGACATAAAAATTACTAACTAATGACATACCATGTATGGCTGATTTCTTCACAAAAAAATTACAATTGGGAAATCTATAATTTAAAGAATTCTCATGCGTATTATTTGCATTTCACTAACAGCGGGTGGACGAACTTCTCTGCACGAAATGACAAAAATTGTTATAATACCATAAAACCTAGAAAGAAAAGCTGTTTACGGTCATGCCAAAGTCTTTATATTGTACCTTTCAGGAATAAACGGTGTGTCCTAAAAATAACCGAACTTTATATTTAAATCATACAACATACAGCGCCATCTATTGAAAATTTGCAACATTAAAAAGATACATTCATCCTCTTTCAAACGCACTTAACATCATGTAAGTCGGATGACAGATGTAAATAAAAGTGACAGCCATTTCAATAAAACCAAAAGTGTGCTAATGGTTTAAAAATAAAATGGAACAAAGAGCAAATATAAAATTTTGTGTCAAACTTGAAAAAAAATTAATGAAAAAAGTTGATTGTGATGATTGTATGAGTCGTACGCAAGTTTATCCGTGGTTTACATGATTTAAAAATGGTCGTGGGGATTTAAATGACGACCCTAGAGCAGGACGTCCAGAAACTAGTAATCGTGCTGAACTGGTGGAAAAAGTCCGTGAAATCATTGGTGTCGATGCAAATTTTACTACGAGAATGTTGGCTGAGGAATTAAATACGAGTAAAAACACTACTTGGAGAATTTTAAATAAAGATTTGAGGAAAAGAAAGGTCCGTGCGCGATTTGTTCCACATGAATTAAATGACGACCAAAAAATCGCTCGAAGTTTTAATGAAGAAAGGGATTTCTCTCATCGACCATCCTCAGTATTCGCATGATCTATCACCATGTTACTATTTTTTATTTCCAAAACTGAAAACCAAGATGAAGGGAGCATTTTATGATGATATCCCAGCCATTCAAGCAGCCGCAACCGAGGTACTGAAAAACATTTCTATAAATGATATAAAAAAGTCTATGCATGCGCTGGGTGATCGTTCCAAATGTTGTGTTGAGTCAAATGGAACCTATTTTGAATAACTAATAACATTCAAAGATAATATAATGTGTATTTTATTTTATATCCATAAAAGTTCGGTTATTTTTGGGACACACCGTGTATATCAAATTTATGGTATTTTATTTTGTTGTTGAACGGGCGTTATATGATATAGTCCGCCGGTCTCGATGTTTTTTATTGACAATTTGGTATTTCTTTTGTAAATCCTCATATCTGAATAATTCGCTGTATGGAAGCTGTATGTTATAGTATTCCAGACCCAAAAAGTAATCCACCACATGAATGCAATACCAATTTCCACTTCGCTATTAGATGCTTTTTTGAAAAACTTAAAACGAAAAAATCGGTCTTATATGTATGTGGTATAGTGGGCCGGTCTGGCCGATTGCAATATCTCAAAAAGGGAAAGAAACTCAGATGGAATTACGGCGTTGGCTACATCAACTCAATTCATTATACTGACAGGATCGGTTTAAATCTTGATCTGCCTCTTCTCCTCCTGATACTTCGGATCAAAGTTAATAAATCGTTGCATGCACATAGAAACGAAGCGTGCTTACAGGAGCATACGAGAAATACGAAAGAGCATACGAAATCCTACTTGGAGACAAACATTTCAGAGCTTAAAATTTCACAGACATAAATTCAAGCTTCAGGCTATTTATAGATTCGGGCAAAAGAAATTTCTGTACAACTATATTTTCATCAATCAAAATAAATTTCAGTATACAGAGATCCATATGTTTGGGCTCTATTCGATTTTCCTTACTCGATTTTGCGTACTCTCGAAAATAGAAGATCAAATTTCAAAGTATCGAGCTTCAAGTAGAACAGTATTTTCTTCCCAAATTTTTGGTTAAAAATTCGAATAAACATGAAAGTCCCCATAAATATTTAATAAAAATAAATAAATAAATACAACAGATTTAAATAAGCCTTTTTTCCGGCATAAGATTCCCGAATTAGCATTCCGTACAATTTTCTATTCAATAACTGATCGCTGCAATGTTGGTGGGTAAAGTCACATGGATCGTTTTGCATTCAAAAAGGGATATCCTTAAATAAATTAGAAATTACAAACCAAATGTAACGAGAAAACAACACGAAGAATTAAAAAAAAAACCGCCAGCTCCTAAAACCGTTAGCCATAAAAACTGAATATTAAAATTAAAGCGCTGTCAAAAATCACTAAAAATCCCTACGATCACAATCGCAGAGCCAAAGCAAGAAATATCAAATATTATAAACAAAATTTAACATAAAATTTAATATAATCCGCAAATGATTGTCTAAAGCTTGGCTCTTGTTTTTATTATTATTATTATTATTTTTTTCCTTTTTTATTTTTCAATTGCGCACAAGCAATCACCAAATGGTTATATAACCAAGTGATAAGCGGTAAGCGGTTAGCATCAGATGCAGCCACGCAGAAAGTCATGACTGAGAGATTGGCACATGTGCGGGTACTTCACGCACGCGCGCACACTAACACACGCAAGCTCACGCACACTCTCACAAACATGCCACATGCCAAGCACACAGCCGACAGTAGATTTTGGTTTCATTGGCTTATAATGCTGCACTGCACTGCACTGTATGTATCATAAAGTACTATGTATGTAGCTATGTATGTATCTATGTATGTATCTATGTATGTACATATGTATGTATGTATACCACGCCAAGTGATTGTGTACGCTATTCTCATTGCACACACATTAACTCATTCCAGGATGAAAGTTGGCAAAGGCGATAAGGGCGGTAAGGGTGGCAAGGGAGGGAAGGCGGCTGGCGCGTGTGCCAAGAAACCCGGTTATAAGGCGCCAACGCCTTGCTGTCAACCGAAAAGCGGCGATGACACACAAAAATGCAAATTCCATACATTCAACTATCGTGTGACGCCCCTGAAAGCAAAGAATATCACTTTCCATTTGGTGCCCAAGCGCCAGAAGCAAGAATTCGCCATTAAGAATGCCAATTCGCATAATATGTATCTCTTCAATGGCTTCCGTACGCGTTGTGGCAAGGGCTTGCCGCTGGGCATGCGCGCGTTGTCTGGTGCGAGCAAACCGGTGCGGGCGCTCAATACCGGACTTGGTGTGTTGGCCACTTTTTGCGCCTACAAATCGACTAAAACTAAGTGATGTGGGCTCAGGGCACAAAGTGAATTTGAAATTCGAAGTGATATCTATGAGAAGTGATATTTAGCACAAAGCAATATCTAAATTATTATTATTACTTATTATTTAACTCCATCAAGTTGAAGTGATAAACAACAGTTTTTAAAGCTTTCAATTTGGTGGCGGTATCAGCAATGCAAGTTTAGCACAAAATTTAAGAAATTCTGGGAAAAATGTAAACTCTTTCGAAAAGGCATAATAAAATAACAGTAACAGAAAAATCATTACAACGAACTGATAACTAATGACTTTTCTTCCCGACGAATTTATCGGGTATTTAAACTTAATTGAAACTCACTAATTGCTAAATTTTTTGTGGTAAAATTTTTAGCTTCAAAAAAGTGGAGCACACTCTAGAATTGCTAATTAAAAATTAATTATAAACGAGAAATACGAAAGAGCAAACGAAATCCTACTTGGAGACACACATTTCAGTGCTTGAAATTTCACTCAGACATAAGGCCAAGCTTCAGGCTATTTATAGATTCGGGCAAAAGAAATTTCTGTACAACAATATTTTCATCAATCAAAACTTCAGTATACAGAGATCCATTTCTTTGGGCTCTATTCGATTTTCCATCTTCGCTGACTCTCGAACTGCACTGCACTGTTCTTTTTTTTAGGGACATGCGTTATATAAATGTTACTAGCAATAGTTGAGCAGCAGCGGTCTACTTGGTATGATATTGTATATTTATAAGATTGTCGAGTGTTTAAATCCTTTATTATACCACCAATCTAGCTCTCTTAGCTGAAGATCGGCTAGCGCTATAGTCTGAAAACCCATTAAGCCGAATGGTAATGAAGGTTAACGCTTGTGGCCCTCTTTAAAGCAGGCCACAAAAGTATTGGTCTACAACAAATGTAAACATCTAGTGACACATTTTAGGGCTTAAACTCCATTTCTTGCCAATCCTTCGCATACCAGCTTACTATGTTGGCTTTCCAGTTCAGTTTTTTGTACAGAACTACGCCCACAAAGTTTGTCTTGATTCCTAGAATAAGGTAAATGTCATTTGCAGTTGGCGAGCTTAAAGTCAGTCAGAAATTACCAAGAAGTAATGAAACAAAAACTTTTTGATTCGAAATTTATTTTATTTTTTGCAATAAATATCAGACACTTGTTAGAAATTTGGCTTAAGCCAGCTGTAGGAATGGTAAATAGGAAATTTATTCGCCAAACTGAAACAATCGCAAGTTAATTTTGTATGTGGTGAGTAGTTAAAGAGTCTCTTTGCGTTTTATGACTTCTTTGTTCTTTTAAGGTAAAGTGAAATCCGAAAATAAAACAATTTGAAGTATTTGCATATTTTTCATTTCACGTAATCGTAAAAAATTCAGATTGTGAGAAAGTAAAATTAGTAAAATTATTATTATATTTTTAATATCAATGCTAAGTTTCCAAGTTTAACCTTATGAGCTATGTTGAGGTTAACACTATTTTTTTCATTAGATTAACAGAAAAAAGTCAGGTATAAAACTTAAAACAACAAATGCTTATAATTCGGGTTACTCATGGCGTATACGTTACATTTCTTAAGTGTGCTCTGCCGTCGCTTTCTGAACCTGCGTCTATATAACCTTTGACAACGGGAATAAATTCGAGTGAGGTCACTCACCCTTCAGGTAGTTATGGACGGAAATTGTAATCGCCATTGCAGTCGTAGTCCAACAAACAATCGAAAATGTGTTGAGAAATTGAGTCAACAACAGTACAGAGTGGGTTACTGCAAACTCAGCTACGGAAGCTTTTGAATGGAGTGGGTTTCTATGTATCTTTAACTGGATTGTTGAGGCATTCCAGTCAAGGCAACATTATTGAAAAACATTTATTCGCCTATTTCTTTCAACCATTCCTACTTGTTCAGCCAAATATTAGACTTGTTGAAATTATAAACATATTGTTATTTTTGATTTAATACGTTGATTTAATGAAATTTTTTTATTGGATCCCATCGGAAACTGAAAGCTGTCAAATGGCGTGCCGTGTGAATGGAGTAATTCGCATTCGTAATGGAGAGGACCAATTAGTGCAAGTATATTACGTATACGCGGTGTTGTCCCGAAAATTGGGCTTTAGTTTTTTTTTCAATACTACAATAATAAAAGTTTGAATAAAATGCATGCTTTATTGTATTTTTAGACAAAATCACAAAACCTTCATATAGAAAAAAAAATAAATGAAGAAATAAATTAAAACTCAAATTCTGTACGGGCCTACAATGCTCTCATTTAATACATCTTCACTTTTACACATACATTGAACGAGTATATCACGCAACAGTGCCATGAACTGACCGCCCTAAGAATTAGTAAACACACTGCCCACCGGCAGCCGGTCAATTTATTGTGTACAATCACATACAACAACAAACACATAAACATAAAATCATATGCATAAGTATTCTCGTATGCATTGTACATTGCAAAATCATTGTTCATGAACTAACACACCTACGGAAGTATTTGACGTCTACTGTTCTCCAGTGGCAGCTGATTTGTGTGACCGCTCATTGCGCGGCTACTGGTGATTAATTATATGTATGCGTTTCAATCGGACACAAGATACTTTGGATTTAGCTCTTGGATTTCTAATGATGTGGAACGAAGGTAATGAATATGAAACCAAAAGGTAAATGAAAGGGCCTAACCGTATATAAATGCGAAAACAAAAGGCAAACAATTTTTTTTTTAGTGAATGAATGTCACTTTTCTCATGACTAATTTGAAAATTGAAATATATATACAAATATAACATAAAAATATTGGAAAAACAAAATATTTTGTATTTTTAAGCACTTGTACGAGTATTGGCGGCCGCGATAGCCGAGTCCGAGTCTATATGAAATAAAAATCCGCCGGCTATTCGGAGGCCGCTTGGAATGAACCGTGGGTTCCTACACTTTTTGAAAAAAAAACATCAATACGCACACCACAAATTGGAAGAAAACATCTGCCTAAAACCCCAATTATATTACACATATATGTATATATATATATACATATATATATATATACTCACTTTTGTGAGCAGCTGCTGTCTCAGCAGCACTCGCCGTTGTTAATGGCAAGAAAAGTAAAAGCCGTTGGCAAAGTTTGAACAATCCCAAGAAATGCATCGTGCTGCAGTGAAGAATCACTTAAATCACAACAACAACAGCAAACAACTCAATCGGACAACGCGTTAATAAAATGTAACAGCGCACGGTGAACAAATGTTTTACGAAAACAAAAAAAAAACAACCGTTATTTATATATAATACAAGACAAACTTCAGCGGCTTTGTAAATTCCGTAAGTTTCGCATTAGATTTAAAAGCAACAACTGATATGCCAAGCGTTAAGCTAATGTCTTTTATACTTCAACTCGGAAAAGGGCTGCACATCGCTCAGTTGGAAAATTGCACATTTGTCATTTTTTATGACTACTCAACTATAATGGAGTAAAAGATAAGCAGAGACTAACGATCTATACGCTCGAAATTAGCTATTGCTTCGGTTGTGATTGTATGGGTTACAATAATTTTATGTCAACTTAATCAAAATCTTTGTGGGATTAAAGTGGTATATTTGTATTGTGGTTATATTTTGACAATTTATGGAAGAAGAAAGTTTTGAGTATATTAGTTACATAGATAACATACAGACATTACATAATTACTTAAGATCGTATTTTAATTTTCTGACAATAGATGAATTTTTAAGTCTTTTCGAGAAATTTGAATTCAAAGGCGCAACCCTATTCGAATATTCTAAGAGCCCGCTACAGCCAGGACCACACCATGTACCAAAACTTAAAAATTGGTTTGCGCACGTCATCAACATAAGTAAGAGCGATGACGCGACTAACAATTTTGGGTAGTGGTTAGTTTGGTAGATACTAAATTTGAAATGACCTAACTCATTGTCGAACACTTTTTGCGGTTTCAACCCCTGCCGGACAGCCTCAAGGTCCGTGTACGTGAACTTACGTCATAGTGTAGAAGCTGAATTTTATATTTCTCTTGAGGGACAATTAAAAGAAGAAGCTCAGCAGCTGGACAGATTTCATGATGTAAACTTTCTACCGGATATCTCTAAAACTCTGAAAAATTGCTAAATTACAGTAAAAATGTAAGACCACCCGATGGTGAGCCCGAATCCCCAACGATAACGATGGAACAGATGTTTCAGTGCCCCGACTATGACAAAGTTCGAAAAGCAATCGCTCACTCAAAAATAAAACACGGCGTCGAAAAACTGACAAAGGAGGCATCCGGTTTTTTGTGTTTTGACTGTGGGATCCTAAGTTTGCTCTGCCCAATCCACAAAAAGGGGGACCCTAAACTCTGCGCTAATTATCGTTGGCTAAGTCTACTCAATATTCCATATAATCGAGCGTATCGAGCGTAATGTATACAATTCTAAAGCCCATCGTGAAACTGATTGGACCTTATCAGTGTAGCTTTAGACCTGGTTAATCAAACATTGACCAGATATTCTAGGAAAAAGTCCGTGACCACTCAATGTCTGAATTTGGTATCCTTTCAAAACTTATACAGCTGTGTACTTTAATTCATCAGTGGAGAAAATAAATAATACGAGTTTTAGAGCAGAATAGACAAGATATAATCTTCTATAAGAATGTACAGCTGCTGGCGAACGTCACCGATATTGACCCCGTTGGTCTCAACAACCGCGTCTGATGAGTTTTCGTAAGGAGTTTTAAAGAGATAGATATGAAAGACTAATTAGAGAATATTGAAGTGACATAAACAAAGGATATTTTTACCGTGATTAGTTTTTTTTTCGACAACGAACCCAGCGTTACCCACCTCCCGCCAAAACGACCGAGGGGCGCGTCTGATGGAAATCGAAAATTTCAACGGACCGGTAATCGAAAACCAGCAACAGTCCGGACTGCCCTGAACCCGAATCCGATCGCAGAAGGTCGCGGTTACACTTGCCTCTTACACTAAACAGCTACAGATTTGTTCATCAGCTGCTACAAAATTGTATGGGGAAATGAAGAGGGAATTTATTTAATTATTTAAAGCACTCAGCAAGTAGATTTTGATACAGAAAAGCGAGACAGAGGAATCAATGTTGGGGAAATGTGTATTAAAATCGTTACACAAAGATCTAAAAGCGTCGTGCATTTCAAAGTTTGTACTGCACGAGTTCAATGAAAGGGGCCTAAGCGGCTAGATGATCTTAACGGGATGGTAAAGTTAAGCTCGCTAATTAGGAAAGGGCTATTGATAGCACCTCTTATTAATTTAGTTAAAATAAAAAAAAACAGATTAATGAGCCGTAAACGTCTATTGTCGTGCTTTTGTACAGATTCCAATTTATCACTATACAATTGATAGTACAGACTCCATACAACTGAGCCATGTGCCAAAATGGGCCTAACAAGTGAGGTAAAGAGTAATTTGGTAATATATGGGTCCTTGAACTCCTTAGCTCATACGTCTAATCAAAGCTACAACTCCTTCTGCCTTATTTGCACAAGTATTTTTATGATTTCTAAAATCTAGCTTAGGGTCCATTGTTACCTTAAGTAACCTCTATTTCATATATAATATATCAGTTAATTTATGGGTAACTAAGTAGCAACTTCACTGAAAACTTGATTGTTTTAATCAAATCGGTTATGGGTATTGAACGCTTATTTTTTGCTTTGAAAGTCCCAAACGCAGCGTTTCAAGGAAGAAAACACATTAAAAAATTATATTTGTGTTTAAAGAATTTTGTTTTTTAACTTGTGAAATATTAGCATGTTTTCAATGGTCATACCACCATTATATTGGCAAGGCGTTGTTAGGCTTTTGCTGTAATTGATCTTATCATAAACATATGTATTTCATTAATAGAAAAATACGAGGGCATGCACAAACGTGATACCGCTGCAGTAGTCGTGTGGTTAGTAGTGCGTAATGCTATTTGGAAGGTCAGGGTTCAAGTCGACTCGACCAAAATCCGAAGTCTTCAAGGAATGTCAAGCCTTCAGAATGTATTTCTGACTTTGTCCCTCCATTTGTTGCTAAAAGATCAAGACGCACACCGAAAAACGATAACATATGTAAATATATAATATATATATATATATATATATATATATACCATATATATGTATATGCATGTACCTGTACAAAGAGGCACAGCAATAACTTTGTAACCTCGAATAATAATTTTCGCCTTGTTGCATAAAATATAAATATAGCAGAATATACCTATACGTATATATGTACGCGCATAGCTGCAAATTTTTATTCAATAACAATGAGATAAAATAATAAAAGCTCATATTTTTGCTTCCATACAAATTTAACGTCATTATATTTATTTCTGTAATTCATCAAATATTTATGAATTTAATAAAATTAAATTTATTCTCATTAAAAAATTAATAAAAAGTTTTACGACCAACAATATATCTTAGGCATTGAAAATAAGTTTGAAAATAATAAAAAAAGAAATATATATGTAATAAGCCAATTTTATTTAAGTTCGAATTTAATATACTATGTACCTGTGTGCTACATATGTAGGCACTAGATGATCTCATCCCTCTTAAGCTTTTCATGTACATGATGTGGTATAATATATTAATTTTGGTACGAAATATGTAAATACCAGAAGAAGAAGAGATACGAGTAGACCCATCGATTTGATGAGTTGAGTCGATTTGTTTGTTTGTCGGGTTGTACGCAAAATAGCCACAGCTTTGAGATATTTTAACCAAGCTCGATGCATAGATGCATTTAAATTGTCATTTGTTCGAAACGACCAAATCGGACCGCTATATCATATATAGGATTCGAAATTTTAGGCCATAAATTTGATAAAAAAACATCTAGAAGTGTGAAGATTATTATTTTGCACAAATACTCGTTTGATGAACTAAACATTGGTAGTGAAAATCATCGAAATCGGAGGACCATATCACAAAGCTAAATACAACCGATCTGTTCGGATTGAGGTTTGGGCCAAAAATCCGACAAATAACTTCTAAGAGCATATAATTTTGCACTCTACACACGTATGCTATTGTATTTAGTATTCCACGCTCATAGAACTTCTGGCCTTTATCTGCAAAAAACTGAACCAAGTGCGATTTTATAGCCTCATCATTGCCGAAAGTTTTACCATTTAAGGAGTTCTGCAAAGATCGAAATAAATGGTAGTCTGATGGTGCAAGGTCAGGGCTATATGGTGGATGCATCAAAAGTTCCCAGCCAAGCTCACTCAGTTTTTGGCGAGTGACCAAAGATGTGTGCGGTCTAGCGTTGTCCTGGTGGAATATGACACCTTTACGATTGACCAATTCTGGTCGCTTCTCCTTGATGGCTGTATTCAATTTGTCCAATTGTTGACAGTAAACATCCGAATTAATCGTTTGGTTCCTTGGAAGCAGCTCAAAATATACGACACCCTTCCAATCCCACCAAACAGACAGCATAACCTTCTTTTGGTGGATATCAGCCTTTGAAGTGGTTTGAGCTGGTTCACCATGCTTGGACCATGATCGTTTTCGACTAACGTTGTTGTAAACAATCCATTTTTCATCTCCAGTTATGATTCGTTTTAAAAACGGATCGAATTCATTGCGTTTAAGGTGCATATCACAAGCGTTGATTCGGTGTGTTAAATGAATTTCTTTCAATACATGTGGTACCCAAATATCAAGCTTTTTCACCAGTCCAAGACTTTTTATGTGATAATGAACGGTTGATTTTGGTATATTTAACTTCTCTCCTATCTCAAGCTCAGTTACATGACGATCCAATTCGATTAATACTTTGATTTGGTCATCATCAACTTCATTTGGCCGACCTGAACGTCTTCCTTTTAAGGCTTCATCACCATACACATCTCGTAACTTTTTAGCAACCTGCTCCGCGTTTTTTTCCTTTACGGAAATAATAACGTAAAATATGACGAAAATGCTCCTTTGTGGGCTCCATATAAAAATTGACGCCAAACAGACAAATGTAAACGAAATTTCGCAGATTCCGCTGATAACTGACAGAAGAAAAAAAGCAATTACAGTGTCACAAGCCATTGAAAATATTTGTTAACGCCGACTATATGAAAAATCCGCAATTACTTTTTGGGCAACTCAATATATTCACACCGAAAATCATAGAAATTGGAGAACTTCGTCATTTGAGCTCCTCCAACCAATTTTTGAGTTATGAGAGTTAATATTTAATCCTAAAATGATATACCATAAATTTGATATTTATGTTCACAAAAAGTATAAAGACAAGGAGGAAGGAAGCTCTTCTTCCTTATTATTGTATCTGAATATGCGGTGACCCTCAATTTATTAACATCTGTACTCAGAATAATAT